TCCATGCAAGATCTCACCTCGTGGAGTTGCAATGATCATGAGAACGGTGAGGAATCAGCCCAGAACTACACGGGAGGATCTTGTCAATGATCTCAAGGCAGCTGGGACCATAGTCACCAAGAAAACAATTGGTAACACACTACGCCGTGAAGGACTGAAATCCTGCAGCGCCTGCAAGGTCCCCCTGCTCAAGAAAGCACATATACATGCCCGTCTGAAGTTTGCCAATGAACATCTGAATGATTCAGAGGACAACTGGGTGCAGGTGTTGTGGTCAGATGAGACCAAAATAGAGCTCTTTGGCATCAACTCAACTCGCCGTGTTTGGAGGAGGAGGAATGCTGCCTATGACCCCAAGAACACCATCCCCACTGTCAAATATGGAGGTGGAAACATTATGCTTTGGGGGTGTTTTTCTGCTAAGGGGACAGCACAACTTCACCGCATCAAAGGGACGATGGACGGGGCCATGTACCGTCAAATCTTGGGTGAAAACCTCCTTCCCTCAGCCAGGGCATTGAAAATGGGTCGTGGATGGGTATTCCAGCATGACAATGACCCAAAACACACGGCCAAGGCAACAAAGGAGTGGCTCAAGAAGAAGCACATTAAGGTCCTGGAGTGGCCTAGCCAGTCTCCAGACCTTAATCCCATAGAAAATCTGTGGAGGGAGCTGAAGGTTCGAGTTGCCAAACGTCAGCCTCGAAACCTTAATGACTTGGAGAAGATCTGCAAAGAGGAGTGGGACAAAATATCTCCTAAAATGTGTGCAAACCTGGTGGCCAACTACAAGAAACGTCTGACCTCTGTGATTGCCAACAAGGGTTTTGCCACCAAGTACTAAGTCATGTTTTGCAGAGGGGTCAAATACTTATTTTCCTCATTAAAATGCAAATCAATTTATAACATTTTTGACATGCGTTTTTCGGGATTTTTTGTTATTATTCTGTCTCTCACTGTTCAAATAAACCTACCATTAAAATTATAGACTGATCATTTCTGTGTCAGTGGGCAAACGTACAAAATCAGCAGGGGATCAAATACTTTTTTCCCTCACTGTACGTAGTAAAGAAATCAAAAGCTATAAAATAAAGAAACCGTTTTTATTTTATTTTTGATGTTATGGGAAGGCAAGTCTGAGTAGGTGAGTCTTGCACAGACCACGGAATTGAGAGACACTTCATGCGTTTGGATGTCCAGCGTCGGGTGAACAATCCTGGGCTGGGCAAGTCTTACCAATCCCGTGGAATGGAGTTTGTTGTACGTGCCTGAGGATTGAAGGCAGATGCGGTTTTGCAAGTAGATAGGGGTCAAGCCATGCAGTGTCTTGTACGTTAGGAGAGCAACATTGAATTGGATGTGGAAGCCGACCAATATCTGATGCAAGCTGCAGAAGGTGGGCGTGATGTATTCAAAACGTCTAACCTGCCGGATCATTTGGGCAGCTGCATTCTGCACTACATGGAGCCAAGTGGTAGCTGTGCGTAGAGGGCATTCCCATAGTCCACGCGTGTTGAGACAAAGGCATAAACTGATGTTTCCAAGTCTGGGGCAGAGAGGAGTGGGCACAATCCTTGGAGAATTTGGAGGTGGCAGAAATCTCCTCTGACTGTAGCTGTGACCTGAGAGTGCATAGTCAAGCTCTTATCGAACAGCACACCGAGGTTGCGTACTTCAGACACAGGGAGAGGGCGAGCTCCGTTCATCAGTGAAGGATCGCTCTGCCCCTGCCATGCTATTAAACACTGCTCCGAGTTGACAATCATGTACCCTGTCTTGTCCAGATTTAGCTCCTGACAGTTTTGCTCTATCCAAACAGCGACTTCAGACAAGCATTCTGATAGGGTAGAGATCATGGCGTCTGGATCTGACATAAAAGAGATGTAGATCTGAGTATCAGTGAGGGACCTCAGGTGTCACAACACTCAATGATCAATGGTATCAAGGGCAGCAGACAGATCTAGTGTGAAAAAGACAGATATACATCCATTATCCATATCCTGAAGGAGGTCATTCATTATTCAAACTACAGCCATCTTTGTTCCATGCAGAGCTCTGAACTCGGATTGGGTTGAGTCGAAAAATCTAGACAGGATTCCAGTTGAATCGAGACAGCTTCCCTACAAAAGGGAGGTTTGAGATCGGGCAGCAATTAGCCAGCTGGCCACAATCCAAACCTGGTTACTTGAGCGATGGTCTTACCAATGATGTTTTCAATGAGCGGAGGACCCTGCCCTCTAGAAGAGAGGAGTTATTCAGATTTACTGCCACCGGGGTCATTGGACCAAAGGACTCCCAAAGGAGACAGGAGGGACAGGGGTCCAGGTCACAAGTCGTCCAGCGCACCCCATGATATCTGCTGGAGGTCGGGCAGCATAATGGGCAGGAAGTGGTCGAGGACAAGATGGGATTCTGTATCAAAACGGGGCAGGAAGTGCCACTGGAGTTATTGAATTGCTGATGAGATTGATGTTTCTGGTGAAGAAAGATTGCAATTCCTTGCAGCGTTCTGTGGATGGGGAGATCTGTGCAGAGTTTACACCATAGATGTCTTCTTGCTGTGGTGGGAATCTCCTCGTCCCAATTCTTGGATTGGTCCAAAGACAAAAACTGACCTTTAATTGACATTGGTGGCAACTTTCACGCAACCTCATGCCACCCTGATCACGCACTGGACTTTAACATAAAAAATAATGTAATTACACACATGCTTTAGAATAAGGTTATAAGACTACAGCATCTATCAAGAAGTTATATTCTCAATACCGAAACTCTAAAATAAATATTGAGTTATCTGCGCGTGTAATGTGAGTTTAGTTTGAATGCCGACAGTGTATTAGTAACTAGTAATGGGCTTTGCCTGCATTCTATATGCTTCAGGTATGCCATTTCCCAAAAATTACCTGAAAATTTGTCAATATATCCACCGCTACTTCATATTGAGCCAGTCAATCCTTCCCTTTTTATCTTTTTATTTTAAAGCCCTTTTATCCCAACACGCTTTAATGAGATCCAGTCAATGGCCACAGAAAGATCAAATATAGTCCCGCAGTACAATCATCAAGTTCTGTGACACTGATAATATATAAAGTCCAATAACAACAAACCCCAAATTCTGCAACCATACAATAATACACATTGCACAGCTCAATCACAATAAATCCGAACCCCACGATTCAATTATACATCACAATAAAGCTGAATTGTGCGACGAAATCATTATTACCTCTGATTCGCCAATACCAATAATCACTAGTTCCCTTAGAATCGATGAACAATAAATCCGATTCACCAAAACATCTCCACTTTGTTTTACACAAATGGATACGATGCTGTTTCCCACCAAAACTCTTCCTCAACCACGTGCCTTGTTTCCCACCATTTCTGTTTCACTAGCTCTCCGCCGAGCCTATCTCTATTCTCACCACCCCAACTCTCAATTTCCTTATTTCTATGTTACACTCACCCTGTCTATACCTGTCTCTTTGTCTCTAAGTCTATATGTGTCGTCTCATTTCTATCGCCTGGTCTCTTAATTATTGTCTGTGTCTCCTTGTTTGTCTATATATCTACTGTATACCTATTTCTCTCCCAGTCTCTGTGTCTCTATATCCCTGTGTATTTCTTCATCTCCTTGTCTCTCTCTTGGTGTCTCTGCCTCCTTTTTTACATGTCTCTGTCTCCTCTCTCTCGGTGTCTGTCTCCTTTTCTCCGTCTCTTTGTTTCCGTGTCTGTCTCCTTGTCTTTCTCTCGGTGTCTCTGTCTCATTGTCCCAATGTTGTCTTGTACTTCTTTGCTGACACCTATGCTCCCCACCTTCACCAGCCTGCATTGACGAGTGTGGTGAAGTATCATTTGACCGCAACAATTAAATTAAATCACATCGTCTGACATCATACCATCACTCACGAAATGCGACATCACATAATACCAGCTGTGCATATCATGTAGGCAGATGGATATTTATTCAGCATTTGAATGATCCTCATAGTATTTCCCTGAAATATTCATATAAGGCAATCACAACATGCAATTACTTTAAACTTGTGGATTGTTTATTTTGTGTTTATGTTGAGAAATGTAACGCATGATAGGACGGGTATAATTATAAATGTTATAAATGTTTCATTCACATGCAACGATGAAAGCTGAATTATAATCCGAAATTACCTGCAATATTAACAGATATTGGGTTTTTGAAGGCACTTAGCAAACATATAGTTGGACACAAGACCATCAATATGAAATCCCCTTTGACTAAGAATATATATTTAGTATTCATCACTTTATCTTAATATGTTCTATGCATTAACAAGTTTGTTGAGGCAACATTAGATACGGTGCTTGTGTTTGAATGATCAACTCATCGCTCTAGCAGGTGGACATTTCTCGAGAGGTTTTGTAAGATCGGTGAACCACTTGTGCAGTTGCATGAACACAGTTACAAAGTCCCGCCTGAGATGACAAATGATCATCAATGATGTGTGGTGTGCTTGGGGCACTTACGTCCTGCCCCATATCAAGGCAATGTACGTGCAGACACAGAACCGGAGCCACTACTTATGGCATAATATCAGTTGCTATCAGTTGACCTTGCCTCTCACATTTATACCTCCCTGATTGGCATCCAATCTTCGATGTGCCAGCATTTTCTCTGCATCAAACCCACCTGCATAACTATTTGTGTTATGAAGAAGGGAGATTGCCTGAAACGTTGCCCAGAATATATTTGATTTTCCCCATTTTTTGGCAACAAAACAGGTGTTAAGATGTTAAAACACCAAATTGAAACCTTTAACAAGGAATCATGTCTGCATTAACCACAATACTTGTAGTCTGAATGCAAAAGAAAAAAAGTGATAATATATACATTGTCCTTGAAACTGATTGGTCCACACCAAGACAGCTTTCTTTTGAGCCTCGTCTCAAACGGTGTTAGACCAGAGGACGCCAAAAGGCCTGTTTTGTTGCCAGAACAAAAAAAAGAGGAAAACCTATTATCATATTTTGGTACTGGCAAAGGAGGTCCCATGATGTAGAATATATTTATTTTAAGGCAGTGTTATTGACGAGCGTGTTGAGTTGTTTTTTTGTGTGTGCATAACCTATGGTGGGGGATGGGGTGAGAAAGGTGCAGGAGAGAGTTGGAGGGAAGACGGACCTGGCTTCACCTGGGTGTGCAGGGGGTAGTAAAACTAGGAGGTATAAAAATTAACCCTGCACCTTCAAATCGTGAATTCTAAGTGTGTGTCATCATGTGGTGCCGCCGCAGCGGAGCCGCTCTGTCGGGGCCGTGCCCACCGCCGTGACGCCGCCACTGGAGAGTGACGACGCTGACGCTGCACGCCCCTCGCCACCCCCCGCATGAATACACACATACCCCACATAGGGCCCGAGGGGGAGTCACCTGGCCGACAGGTTTTCGTCCAGAAGCCCCTGATGGAATCAAGCTTCATGGTTTCCTGCGGCCGGGAAATTGGGCGACCTACCCCCGAGGCTGACATGCATCACGGCGCCGTGACCTGATAGTATAATTGCATGGTCACAGCAGGGGCTGTTGAGCCACCGCGGAGGGGACCACACACACGCAACACGGGTCAGTGGGCGGATAGTGGGAAGAACAGAAAGCGGACGTCGAGGGGACCACTGTGGTGACGTCACCAGAGCTAGGATCCGAATATCAAAAGGGCGGGAAAATCCGAGCCCCTGATTGGACGGGAGGGCAAGGGGGCGAAACAGCGGAATTTCTTTGTTGTAGGTAGGATACAAGGAGGGGGATTCAGGCAGTAGGGAGGGTCCTTCAAGACATCGAGAGCAGCGGGGTGTTGGAGCCAGCCGTTCGAGTCGTCCGTGTGACGAAGTTCCATACAGCCAGGCCCAATTCTCCACGGAGTCTACGCACAGCATCGCCTTCCACAGCTTCCGGCGCATCAGATTGGGAGTAAGGTGAGTGTGGGCTAATTAATCAGTGGGAAGAAAGCGGAGGGACAGGCAGGATAAATTGAGTCCAGGATCCCCGAGGGATAGGCTAGAGTCTGCTGACCCACATAAACACGCGTAGTTTAACGGGTTATTCGCGGGGAATAAAACTGCCAGTAGAGGATAAACTGTGTCGTGTGGTCGTTGTGAGTGTGAAGAGGAGGGTGGAGTGCTTTGTGTTCGCGTGCATACGCGGCTGTTTACAGTGAATAGAAGAGTGTAGTGTCTGGTGTTCGTGTACACGCGTGGCTGTTTAAACGGCCTTTAAATCGTGGCGGAGTGATTCCCTCCAATCAGTGGCGCGCGTACGGTGGATGCCCCCTGACTTCTGACCCCCGACCTCGAGTCCCGTGCGTGGGCGCTCGGTGCGACCGCGGAGTCCTGCGTCGGCACGCTGTACCCTTTCGTTTGCACACGGGACGGGGTTTTGCTTCGCGAGCGCGCTCACCGCAGCACGCCCGCTACTGAGCCCGCGTGGCGAGTCGTAAACGTAAAGCCGTCGGCCCCACCAATTGAAACATGCCTACGCGGGCAGCAACAAAGTCGGGGGTACAGGGGGGCGAGAAATTGGAGGTCCGTAGCCCGAACCCGACAGAGCAGTCGGGGGGTAGTAGTACGATTGCGACGGAGGAGACGGGGGACAGCAGCCCCCGCAATCATCGCCAAAAGGAAACTACTGAACATGCAGCTACTGTAAATCATAAGTGTGTGTCTCTGGGACAGTTGGAGAAAGTATGAAGTCAATGAGCAATAGTTAATGTTTAACAACAAAATGTTCTGCTTAAAACCTCCAATGCCATTTGGAGTCTAGAATCATCACAGGGAAACTTGATGGACAAAGTACCTGGCAGCATCGTTGGCCCCCTCGCCACTCAGTCTGCACGGTATTGGATGATGTACTCCGGGTAGGCCTGGCTGCTTTCAAAAATCACAAAGATGGTGGGGTCGTTCACGTCGTTGACGCAGCTGTCGTATAAATTGGTCTTGGTGTCGTCCCGTGAAGGTGGGCGAAGGTAGGATGAGTATCCGCGAGTGAAGCGCCCCACCAGAACGCTCACCACGAACATGTGGCACGTAGTGCCCCCGGCCTTGCCCGCGCTGGCGTAGCGGTGAGCGAGGCGAGCGTCTCGGCCAAAGTAGCAGCCTAAAGCACAGTATGAGCGCCGCGCGGTGGACACAACTTGGTAATGAAATACCTACCCATAAGAGGCTTTTTTTGGGTGAGATCGCGTAAATATAAATGTGTGGTTAAAGCCGTCACCACCCCGATGCAGCCAATTTAGTAAGGTTTGTCACGGAAACAAAACTCACCAATTAGTCACTACTTTAGCACACCGGTGTGTGTTGGAGATTGAACCCAACAACATTTACAATTCGAGTAGTGAAGTTTCGCTGGCGATTACAACCAGCTTCATGAGGCGACAGCCTGATGAAGTATTTCAGTGTCAAACGTAAATACCTACGTTGCAAAATGAGAACGGCTTCTAAAGCACGGTTATGACAAACCCTGGCCACGGCAAACGGCGGAGTGATGTTTGACTCACAGGTCTTGCCCCCCCCCCCCCCACCTTCGTCGACCTGCATGGTGAAACATGATCAAAACACCACTGCAAGACGGACGGAGTTATGGGGAGGCGTTCATTGGCGGTGAAATGACAAACGGCTGTAAATTATTACCAAAATGGTCAGCAGTCTTGCACTGTCCGCACTTGGCGATCGAGACATAATTGTTATCTGGGTATGCAGCCTTTATCACTGTATTTTATATTTGCCTTTGAACTTTAAGAATTCAAATAATTATTAGTATCATTCACAGTCCTTTGTTAATCCATTATCTTTGATCATTAAGTGTATTGAGTTGTGTGTATATTGAGTGTATATGTGAGGTATTGTGGTGGAGTCATTATTTAATTCCACCCCCAGTGATTTACATTCATTACTAGCCACAGCACAAGTCAGTGGAACGTGTTCCAAGTTTTCCCCAAGGGGAATCACTCTATATTGGGTGTCTAATGCGGTGTGCCCTTTAGTAGGGGTATGGATTTGAGGATTGCCAGGGGATAGGGGTTAGTGTGGCAATATGTTCGATCCCGAGCCTGATGCCTACTGTACATTTGGAGTTTGCATGTTCTCCACATGGACGTGTGGATTTTTCTCCGGGTCCTCCGGGTTTTCCCTCCACATTTAGAAACATGCGTCTAGAGTATTTGGCTGCTATAAATTTCGACATGATAAGCCACTTCATTGGGCTATCATTTGTGGCCAGATCACTTCTGAAAAAGAGCTATATAGCTCAGTGGGCCTTATCTGGTAAAATCTAAAAGAGTTTTAGTTAATTAAAAAGGGGAGCAAGAGAAGGATTGTAGCCGGTCCCGAGTTTGCATGTGTTGAATCAATACTGCTGAAATTATACATTTCCAGAAGGCCTTGTGTCCGATGGGAAGTGTAAAATTATTTTCTTATGATGTTGAGAGATAGGTATGTGTCATGGGATCTCCTTTGCCAGTACCAAAATATGATAATAGGGTTTCCCCCTTTTTTCTGGCAACAAAAACAAGTGTTAAGATGTTAAAACACCAAACTGAAACCTTTTACAAGGAATGCAAACAAAAAACATACTCTGATAATATATGCACACCGTTTGAGACGAGGCTCAAAAGAAAGCAGTCTCTGGTGTGGACCAATCAGTTTCAAGGACAATGCATATATACTATCAGAGTATGTTTTTTGTTTGCATTCTGACCACAAACATTGTGGTTAATGCAGACACGATTCCTTGTAAAAGGTTTTAGTTTGGTGTTTTAACATCTTAACACCTGTTTTGTTGACAGAAAAAAGGGGAAAAACCTATTATCAGATAGGTATGTGACCGATATTGTTAGCTTATTGATTATGTTATCATGTACACCCAAGTAACATATCCAATGTTACTCCTGCTTTTCACAGGTTATTATGAAAATCGCAGTCAAGAGTTTGCTCCATCGCGCGAGTGTAGACTCTAGCTGTCTTCTATAATAAGCACTCTCATTTAAGCTTCTGCTGGCATTCCTCCAAAAGCGTGAGATGTCCACATCTGTTGTTGGTTGCACAAGAAATATGAAAAATAACTTTTATGTAGTCACCCCTTTTTCCCTGTCACCAAATGATTCATCCATGTGTCTTCGGCAGCTGGAGAGAGTATGTACGCTCCATTTGGTCCTGGTGTTCCTACCACTTATGGCCATACCTGAATCTCAGTTTAAAAACTGTGGGGTAAGGATTGCCCTTCAGGGTCAATGTTTACTGGTCACATGTGATGTTGCCTGTGATGTGCGGCTCGCATTAATTAGTCCCTCTTGTCTTGTTAAATACCAAACGCGACCCAATGACGATATCATATGTCCCCCCCCCATCCCCTCTATGTAATACGAGCCAGATTTAATTTTAGAAGGGTGCTGATGTGTGCAAAGGACACTTCATGTTTTATCTGGCCAAGAACTCGGGCCGTTGCAGCGTGTGCCATCTGTTGTTTAGCGTTGTGTGTCTGAGCTCACTATATTGGGCTTCCAGTACATTAAACATCAACAACTTAGTGGCTGGCTGGCATGCATTTCCCAATTGAATGGAGAAATGGTTAACTCATTTTTGCAGTCTCAGGTTCACTAGTCTTATGGAAAAAAATCCTGGTATTCCCATGCAGCATTTGTAATTATTCTGATTTTGTGCAAAAAAAAATTTCCTGGCCATTAGGACCATGTGATTTAAGAAGGTAATTAATAAATGGTATGCTTGACTCTTACTGTTATCTAAGAAAATGGCTTGGGGAAACGAAATTGTTATTTTATTAAGTTATCTACAATCATATGGATGAAAGATCTTAAAATACATTCATCATGTTATTTGTGTGATACTCGTGGTGTGGAACAGAATTTTTTTTATATAAAAATTGATGTCAACTTTTGTCAATCGTGGATATTGCACACAGAGGTATTGAGTAGTCAAAATACATTTTGTTAAATTACTAGATAAGTAATCGTTTGTAAGTAAATACACATCCATGCTTGTGCAGATCTTCCAGATTCAACAACTACAATAGTGTACAGTATTTCTGGGTTATATCTGAGGACTAAACTGCATCTGAAACGCAGTGCAATCTGGAGTGTGTGTGTGAGGACATGCGCAGTCCACGTTACCTTTGCCATACTTGTTGCCGTGGGTGCCACCCATGCGCCAGTCAAAGTTCTGGAGGCAGATGGGCTCCACCATGTCCTTGCTGGTGCCATGGAAGAGCAGCATCTCCCTCACCGCTTCCCCACTGGAGCGTCGCTCCATGAACTGTCTCCGTCTGCCAGAGGCCAGAATGGGGCACAAGTCAGACATGGCAGATTTTGATCAATGGTAATAATACTTAATAATCGATTTTTTTCCCCTTTTTTCTGGCAACAAAACTGAAACCTTTTACAAGGAATCATGTTTACATTAACCACAATACCTGCAGTCAGAATGCAAACAAAAACACAATCTGATAATGTATGCATTGTCCTTGAAATTGATTGGTCCACACCATGTCCTTACTGGTGCCTTTTGGCGTCATCTGGTCGAACACGCCAAAAGGCATTATTTTATTAAGTTGGTGTGGACCAATCAATTTCAAGGACAATGCATACATTATCAGATTGTGTTTTTTGTTTGCATTCTGACTGCAGGTATTGTGGTTAATGTAAACATGATTCCTTCTAAAAAGGTTTCAGTTTTGTTGCCAGAAAAAGGGGAAAAACCTATCATATTTTCCTACTGGCAAAGGAGGTCTCATGAAGTAATTATAGTTGTTGGGTTGTGGGTAGTAAAACAGTGTTTTCTCTCTTGAGAAACTGACCACAGTCCTATGACTATGGAATTTATACAACCAGTTTAAGGGCTTCAATGTAGATGAGCACTTCTCCATTCCAATGTCTCCTTTTGTTGAAGGAAGCAGTTGGTGGCTTTCATGGATGAGATTACTTTCGCAAGAGCCATGGCGATACTGGCGGTGAAGCTACACAGAGCGCAAGTGTCACGGGCTGCGTTATAGATGGGGAGGAGGGGAGAGAGATGGAGGTACATGTATGGGTGTATGAGGCTGCAGTGGTCATACAGACTTGTGGGAAATTATTTGTTAATTATGCTAATGATGTACATTTTATATCGAGGCAAACGGAGTGGAAGTATTATACAAAGTGACAGAACATTTTAGAATCAATATAGGTGTTAGAAACGAGAAGAAAAAAAATATGTATTCTTGAGTCAAATCTTGACCAATAATCGTGGCAATTCGTGACATTTATGGGTGAACGATTGCACACCTCTTAGCAGCTTCGTATTTATACTACTGTAATGGGTTACATTGAGGCGCACACTCGACTTGGAGGCAACACTATTAACACACTAGCTTTACTACCCGGCTTCCCCCAGGATTTGCATGCGGTTGACATCAGATGTGACGTCACCGCTCACTTGCCGTGCAAATTATATCCATTATTGCGCCCCCCCCCCCAAAAAAAAAATCCAAAAGTCTATTTTTTATACTTTTTGCATTGTGTACAGTCTGGAAGCTACCCACATGCCAAATTTCAAGTTTGTTCGATACACCTTCCAAATCTCACTAACACTCGGGGAACACTACACAGCGTGACCCAGGGCAGGTGACGGCTGCCTGGTCACAAACGACGATCAGAGAATATCGATTTAAAGCTTTCGTGACTGCAAGGATTCATCTTCTTTGGTTCTTTCGGTAAAGTCACGTAGAATGAGAATAAAATAATAAAATAAAATTCTCACGACGTTTCGGCCACAACACAAGTGGCCTTCTTCAGGTGAAAGGGACAAACCTGTTGGGACGACAGAGCTTCAATTAAAAAAACAGGTCTGTCCCTTTCACCTGAAGAAGGCCACTTGTGTTGTGGCCGAAACGTCGTGAGAATTTTATTGTTTTATTTTATTCTCATTCTACGTGACTTTACCGAAAGAACCAAAGAAGACGATCGGAGACTTGAGGACTTCTCATGGCGTCTTCATCCAGGAGTAGAACAGCCCAGCTCCCCGTTCACACCCCGCTTATAATCACTCTGGCGTGGCTCCGCCCCAGGCCACGCCCCCTTCTCAATCCTTCGGGAAGTTCCGGGTTCCCAACCATGTGACCGCCAAGTTTCCCCCTGGGGCCCCTGGCCCCCCTTTATCCGGTCACGTGTCCTGTTGGGTTAACGCGGAGTGCCACGGCCTGACACGACCCCCGTGACACCCGCCTACAGCCCCCATACCGAGCCGACACGGTAGTGAGGTCATGTGTCCGCTCGTACAGTACCGACATAATAGTGACGTCATATGTCACTACACTACTAATAACCCAATAGCAGTTGCTTTCCTTCGCAAACCGGCTTTTTGCAGCAAAGTTTGTTATGAGTACGAGCTTTGCAATGAAGATGCCTATCAACATTATCCACAAATACAAGTCACCACGATTTATTTTATAACCATGCAATTAATACAAACAAATACTGCATTGAACAGTCTGAATCAATCATGCGTGTGATATGGAAAGCACAAACGACGATACTCAATGAGTTGATTCATCATTAAATCTTCCCGACCACACGTCCCTATGCAGCAGTGGCGAACTTCCACAGCGAGCAGTCTGTGATGCTCTGAAGGCATCATCTTACACGGCCACCCACGTTGGCACTTCATCTACGTGCCACCATTACACGGTCCACTGCCAATGTGCTAGTTTCGCCATCTACTGGTGGCATTAACATTTTACAGTCATTCCTTTACCAAAACATAGGAACCCGGTACGTTTCATGTGCATGCGAAATCATGTGCAATATTACATAACCATCACGAGAGCATGTGGGTTCCATAAAAAAGGCAATAAATAAAAACAATAGAAGTCTGTATTCTTGGTTCTTTCGGTACAGTCACATTGAAGGGAAACAATAAAATAATAAAATATATAAAAAAACAAAATTCTCACGACGTTTCGACTGCAACACAAGCAGTCATGATCAGGTGTGAAAACCAATGGCAAGAACATTTGAAAGAAGTGGCGGTTTGTATTTATTTATTTTTAAACGTTAGCGCCACGGATAGCGATTTGACAGGTTGTTTAGATGGACGAGTTCAAAAGAGGAGGGGGGAGACGAAAAATTAATGTATGCTGTCTGAAAGCCACTGTAAGCGTGAACAATCAATTAAGACCCGAAATGGTTTATCAAATCCTTCCAATTATTGCTAAGCCAGAATCCATCTTCTCGGTTGAAATTGTCTCTGTGTTTGTATATGTGGATAGCCTCATGAACGAATCTCTCATGGTAGCCAGATAGCTTGCAATGTAACTACTACCACAGAGGCAACTTAGTTTGTAGACACCAGGGTACTGTATGTCCGGAATCACATCTTTTACAGATGGAACCAGATCACGGATTTTATGTAATGTGTTAAAACGGACCTGGATCTTGTGTTTATTCAAGATTTAGAGATCTTTTTTGTGACCCCCGCAATGTAGCGTAAAGTGATGGTTTTGAAAGGCTCCTCAAGAGGGTCCTTCTTCATGGTTTGAGTGATAGCTTTGCGGATTATATAGTCGGAGTAACCATTAGCCTTAAGAGCTTGGTGTACGTGCTTCAGCAAAGATGAGCGTTTTGAATTATATAAATGAAAAAAGAGGGATGACATTGTAATCCTCTCAGCCGACAAGGGCAATGCTACTGTCATCATGGATAAAATACAATATAACAACAAAATTAAAGAATTACTCGATGATGGCAGCTATACAAAAATAAAAAGAGATCCCACCAACAGCCTCGTCACACAAACCAACAAAATAATTTCTGATTCAACCGCATTAATTGATCAAACTAAACAGTTTTCGTTGAAACCTTCTGCTGCCAGGCCACCAAGATTATACGGCTTACCATAAATACATAAAGTAGATACACCCCTTCGTCCCATCGTCTCTACTATCAACTCCCCCACCTACAAACTGGCTCGTTTTCTGTCTGAAATACTGCGGACTTTCACTGGAAAAACCACCTCTGCGGTACAAAATTCTACTCACCTGGTATCGACAATCAAGGGTATTTCCCTGTCCCCAGACGACTGCTTGTCAGTTTTGATGTAGTTTCCTTATTCACCAAAGTTCCTGTACCTGACAACATCGCAATCATTGAAGACTTGGTTCATCAAGGACTAAACACTGAGGTACCCCCCCCTGGTGAGACACTGCTTAACCAATACATACTTCACTTGGAATGGAACTTTCTACAAACAAACTGAGGGCACCCCAATGGGCTCCCCCCTATCTCCAGTTATAGCCAACATTTTCATAGAGAAATTTGAGACTGACGCCATCCAGACAGCCACTCTGCGCCAAACCTTATGGAAGAGGTACGTGGATGACACTTTTGTCATCTGGCCACATGGCCGGCCTGCTCTAGACCAACTCTTCGACCACATCAATTCCATACACCCAGCCATCAGATTTAGCATGGACGTCGAAAAATATGGCAAGCTACCTTTTTTGGATGTCCTAATAAAGAGACCTGATGGTTCAATGAGCCACTCTGTCTACAGGAAAGCTACCCATATGGATGCTTATCGGAAACCGGATTCCCACCACCATCCATCACAGAAGAATTCTCTCATCAAGACTCTGCACCATAGAGCCCAATGCATATCCGACCAGGAACACATAGGCAGTGAACTGAAGCATGTACACCAAGCTCTTAAGATTAATGGTTACTCCGACTATACAATCCGCAAAGCTATCACTCAAACCATGAAGGACCCTCTTGAGAAGCCTTTCAAAACCATCACTGTACCCTACATTGCGGGGATCACAAAAAAGATCTCCAAAATCTTGAATAAACACAAGATCCAGGTCCGTTTTAACACATTACATAAAATCCGTGATCTGGTTCCATCTGTAAAATATGTGATTCCGGACATACAGTACCCTGGTGTCTACAAACTAAGTTGCCTCTGTGGTAGTAGTTACATTGGAGAAACCAAACGCCGTGTGACGGACCGCATTCGTGAACACAAAGCAGACCTTAAACACGGTTGGACCAACACCTCGGCCGTGGCAGATCATTGTTATAATTCAGTAGGCTCACATGACATTGACTTCTCCAAGACAGAGATTCTTTGCAAGCCATCTGGCTACCATGAGAGATTAGTTGATGAGGCTATCCACATATACAAACACAGAGACAATTTCAACCGAGAAGATGGATTCTGGCTTAGCAATCATTGGAAGGATTTGATAAACCATTTCGGGTCTTAATTGATTGTTCACGCTTACAGTGGCTTTCACGCTTACAGTGGCTTTCAGACAGCATACATTAATTTTTCGTCTCCCCCCTCCTCTTTTCCGAACAGAGATGGACTCTTCCATCTAAATAAACTGTGAAATCGCTATCTGTGGCGCTAACGTTTAAAAATAAATACAAACCGCCACTTCTTACAAATGTTCTTGCCATTGGTTTTCACACCTGATGATGACTGCTTGTGTTGCAGTCAAAATGTCGTGAGAATTTTATTGTTTTATATATTTTATTATTTTATTGTTTCCCTTCAACATGACTTTACCGAAAGAACCAAGAATATGAATCACTGCAGTCACGAAAGCTTTAAATCAAAATAGAAGTCTGGTTGAAGTCCAATAAATTATAGTTTATAGGGTGATGGGAAGAGTCATATTGAAGTCTATTGTCTTAAAACATAAGACACTACTGTATCTATAAAACGTCTGAGTGGCTACTCTGCAAAATGAGCTTGGAGAGGCATTCATTTGTTTGTGGTCTGATCCAGTTGTGGATGCGAATCCCAAATCTGAGAGGACATCGCGCAACACTACCCACAACTTCGACTATTCACGTGCAACAACGCAACCGTCACAACTTCTCTCCTGCAACGTATCACATGCGTAAACAACCTCGACATTTATATAGCTATTGCTGATGCCCCCCACCCTATCACACGAAATAATAATTAAATGATGAACAATTAACATTCTTACCGCAGCGGAAATTCCATACACAATAAACAGGTGTTTTACTTCCTACAGGGTGGCCCTGATTTTATCCACCTGAGAGAGAGGAAGAGCTGAGCCAACTCCTAACTTGGATCTTAACTTCAAAACTTCCAATTACGCACCAATGTCTCTACCAACTGTGACATCTCGCAAGATGAGAAACATTATCTTCTCTGCGATCATATAGCCTACGATACAGGCACTGTATGGTTCATGTATACTTGACATCTGTGTCCAATTCTTCCTACTACCTGCAATTATCCACATTCTGCACAGTGGAATGGTTTCTTATTATCCACATGTTTATCATAGATAGTTACGTGGAAATTCCACCCTATTACCAATGGGATATATGCAATTTCTTGAACATGGTGCTGAAAAAAGAGCCTACGGGATTGATGTGTAATACAAATATGCACTTCATGGGCAGTGAATGGAAGGGTGTTTACATCTCCAATCAAATGTCAATGACGGAGAATCGGAAATCCTTAAGAGTCGCAGTCACCACTCAAGGCAAAATGTCCATCTCCACGCACCCAGGTAGTATAGACATTAAATCTTGACTAGTATAGTATAGACATTGTAGTAATTCACAGCAGATTTCAATATCTACGGGCATCTTTTTACATACACTGTAGGTGGAGTTGTGTGGAAAATTCTGATTTCCCACAGGTTAATCCACACGTAATGCCTTGCGCAGCCCTTTTCTCAGAAAATGTTAGATCACAACTCTGATTATCTGTAATTATTCGCAGATGTGAGTTCATCGGCAAATCGACCCTAATATCCAGAATGTTTTTCACAGATATTTAGAGTAAATATGCGGATAACATCTCAGATAATAGGGTCATCGGTGTTAATTCCCCAAATCGCTGAGGGTAAAAGGAATTCTTACTGTAGTTTGTAAAATGATGAGTCAGTGTTGGGGAGTTGTCAAATTGCTGCTATAGCAAATGCAGTCTTGAACTCAAGGCTGGTAGCCACAAGGCCAAGCCAACGCCAAGGCTGGGAGCCTTTACGCAGAGGCGAGTGTCGAGGCCAATGAAAGCCGGATCCTCTAGGTTGAGGCGAGTGTCGAGGCTGGTGCCTCTAAGCCAGACATGGGCAAAGTACGGCCCCCGGGCCGTATACGGCCCGTTGGGCTTTTTAATCCGGCCCGCCGAACTTGTCCAAATATTATTATTAAATTTAATTTTCCCTTCTCCTGTAATGCCCCCATTTCCCCATTAGATGGCGCACTTTGACCGGGAGTTACGACATGTATTTGTATTGTTCATGTTCGTGCAATTTGTTAAATTGCCTTGCAAATAAATGCTTTGCTACCTGTTAAAGGCCAAATCCTTTCATGTAATGATTTTTACATGTCATTTATATTAGTTCACACAAACACTCCATCCAACTGTTCCTGGCCCTGCCCCTCTGTCAAATTTTAGAACCCATTGTGGCCCGCGAGTCAAAAAATTTGCCCACCCCTGCTCTAAGCCAAATCATGTGACCGAGGTCACACCCCCGAGGGCAAGGTCAAAGACTGGCTCCATAGCAAAAAATAAACAATGAGGCGGCCATGTGTTGGGTTACTTGGCATTGCTGCACACGTCCATACATTCCTCAGCACCGAGTAAAAATACACGGCCCAAATACAACTGCAAGCAGAGAGCTGACATTATCACACGCTTCATAAAGGTTTGTCGGATGAGTACAACCGCGGGACTGAAACGGCTTCGAATGCTTTTGTAACAAAAGCACACATAATGGAAAAGCAAGTGTAACAATGTCTAGCAAATAATTTTGCAGCAGAAGTTTGGATAATTTTGCTTTCCCTGCAGGAAACAAAATACCTCGCCAACCATGGGCCGATGGATTATAAACTCTCTGGCCGTCCTGTGCTTTTTGAGCAGTCACACAACAAGGTATGGTTGGTAAAACACAGAACAAACCAAGGGCTTGCGTCTTTCACAAAGAGAACCTGCATGTCAGCATGATCGTCAACATTATCAACGTCACATCATCGCACGCTCTAGAATCGTCAGTGGAGTGTTACCGTGAATCTCTGAGTGAACGTTATTTTATTACTAGCGTGTGGTGGGCCTTTATCCAGCAGTGTATTTAAGCACCAAAAAAACTACAGTACTAATGTAATTAGAACCGTGTGTATATGTCCGTACGTAATAGATGTGCGTGTAGTGCACGTGTGTTTTACCGTCAAAGGTATTATTGAAAAGTATTATTGTAGAGTACTGTAAAAAGAACGCGAACGGCTTTGCTGTACTTGAGAACTTTAAATAAGTCGAATAAGAGCGACTTTACGCGGCTTTCACTTAAAACTTTCACTCTCCATACCTTTTTTGACAATCCCGCGATGCAACTTTAATGTGAATGAATGCAAATGTATTTTAACTTTAGTTGTGATATTTAAATTCACTTCTAAGAGCTATGACTTATTAATCACTGAAATAAGTGTTAGGATGATTTGGCGCTTGCGATATAAAATAAATGATAAAAAAATACTTGTGTAATTTTGCCTCAAATATAAATCGGCGCTTTAAAAAGTTGTAGATGTTTTTGAAAATTGAGTAAAAAGTTTACGGCTAAAATATATTTGTAATTTATTGTAAATTATATATGTTGGCAACTTGACGCGTTAGTGACAGAATGACAGGCGGCCCACAACAACAACAGCCTGTTGTGGGGAGGGGGGCCAGCGGCATCCCAGGACAATCACAGCTGTTCTCTCTCTCGGAAGCGTTCACAGCGTTAATGATGATCATCGGTGAAAAAAGTTGTGCTTTTATTTATTTTTCATTGTCTGTGTTGTGTGTAGTGCGTGTGTGAGTGGTGTGTGTCGGGTGTGTGTTGTGAGTCTGTCGTGTCTGTGGTGTGTCGGTATTGTGTGTGTGGTGTGTCTGTGTTGTATGTGTTGTGTTTTGTTTGTGTACGGTGCGTGTGTTCGTCTGTTATATAATTTCTTCTATATAAATGTTTTGGCAAGTTTACGCGTTAGTGACAGAATGACAGACAGAATGACACACAGAACTGTGTGTTTGTTATATTATTTTACTTTCATTGTGGAAAAAGTCAGCACTGTACATGAGTGCTGTACTTTTTTTAGTGTTCAAATGCACTGCTGGATGAAGGGCCACCGCAGGCTGTGCGCTTGTCGTGGTTGGATGCGTGACGTCATTACACACGAACGCGGCTATTGTGAAAGAGAACTGACGTCACCGCCCATACGTGCGTGATCGGGGGCGTACATGTTTATGAGGGGCGCACCTCTCTGGTTGGCTGCTTGGTCCCGGTCACGTGACGCACTTCAACCAATCCGTGCCGCGTTAATCACAATGACAGAATGACAGACCTGGGATGTCACCCATGGGAGGCCTCGCTGATTGATTTGAGTGAACAAAGGGAATTCCCCGGGAAAGTTTCGGTTCTCAAACAAAGTTGTTAATGATGCAAGAAACAAAAATATTGATCCAACTCATCACATGCGAGACGGACAATATTGACAAGACGGTAAAAACAAAACATGACCCTTGGAGCAATCCCTGGGGAGCGGAGGATCGTTACCCCCCCCCCCCCCCCCCCACCGTCAAGAGGCAATAGATCCATGGGTGTGGACATTAATAATTGAAGCGTGAATACATGCCACTGGCTTATCGACTTCAACATAAGGATGCCACGGTAGCGAGATGGGAACTACCTCGCCTGGTATACAGGAGGTAGTGGGTTCAAACTTAATCCCAACCCTGATGCCTGCTGTATATTTGAAGTTTGCATGTCTCTCTTCCCGTGGTCGCGTACATTTTTTTCCGGGTCCTCCAGTTTTTCCCTTCACATTTGAAAACATGTGTTTAGAGCATTTGGCTGCTATAAATATCCACGTGACAAAGCTAATTCGTTGAGCTATGTGTGGCCAAGTTGCTTCTGAAAAAGAGCTAGATAGCTCAGTGGGGCCTTACCTGGTAAAACAGAAAATGGCTTAATAGTTTAAAATAAAATAAAAGTTTGTAGTTTAAAGTATTACATCCTAATGGTGAAGTGTGCCTTTGTTACTCTAACAGAATGTATTGAAGTAATATATTAATCATTGCAGAGCTGACTCGACCACAGGTCCAAATCTCTCACCCTCTGAGGTCCTGGACAAGCTCCTGGGTCCATCATCTGGCTACAATCACAGAGTTCGGCCTAACTTTGGAGGTACCTTTGTTGTTTTGTTGTGTTTATTTGTGACAATACTATGAGGTGGTAAATATACACCAAGGGAAGTGTATATTACAGTATAGAGACACATCATCACAACTGTTTAGTAGGATGCAGGGAAATGTGTTTGTGGAAAGAGAATCGCAGTGACGGTGTAATCTGGATTAAGAAACAATGTTGTCCCTCTAGATCAAAGGTTTTTAACCTTTACTGCAGCCTTGCACCCCTTTGGTTCTCAATGGTTAAAACAGGTACAATGTTAATATGTCCGTCCACTTCACAAAGGGTGCACTAAAGATGATCCAAATAACTACCGACCTATCTCACTTTTGTCCCCGTTGATGATAGTTTTTGAAAAATGATTGACCTACCAAATTAGCAGTTTCCTGTCCACCAACAATCTACTACTGTACATCTAAAACAATCTGGGTTTCCAAAGAAAATACAGCACCACATCTGCTGCATTAGATTCTCTGAATCACATGTACAGTAGCCTTGATAATACACAGTACTGTGCCTGTCTTTTTCTAGACCTGTCCAAAGCTTTTGATACAGTAGACCATAACACCCTACTTAGTAAACTAAGTTGCCTCGGTTTTTCCGAAAACGCAGTAAAATGGTTACAAAATTACCTCTTTTCTCGCACCCAAACTGTATTCACAGATGGTTGGAGGTCAAACAGTGTCAAGATAACAAAAGGGGTTCCACAGGGTTCCATCCTCGGCCCCCTTTTGTCCTCTCTTTATGTCAATGACTTGGGCACTGACCTGGATCATTCCAGGGTAAATCTTTTTTGCAGATGGCACGATACTGATTACTGCTGGCCGCTCTCCGGATGACGTGATTGCTAAGCTCCAGGGTGATTTCAACAAACTACATCAGCTAGTTGCTCTTAAACTAGTCCTGAATACCTCCAAAACCAAGGTGCTATGCTTCTCACCAGGACTAAAGCAGGAAGTTATTTTTCCCCAATTACATTCCTTAAATAATTATCAAATAGAGCAAGTCAAGATCTATAAGTATCTTGGGGTCATCCTGGATTCAAAACTGAATTTTGAAGATCACATTGATTATATTGGTAAAAAGAGAAAAATAAAAATTGGTTTTCTGTATCGACACAAGCACTGCTTCCCCCCAATGTTCCGTTTGGAATTGATAAAAGCTATCATACTGCCTCTACTTGACTACTGTGACATCGTGTATAAATCAGCCCCAAGTACTGTACTGAAGAAGCTTGATTCCATCTATCACTTGGCCTTAAGATTTACATTGAACTGCCCATATAGGACTCACCACTGTGATCTCTACATTAGGTCAAACTTAACATCTCTTAATGTTCGACGGCTTGTGTACCAGATCTTATTTATTCACGATATACTTACAAAAAAATCCGCAGACTACCTGCTGTATCTCCTCTCTGTCAAAGAACAAATTTTACCTCAGGTCTTCGCTCATTTACCAGCTTCACATTCCCTATTGCCGTACAAAAACTGGAGGAAGGGCCTTTGCTATTGATGCCCCCAGGGTCTGGAATACTATTGCCAATAAACTGCAACTTGAATCGCTACCAATGAGATCTTCTCTCAAAACTGCTCTAGAGGAGTTGTACACCCCTAGCTGTAGCTGCTATTCATTGGTGTAAAATAAAATAAAATGTTTCGCTCCGGATGACGCTTCAAAGTATTATCTGTATTTTGATTTAGCGTGCTGATCTTAAAGGTGCATTGAAAAATTTGATACTCCGACTGATGCTTCTGTTGTTGTGGAGTAACTCATGCAGCCAGCTATGGCTCTAGGATTTGGTGTTACATGTTATTTATGTAGCTTATTGTAAAAATTCGGTCACAGTCCCTGTGATCACTGTTACGTTGCAATTATGGATTTATTTTTTGGTGATTTCGAAAAGTTTTTTGGTTTGGACATGTTTGTTTTGTTGTAGTACGGAGTTAGACTGATGGCCTTAATCTAAGTTTTCTTGTGGTTGTTGTTGTTTGACTTGCATCCCACTGGGATTTTTTGCACACAGCGTTGGTCTACGGTGCTTTTTTCAGGAATATTTTGCAGTTTTTTTCATGGATTTTGTTTGCACAGTCACATAGTCACTTTAAGATGTTTTTCTTGTCCGTGTTTTTGTTTTTTTGTTTGTGGTTGCACCCGATTCAAGAGCCGAATGGCTCACAGGGCTATATCAAAATAAATAAACTGAAAAAATAAATACACAGGGGTTTGATTGAACAGAATAGTTGTACTTACGTGCCCGTGCTTAATTTGTCTTTTGATAATTTACCTTCTAAAAAACATCTGGCCATGTCTCGCACCCCCAGAAAGGGCATCTCGCACCCTCAGGAGGAGCATGCACCCTGAGTTTTATTAACAACCACTGCTCCAGATGAAAACGTCAACATTGGAGCGTTCTGTGTTTGATGCGTTAAACACGCCTGTGAGGTGAACTCACGCAGGCATTACGAGTTCGTGACATCTTTTATCTGCGTGCTGACTTGCAGGGCCCGCAGTCAACGTCTCCTGTGGAGTCTTCATCAGGAGTTTTGGGTCCATTCAAGAGGCCACCTCGGTAAGTGCCACTAACGCGTTAACCCAAAGGAAAACATCACAAGCCACCCCCACAACTATGACCTAATTCGTTCCTGGACAACGGTCGCAAGTCCAGCAGTCATAAGTCGGGGGTCACCTGTACCTTCATCAATAGTCAAATAGAGTACTGTTCCAATTAATTGATTGTTTCTCACTGCAAGCCTGCAGTCGAGACTCAAGCACAATATTGAGTCTTAAGTTAACATTGAAGGCAATTTTTTTAATCGAAAATTAATGCTTGTATTTTACAGTATCATTGTGGAAATTAAGTCTTAAAAAAATACTTCAAGTTTATTTTAAAGATTAATGGTTGCATGTTATAAAATAACACGTTGTTAAATCTTGACTTAAAGGTTTTGTGACTGCAGGAATTCATATTCTTTGGGTCTTTCGGTAAAGTCAAGTAGATAGAAAAATAATAACAATAAAATACTAAAATTAAAATGAAGTGAATAAAAAATAATAAAAATATCACGACGTTTCGATCGCAACACAAGCAATCGTCATCAGGAGAAAAAAAAGATTGCTTGTGTTGCGATCAAAACGTCGTGATTTTTATTCACTTAATGTTTATTTTTTATATTATTGTTATAATTTTCTCTCTCTACGTGACTTTACCGAAAGACCCAAAGAATATAACACGTTGTTCTAAAGTACATTCAAAGAGAAGACTGTAGCGATGATACCCCTCAGGAGGTTTATTGAATGGTCCCAAAACTGAAATATTTGGCCAACACCGACTACATTGCAGAGTTAAGTTATTAGCAATGGGAGGAGGAAACCGGAGACCCGGAGGAAACCCACTGCAGAATAGGGGGAGAACGCACAATCTGTGCACAAAAAATGCATCCAAGTTGGGAATTGAACCCAAGATATTCTTGCTGTGAGCCATGCTTGTTGAGAACACTAAACGAGCATTTGTTACATTCGTGGTGACAGTCATGATAAGGTTGAGGATGGTCAGCAATGATTAACGATGACCATGAATTATGTCTCCACCAGGACTATCGCATGACAGTCTACCTGCGACAGAGGTGGACTGACCCACGGCTGGCTTACAGCCACTACCCTGTACCCTTACTGCATCTCGACCAGTCCAACATCAAGCACATCTGGAAGCCTGACCTCTTCTTTGACAACGAGAAGAGTGCGCACTTTCACGAAATCACGACTGACAACAAGATGCTGAGGATCGCCAACAATGGCGTCGTTGACTATGCCATGAGGTCTGCAAGCACAACATTCGCACTGACACCGCTAGCTGGGGCTAGCTGGAGTGGTATGCAGTGGTAGAACGAGGGAACAACAGAGTATGACAATTATGATGGTGAAGTGGCACCACAAAAGGACACAGGCACATTGCCATAATGTGGTCTTTGTAATGAACACGGGAGTAAAGAGCTGTATAAGTAACACAGCAATCACTCATCGTCATCATTAGCCGTGATCAAACCACTGGTGGATGCAGGCCGCCCAAGCTGGCACCACCTCTCACAATCTTGCGATGCCATGAGGTCTGCAATATTGTGAGAGGTGGCGGCACCTGCACATGAACTGATCCCATCGCCCCTTCTCCGAGGTGGGTGGCCGCTTGGATGTGATCCTTTCCTATGGCTGCCAATCCGTAATAATTTTTAACCAATGTCTATCGTCCCTTCTAGCCCTATATAGCTCCTTTACAGAAGCAACCTGGCCACAAATGATAGTCAGTGGCATATCACGTCAAAATTTATAGCAGCCAAATATCCGGATAAATATCCACGCGACCACGAGGAGGGAGACATGCAACTCCAAATATACAGCAGGCATCAAGGTCAGGATCGATTCCACAAACTCCTGTATACAAGGCGAGGTAGTTAACATCTCGCCACCAAGGTGCCCCTTCTGTTCCTGCTTCTGTCTCGATATAATTCCAAGGATGCTTAGCATTCACTGTTAGAGGTCAAAATAGGTGTCTGCAAAATGGTGAAAACCCCATAATTACTAGGGAATCATTGCACACTCACCACTGTGGACATGCCCTCCTTACTTGATGTGTGCTGTCTCAATACAGGCTCACGCTTACCCTCTCCTGTCCAATGGACCTGCATAACTTCCCCATGGACACACAGATGTGCTCCATGTACCTGGAAAGCTGTACGTAACATTCCACGTACAATATCTAGATTCACTTTACATCACATGTTATTTGAACATTTTCTTTGGAATCATCATTATCAGCCATGTTCTGTCCGCTGCTGGATAAAGGCTTCCCCCACGTCATCCCCATGCCTCACGGGTATGGTAATGCAGTAGCTGATCTCGCCACTCTATCTCTTTGGAGTCTGTTTCCTCCTTTGTCTGCCATTCTGTCACCAGGCTCATCCATCGGCCATCAATCTTTTTTGCGACGTGCCCTGTTCAAGCCAAATTATTTTCATTAACGGTCTATAAGATCTTGAATTGAAGCTTTCGTGACTGCAGGAATCCATACTCTTTGGTTCTTTTGGTAAAGTCACGTAGGTAGAAAAATAATAGGTCACGACGTTTCGATCGCAACACAAGCAATCGTCATCAGGTGGGACAACCACAGCAAGAAAACTGCTGAAGTAGGCGAGAGATCTGCCTTGGCACGAGGTTATACAGGACTCAACAGGGGGGGAGAGAGAAGGCAGGGTGGAGGAGGTGGGGCAGGAAGTGGACCCCGCAGCAGCACCCGGGTCACTGGAGTAAAGTGGACCACCACGGCAGCACTGGAGAGATCGGCTGCAGGGGGGGAAAGAGAAGGGGGGGAAGGAGGCAGGGCAGAAAGTGGACCCCGAATTTGTTCTGTGATCCACCTTACTATTTCTGTCTCTCAGCATGTATCTCTCCATGCTTATTTGAATATTTTTCTGATTGTATTCCATGTTATGTGTCAAAGTCCATGTTTCTGATACGTCGTGGCAGCTGATGTGCACTGATTGAAAAAATGTCTTCTTTAGGTACATTGGTATGCTGCTTTTTTGGTAAAGTTTAATTTTGCAAAATAACCCCATCCTACTTTCAGAGGAGGGAAGCAGCAAAAAGTAAGTTCGTAAATGATAAATCTCAAACAGCAGACTTCTTAGAGAGCAATATAGAACCATAACATACGTAGGTATGTATGTTGATCTTCTTTCGCACTGTAAGTAGCCAACAGCGCTAATCTGAGGTGCGAACAGCGCTAATTGGAGGTGCGGAATGCACTGTCTGCTTCAAATAAACAATCTGTTGACTAAGATAACCAAAAACTATTCAAAAGCCAGCCAACAATGAGAAGAAGATTGTTTTATAAAACATGCTGATACCATTGACCACATCTATACTACCAATTACATTCCAGAAAAGACAAATTAAAATTAAATCCCATCATTGACAGCTTTTGGGGATTATTTGCAGTCCTCAATGGAGCTCTGGGCTATGTTTATGTATCCAAGTCACAAGTGACAAAATACGTGACAAGACACACAGGCGTCCAAGCTGCTCCTCCACGCATTATCTGGTGGGGGAAGAAGATGATGAGCCGATGTCTTGTGCCAAGACAGAGAGGCAACAGTTCAGGCACCCCGTGCAGTGTCATTGTAGCCACCGCAAGATCGAAATTAAAGAAAAATTTTTTTATTTAACAAGTTAAGGCCCACTGAGCGACACAGTTCTTTTTCAGAAGCGACCTGACCACAAATCATGGCTCAACGAAGTGGCTTATCAAGTGGAAATGTATCGCAGCCAAATACTCGAATTTTGCGTGTTGATTTTAAATGTGGAGGGAAAAACCAGAAGGCCCGGAGAAAAATCCACGCGGCCACGGGGAGAACATGTAAACTCCAAATATACAGCAGGCGTCAGGGTCTGGATTGAACCCACAACCTCCTGTATTCCAGGCGAGGTGGTTAACATCTCACCACGGGCCCGACATGGGGGAGTGCGCGACTGCAGCGTAAGAGCGGTCGCAGTCGAGTTTTACCATCTCCCATACAAATTGTCCGCCAAATCTTCAACAAGAGATGCAAGCCCCACATTTCCTACGGACAACAAACAGTTTTCACGGATAAAAGTATGAAACGTATGGGGGCGCTGTGCTGTATTTCTCAACACACGTACGTGCTGAATAGGGTTCGTGTGGTAAATTTTGGTCACCAATATAACTTCGCGTGCCGTTTGTGAACTTCTCAATTTTCACGACGCCGCAGTCGGCTACACTACAGCGGACATCGTCTTCCACTGGAACGGACCTACGCCCGTGTCTCTTTTTGAAGGACTCACGCTTCCACAATTTGTGCTCAGCAACAAAATAAGCACTGGCTCCTGCACAAAGACTTACAGCACCGGTACGGTCACCACCCAGAGTGGAACGCTTGGACACCCACCACCACCACCACCACCTCTCATTGTGGATTGGGGAGGCAGAGGGAAAACTGTCGAGTGACTAATAATTTCTTCATCGTTAGGAACTAAAGTGTTTCTAAATATAAAGCCTTATGAGACACGTGTTTCTGTACGTGTTAATCGAGTAATTATGTTACTAAGTTATATTTAATTCCCAATTCTAAGACGTAACATTTCTACACAATGCTTCTCCATGCATGTCTCTGCATTTTTTTCTTTAAATGCTTTTCAAGTGTGGCTTTGTATGCCGTGCTCGCTTGATCCGAGTTTTCCCTTAAAACAGGCCCTTTCAGGCTTGATAGGCTTTTAGCTAAAGTAAAAGGATATGTTAACAGAAGAGGCAGAGCATTTCATGTTCTCTTAAGTCTAACATAGGGTTAGCATAACAGTGGCACTTCTATTTTTTCCACAGGTTCATTTACATGCATTTTCGCAAAGTTTACTCTGCACCGTGAGATGGGCTTCTACCTGATCCAACTCTACGTGCCCAGCATTCTCATCGTCATCCTCTCCTGGGTCTCATTCTGGATAAACATGGAGGCAGCCCCGGCCCGTGTGGCGCTGGGGATCACCACAGTCCTCACCTTGACCACACAGAGCACGGGGGCCAGAGCGTCACTGCCTAAGGTCACCGGAAAAATCCTCAGTGTCACAAACCTCACCACACCCCACAACAGCGACGGTCCCACGGATATAACTCTGACCATCACGCGAACTCCGGTCATCCTCGCAGCAGTGGCGTTCGGCTGGCCATCAAACAAGCATGGTCACATCGCGCAGCTTTCAAATGTGCTTCTGTGGCCATCTGGAATGCTCTTCCTTCCGATATTAGGAAGCCAACTGGAGCGATGCACTTTTAAATCATTTAGATTGAAAACAAATTTCTTAATGACTGATCTGTGTTTAGATTGTTGTCCTTTCGCATAGTTGGCTGCATACGGTACGAAGGAAGCTCAACGGACATACATACATCATCAGTACAATTCTATAGAGTAATGGTAAGAGTTTAGATTTGAAGTTTTCGTGACTGCAGGGATCCATACTCTTTGGTTCTTTCGGTAAAGTCACGTGTGGTTTTCGCACCTGATGATGATTGCTTGTGTTGAAATCGAAACGTCGTGATTTAATTTTATTTTAATTTATTTCATACCTACGTGACTTTACCGAAAGAACCAAAGAGTAGTGGTAAGAGTTTTCCATGTTTTATCTCTTAACGATAAGACCCCTGTTTAGCATTTTAACATGGGCACTCATTATGACTTTTGTGCCACTGCTGCTGCTGCAGGTCTCCTACATCAAAGCGATGGACATTTGGATGGCGACGTGCCTGCTCTTCGTGTTCGCCGCGCTGCTGGAGTACGCCGCAGTGAATGTAACATCCAGGCAGAGCCAGGGCTTCATGAAGAAGGGCAGAGGGAACCAGAAGCCCATCGACCTGGTGAGTTCTCACACTCAGGTACACATGCTCTGCTTTTCTTCACGTACTCTAGCCAGTGTGCAGTTACAGTATTCGACAAAGCCCACCCCGCCTTTCTATCCACGGCATGATTTAACACAAGGCATTTGGGTACAATCCTATTTGGGTAAAATAATACTTGGCAAGATAGATTTTAAATGGGCATCTAAATGTAACAAGAATGCTACTTAAAGTTTGATTGCGTTAGCAACTAAGATAGAAAGTTAAAATGCTGTAAACCATCGGCTCTGTACCTGCCGAAGGACAGCCATAGCTCTTCACTCTGCACTCGCTTGATCCCGCTTAATCACAGCGTTCTTTATTTCCATCGTCATCAGAAACATGCGACTCACTTTCCTGAATTATCTGGACCCTTTGTATCGCATCACAGAGCCATATGGCCCACCAGCCTCCAGGTGGCATGCAGTGAATGTATACAGTGCACAAGAGACACATAGGCGGTTGACAAAATCTCATAGTGTTAAAAACAGAAAGGTGAATGTGTAATTTTTTAAAGTAATTTTTTATCCTATGTAAATCTGTTTTTTTTACACAGCTTGTGCATAAAAAAATGTAAAACATACTTTAAACAGTGTGATTAGTTACTGTGAGCGAAAATTTAACTTAACCAATAACAGGGCACCTTTATATTTTTATTATTTTATTGTTTCCCTTCTACGTGACTTTACCGAAAGAACCTAGAATATAACAGGGCACCTGTTAACGTGAGTCTGCATGCAATTAGAACATGGTGGGGAGTGTTGCTGCTGAAGTAACGACAAGGATATATATAAAGGCAAGGCTATTCACGACAGCATTCTGCAATTCATGAATTGCAATACCGTCAACACGCGCACACACGTGCTGACACACCAACAACAACAGCCGCCATTCACAGCGAAGTGATGGTGACATCACCATGGTGCCTGTGCCATGCGTATGTGCTGACATTCATACATGTGCTAACATGCATACACACGCTGGAACACACTGATACCACAGCAATCACCGCCATTCGCCACGACGTGACAGTGATTGTGTGCTGACGTCATGGTCCAAATTTGTAAAAAATACCCTCATTAAACATGCTCCAGGCCACTCTTGAAAATGAGACATTGGCTCTCGAGTTCTCACCCGGGTGAGACAAAATGACCTTGCAACTGGATAAGCACACACACACATACAGACTATTGGGGCAAGCGGTGTTTTTTTACGACACATTTTTAACAGTGAAACAAATAAAAGGTTTGAATATTACAAAATATAGCAAATGATCACAAAGTGTTAAAATCTCATCCATAATATGTATAACTAATGTGTAACATGTATAAACTAAATTGTATTTTTTAAGCGTCTAAACTTTTTTTTAAAGTGCAATTTCTTGGCCCTTTTTGAGGTTCTGGAAATTTCTTGTAGCTGAAAATGATAACGACCTTTTGCTCTTAGTCAATGCACTGCTGGATGAAGGCCACCCCATGCCATGTTGATGTTGAGGGTTGTTTGACCATACCTGACAACGCTGGCCAGTGCGTGTTGGTGAAGGTGGTGGTCCAGGACAGGTTCAGATATCACTCGCTGCTGATGTTCGCTGTGGCTAGATTAGGACGGAGTTCGCTAGGTTCACAGTACAGGGCACGAACCACTGCGGCACCAATCCCTTCAACTAAAATAAATAACAAATGTATTTTACCATCACAATTTTTACACTGAATGGTCTTCTTCCTGTTAGTGACAGTAAAAAGCCTGTTATTGTTTGTATGTAATATGTTAGATATGGTTTAAGGGGTGACATTAATAAAGCAAAATATTTGTGTATTTATTTCTGCAAAGCCAGTGTGTGTTGCCAATGTGCTTTGCATTTTTTCTGCAGCAAGCCCTTATTATCATTGCAGGAAACCAAAGAAAAGATGCGGAAAAAGTATGTTGCCTGTGCTCAAACCATCGACAATATCTCACGACTGTTTTTCCCAATTTCATTCCTCATCTTTAACGTCGTTTACTGGTTCGCCTTCAAAGTGATGCTCAAACGGGAAGTTTAAGGATCACGTCCACTCATTTAGAAATGTGCATGTGGGGCCCATCCAGTAGAAACTATAACACACTATCCCTTTACATGCCATGCTAAACTGTGAGACCGAGTCATTCTAAAGTCCATGACTCACGTTCTGAAAAGTTACATCCTCTGGTACAGTATTTGCAGCAGTTAATAAAAAAAAGGTTTCGAAAGTCAAAACGTTTCGTCATGTGCTTTTGAGTGAAGAGCAGTGCTCAGCTTAATTTCTTAACCACGATCAGTACAGTAGAAATGTATGATTCCATGTTGATATGGGGGGGGACCATATTTACGGATGCTGCAATCTGCGAGGTTTAGATAAAATAATCGGCAGACATCTCACATCGATGCAGTGTGCCGAGGACTATGGGAGGAAGTGCCTACACAAATTCCATTAATCCAGCAGTAGCCAATGAAGGCTGTGCCATACACGGATGATCCTCAAAAAGACTACAACTGGTGAACGGTTGTCTCATTGTCCTACTGCTGCTGGCGAGATGTTAACTACCTCGCTTGGTATACAGGAGGTCATGGGTTCGATTCCGACCCTGACACCTACTGTATATTTGGAGTTTACATGTTATCTCCCTGTGGTCCCTCTTCAGGAGGCTGGAGTAGGGGTCTGAGTGTGGGTAAAGGGCTTTCCCGTGAAGCTACGCTCAGTCTGGGTCCCCTTGTGTGTGAAGTGTTCAATGTTGTTGTATGGGTTTAACTTGTTCTGCCTCCAAGGCAGAACAAGTTAACAAATTCCTGTAATGTGAGTTACCCTGAATAAAGTTCAGCCCAGTCGGGCCCCACGTACGAGGTAACTTTTGGAGGTGGCTTCTTGAGTGATTGGACTTGAACAAGGGTACACACAAAGTATGTGTGGGCTGCGAGGGGGGGAGGCTATCACATGGTGATGTCACGAGACATGCAGGAGATTATGGCAGGAGCGATCTAATGGTCACAATGGCACCTTTTGCTGATATATAGATTACCTTTTGCACGTATTGTTACTCTGCTTTGGGACGTTTAACCTGAATGGGTAATATCAGTGGAGATAACTTGTGTGACATTCCATGGAGGGTTGATGTAATTGAGGCAATTACATTATAAAAAATAAATGGTGCGTTTATAAAACACTAGCGGTAAGTACCCAGCGTTGCCTGGGCGAAAAGACAGACACACATATCCACTCACACACATACATACATAGACTCAAACACAAGTTGACCTACACATGCACAAATGGACTTACAAAGACACACATATCGACTAAGACACACACACGGACTTACACAAACACATGGACCCACGCACACACTTGGACTTACACACACACACATATCGACGCACACACACACACATACATAGACTCACACACACACATGGACCTACACACACATATGGACTTACACACATATCGATGCACACACGCACACATGGACTCTCACACACATACACACATTGCTGTACACACATCGACTGACACACATAGACTCACACACAAGCACACACATCGACTCACACACACGCATAGAGCCACACACACATGGACTGACACACACACATGGACTTACGCACACACACATGTACGTACACAAACACACATGCACTCACACGCACACATGGACCTACACACACGCAAAAAAATGGACTTACACTGGCTCACATGGAGCCACGCACACACAGCGACTAACACACGCGCACATCGACTCTCACACACAGACACATCGACTCGCACACACACACATTGACTCACACACACAGACACATCGACTTACACACACACACATCACCGCAGACACGCACATCGACTCGCACGCACACATGGACGTAGACACACGCATTATTATTCTTAAAATAAGTAACTTAATTTAAAATTCGTAGTTGTCTACACACACACACCGCGCACACACATTGACTAACACAAACATCGACTTACGCATACACACATCAACGATAAGCACTGCTATCACTACAGCAGTGCATACCGACTGTGGTGGTACCTGGTATGATTGCAGCAGTGCCTACTGACTGTGATGGTCCCTGCTATGATAACAGCAGTGCATACTGTGGTGGTACCTGCTTTCACTACCGCAGTGCATAGCGAATGTGGTGGTGCCTGCTATAACTACAGCAGTGCATCCTGACTATGGTGGTACCTGCTATGATAACAGCAGTGCATGCTGTGGCGGTACATGCTTTGACAACAGAAGTGCATACTGAATGTGGTACCTGCTTTCACTACAGCAGTGCATACTGTGGTGGTACCTGGTATGATTACAGCAGTGCATACTGACTGTGGTGGAACCTGCTATCACAACAGTAGTACATGCTGACTCTATAGCAGTATATATCGACTCTATAGCACAAACCACGAACCTGATAGAGTAGCGTTGTGAGGCCTAGTCCCGTGTAGAGCCCCCGGCCTTGCCTAGATTGCCCAGCCGGTAAGCTGGGGGCTGGGCCGCTACCCCCCCCCACCATCCCCCCGGCCGCGCAACAATAATTCTAAGCACTATATTAATATGTCCGGACTCTATAGTAGTAACTGTACGCATCAGGGTGGGGGGGGAGAAGAGGACATCACACAGTGAAGAATGTACCTCAGCATTGTGTGTTTTTGTAGCATTTTAACGCGAAAGAAAAATTCCCCCTCACCCCCATCGAACGCGTGTGACTTGGCATGGTCCGTCCCTCCCACCAAAAATTCGTGAGTTGGTATGGCCGAGGGCTGGCAAAATAATTAAATAAAGAAAAATCGCACAAAATCGCTAATTTAACTGGTTTAAAGGTGACGGACGTGAACAAGGAATAGCGCTTGCCAACCGCGGGTCTTACGGCATGGTACCTGGCTAATTTTTTTTTACGTAATCCCACCGTTTGAGCCAAATCCCTTGCAAGCGCATGAACACACACAGACAGACAGAGACAAAAAATTACATTCATATATAAGAAGATAAAAGTCAAGCATTCATGCTCAAATGAGCTCTCATCTCTGTTTATGGCCCGAGCAAGGAGTGGAAATGGTCTCATAAATTATTATTGGCATACAATGAGTGAATAGAACATATGTATGTATTTTGAACTTCTTCTGCACCATATGTAGACAATTATGTGGGGGGAAGACAATAAACAAAACACAAAAATAATGTGTGCACTTGTTATGTTTCTCTAACAAACTAGTTAATAATGTTACATTTTAGTTCTTAGTTTCTAAAAGAGAAAAGGCTCACACCGGCTCTGTACCTGCTGAAGGACAGCCACAGCTCTTCATTCTGCACTCGCTTGATGCGCTTAATCACAGCGTTCTTTATTTCCATCGTCTTCAGGAACATGCGGCTCACTTTCCTGAATTCACTGGACCCGTTGTGTAGTTCCACAATCTGTGACAACGTTGGACACGTGTTAAATCACAAACGTACACTGACAGTTTTGCACTCAAGAATAACATTTGGTAATTACCCAAATATACAAAATATTCATCTTCTTTGGTTCTTTCGGTAAAGTCACGTAGAATGAGAATAAAATAATAAATTGATAAAATAAAATAACACAATAATATTCTCACGACGTTTCGGCCACAACACAAGCGGCCTTCATCAGGTGAAGGGAGCGAGACTGGTAGGACAGCGCTGGAGTGAGAGAGCCACGTTCAGATCACGGCTTTTAAGCTGTGTGAGAGGAACAAAGAGCCTTAGAGTCGCGGCATCTCTTCAGAAAGGTGAGAGACTCGATTAGTTGAGCCTTCTTATCCCGAAGTCTGTTGAATGATCTTAAGGATGTGTGGAATCCCTCCCCGTAGAGGCGGTTAAATTTCGATTTAAAGCTTTCGTGACTGCAATGATTCATCTTCTTTAGTTCTTTCGGTAAAGTCACGTAGAATGAGAATAAAATAATAAATTGATAAAATAAAATAACACAATAATATTCTCACGACGTTTCGGCCACAACACAAGTGGCCTTCATCAGGTGAAGGGAGCGAGACTGGTAGGACAGCGCTGGAGTGAGAGAGCCACGTTCAGATCACGGCTTTTAAGCTGTGTGAGAGGAACAAAGAGCCTTAGAGTCGCGGCATCTCTTCAGAAAGGTGAGAGACTCGATTAGTTGAGCCTTCTTATCCCGACTTCACAGCTTAAAAGCCGTGATCTGAACGTGGCTCTCTCACTCCAGCGCTGTCCTACCAGTCTCGCTCCCTTCACCTGATGAAGGCCGCTTGTGTTGTGGCCGAAACGTCGTGAGAATATTATTGTGTTATTTTATTTTATCAATTTATTATTTTATTCTCATTCTACGTGACTTTACCGAAAGAACCAAAGAAGATGAATCATTGCAGTCACGAAAGCTTTAAATCGAAAAATAAAATACAAAATATTGTTTTAAAATGTACTGCTGGGTAGTTCCATTCAGCATTACTTGAAATAAAAATCTATATGTATAGATTTTTTTGTTCCAGGATCATATTCCATTCATTCTATAGGAAAACAATGGCTCTGAAAGATGACTTCACGTAACTATTTCTGAGGTTCCCGCAATAGGCATATTTATGCACACTTAGGAGCAAATCTTTAGCGTGCCCTCAAAAGTTGGTTATTGTTAAGTAAATCAGATTTCTTGAATTCTCAGAGCTAGAATAAGCCAAAAAAGTTAAATATGAATTTAATGTGATGGGTTTATTACCATCCATATAGTTTTCCTTTATTTATGACCAGGTAAGAGCCCATTGAGACTAGGAGTCTCGTTTTCAAGGGAGACCTAGGTGAAATAACTACATTATAACAGCAAAGATTCTACTGCAACAAGACATAGAATTATATATCATAATCAGCAAATACATTTTCATGGAATAAATGAAAACACAGATCTAGACATCTTAGCAGCATACATCATAAGTAATTAAATTGAAAATTAAATTCCGTAAGCCGTAAACATGAATGACAATCAGGTTATAACTTGCCATCAATAAACGTGTAGAGTTGAACAAAATGAAAAGCGTACAAAACGAGCTTTAAATGTAATGCATGTAAACAAGATCTAACGCGGAGACAAACAAGTAAACAAGATCTAACACATAGACAACCAACAGCAAAAAAAACCCCGAGTTTAAAGTGAAATACACTGATATAATTTGAAATAAAATTGAAATGCGAGATGGCAAAATGGGATTACATTACATATGTAGTGACTGTGAATGTCGCTCTGTGGTACCGGGCTTGCGAAGCCACGGCAGATAATGTTTTCATTATGTGCAGCCCGGTTACTGGGCGTAGTACCAGCCCTAGCGGGGCTTGGGTGAGCGCTGGTCAGCGCGGGGGCACCACGTATAGTGTGTGGTGCGGGCTCCCGGTGAGGGAGCAGAGTTACCTTAGGGCATGATATGCTGGTTGACCTGCCGACACATGACCTGATGATATTGGAGGGGTGACACCGGTATACAGGGGCCGCTGGGCGGTCACGTGGTAGAGGAGCTCTTGGGAGCCTTCGGGAGAGGGCTCGAGAGATCTAGAAGGTGGGCGGGGCGAGTGGCGGAGCCAGCCCTAGCCCGGGCCGATATAACGGGGGCCCCGTGAGGGGCTCGGGGTTCTTCGGGTTGTTGGTGAAGAAGATCCACGTCGGGTTGAAGAAGCCTCTAGCCACGTGGTCTGGAACCCAGCTTGTGGTCCGGACTGGGGTAGCGGGACCGTGTCAAGTTCTGCCGTAGCGTGGTTAGATGGTCGTTCAACACCCAAGTGTAGGTTACGTTATGTTGTATTGAGTTGATGGAGTAAATAGTGTTACCCCCAAGACAACATCTGCGACTCAGTTGGACTCACTACACATATTAAGACGACGGAAAAAAAGGTCTTAAAAATCATGAATATGATTTGATAATTTTTAAGAATGGTTGTAATGGTATAGTTGGATAGAAATTAAAGTAATGACAGCTGTGTCTGTCATGGGAGTTTTTTTGTTTACCGTACTTAACCACATTAGAGAGTGTGGGTTGGTGAAGTGAGGGACCCAGGACTGATTCAGACGTCACTCGCCACTGATGTTAGCCGTAGCCTCCGGTTACCGGATTCATGGTGCTGTTTCCTTACTCCTGCAAAACTGACGGGTGTGCTCTTAACATGGCCACTGGGCTATGACCATCGGCTCAGTACACTTGAGAACTCGGTTTAATCACACATAGCCATGTGGATTACACCCCAGGATTTGAACATTGCCAGCTCAGTACTGTGAATTGGTATTGGTAACTTCATTAAAAAAAGCTTTACCTTGAAGTAATCCGACATGTGGTCCCAGTGAGTGGGGAGCATTTCTGATGTCGGGAGACCCTGCGACTTGCCTTTGCCTGCACCCAGCCTGTCCCACAACACATACATGCACAATGCAGAGAACACGGCATTCACGATCAATGCAGGCCATATTTAGTACGTCAATGGTAAGGGCCGACTTTGTTTACAGGAGTCCAACTTCAGAGATGGAAGCATCGATGAATGTAGGTGCACTTTTCATACCGCTCGGAGTTCAAGTCCTCTTCTGACGAAGATGATGATGAAGAAGAAGAATATCTCCTGTTTTTTCTGATGGTTGAGTGATCATCTTCATCTGTGCTGTCACTGTCCTCCTTGGCCTTGACATCTGTTGGAACATTGAGGTGGTGTCATTGCCCTGTCGAATTCATGCACTGCCAACTCGGATCATATCATACTGCCCCAATAACCCACTACGTGCTGGGCCGTGCCACCACACAAGCCACGACACAATCACACGCAGGAATCAAGAGTCCACCGCTTTGTTTGCTAAATTTGTTTCTTTCCAGCTTGTACGATACATTTTCTTGTTGTGGCGCATATTCCCATCATTTACAGAAAGTGCTGGATTTGAGTTTCCGCTCACTTAAAAGAACCATTGCTAGTTTTCACGTGAATAATGCAAAGCTACTTCAGCCGCTGTTCTGACACTTTAATTATGGACTATCGCAAGGATCCTGTAGTTTTACATGTACAAAAAATTTATAATTAATGAGCCCCAACGCAAAAAATCCCTGGGTTTATCTTCCACGAAGCTCATGGTTCACCCTAAATCGCATCCGCACAAACCATGGCAGATGCAGATACCTGATGCACAAATGTTAAACTCTCCAGTAGTGTGCAACTGTGGTCATCCAGAACAGACCGTACAATGTATAAAGACGCAATGCCCGATCCAAAAATACCAAGGAGACATTGCAGCGATACACTCCACTGGTCCTTACGCGGTTATCTGGCTTGACCACCTGAATGTGAAATTGTAGTTGTTGCTCTGCATCTTCATCAGCAATACGAAAAAAAGAAGGCCCAACAGAGGCGCGTGGGTTCACGTGTGAGTGCGAGTGTCACTATCACTCACTGCTTTGCCCTTTACCGGTCAGGCAGCAATAAGAACACGATATTCAACAGGCTTCATCCTCCCACCAGCTCAACGGCACTCATAGTGCAAGGGCAACCTTCTTGTGGTGATGTGGCCCGAATGCTTCATGAGCAAATTGGAAGGTTACGAAGTCGAATCTTAATTGGGCATCTACTCAGCTAATCCTTTCTGTGTGGTCAGGAAAACGAGTTCCACTCTGATAATTGTTTTTTACCCTTTTATCTGGCAACAAAACTGACACCTTTTTTACAAGGAGTCATGTTTGCATTGACCACAATACCTGCGGTCGGAATGCAAACAAAAAACATAACTCTGATAATGTATGCACTGTGCTTGAAATTGATTGGTTCACACCCGAGCTCTCATACGCTGATGGTGCATTGTCTTTGAGTTGTGCGCCTTTTGGCATCATCTGGTCCAACGCCATGTGAGACTAGGCTCTAAGAAAAGCTGTCTCGGGTGTGGACTAAGCAATTTCAAGGACAGTGCATACATTATCAGCTATGTTTTTTGTTTGCATTCCGACCGCAGGTATTGTGGTCAATGCAAACATGACTCCTTGTAAAAAAAGGTGTCAGTTTTGTTGCCAGATAAAAGGGTAAAAAAACAATGATCACATTTTGCTACTGGCAAAGGAGGTTCCAATGGTGAGTTCCACTCCGTAACAAAGCAACAGTGATTGCCTATACAGTGTATGGCTCCTGGCATGAGAATGTGGAGTTTCTACCACTGGCTTAGGGACATCAATTGAGGTGCTTCCCAAAAATACCTCTTACAGGTTGGCTTTTGGCTTTTGGAATTTCTTCTTCAGCCTCTTCGTCCCCACTAAGGAGAAACAAAAACAGAAAAAAAGGTTCCACAACAGCTGTCTTAACGTTTTGTTGGGATATAACATGCACTTTCCCCCTGTATTTCAAGCAAATGTTGAAGGTGCAACTTAGAATTAAATAATTTGGTAGGTGTGCATTTGTATGATCATATTTGGATAACTTTATCAAAACCGGGCCCAAAGTTTTTCGTGCGTCTCACTTTTTCAGAGCGCCTTATAATCTAGAGAATATGGTAATCGTCACATCCTTACAGTAACGTGCCCCTTGAATGTGACACGTGTATGATTACTCTGTACTGAAGATAGGTAGTGTATGTTGCGTTACAACTGCCAACAATCTGATTATTGCGAACGCAAGAGATGTCCTTGTACACTCATCATACGCATAATGCACAGTACATTTTTGCATACTGAATTCAATCACTAAGAAAAACACCACAAATACAAACGTAGAAGAATTTAACTTATTGAAAATATTCGACTATTTGTTTGACATTTAAGATATATGTTTCCATGATTTTTATTGACAAAGATGTTTATACTTTGATGCATTGAGATATTCGTAATATTCTGTTTACTCTTTTCCAGCACTCACCCAACCGCTCACCCCCTCCCTCACAATTTCCACTCCCTTTTTGTCTGTTCTCGGTCGGGGTGTCATTACAGGACTGTAGTATTTTACCCTCTGATGAAACGTTTTATTTTTTTCAGACGCTATGGACCCATGAGCACACAGAGAATGTGTTACCGGATATCATTTGGTGATTTACGCCTGGGTTTTACTCTCTATTGTTGCTACTTTTATTGTTTCCAGGTTGTCCTTTCCTTACCGATGCACTCCAAGAGCATAATTTTAGCCATTAAGGCCGAATTGACTCCACTTTGATCGTCTGGTCTGTGTACACTTCTACGAGTGGTGCATACATTGGATAGAATCTTTTTCCCTTGTTGTCCAAAGGGGGTTTTGTTCCACTGCCTCAATGGCTAATTTTACGATTGATATTGCGGAAACTTCCTTTTAAATCATCATTTAAAATACTTTATCAAACAGGACTCCGTGACATTTTTTTAAATAATTCTTCAAAACCAGTTTTGATCTTGGTTTGAAGCTTTCTTGACTGCAGGAATCCTACCTCAGCATTTTCTTGCTGTGGGTGTTCCACCTGATGAGGATTGCTTGTGTTGCGATCGAAACGTCATGATTTGTTTTATTTTATTTCTACCTACGTGACTTTACCGAAAGAATCAGATTTCTCACGTGAGACCCAGGCAACACGCACCGCTGTGAGTTGTGATTCGAGCGGAGGACATACTTGTAGGCTTTTTCCAACTTTGTGAGGGTTTTTCTCAGCTCGGGTTTCAGGATGTAGTCAAAGGGTGCCTTGCCCCGGGCATTGGTCTGGCGGAGGTTTGCGCCCTCCTTCACCAGGAAGCAAGCAAGAGCTTCTCCAGCGTAGATGCTCCCGGCACCGAACAGGCCAGAGTCGCGCAGCTGAAGCGCACAGCACGAGTTACGCGGCGCGCATCACACGGCATATGGCACACTTCACATGGCACGCGGCACGCGTCACATGGTGCCCGTCACGCGACACATGCTGCGCATAACACGTCACACGACACACAGTGCGCGTCATGTGCCGCGCATAAGACAGCGTGCATGTTGAGCCACGCTGCAAACACAAGTTGACCCGGTTAGCCCAATGAACAATGCATCACCTGCAGCGTGAACCCTCCGACTGACTCGTGAGTGCACAGGGAAATAATTAACCGACGCTAAAATCCCCCATGCCTCCACCATGAAATTATTAATTGTCACGATGCAGTGTTGCCAATCAATCACCTGTTCATATTTGTTATGCTTTTAATATCTTATTAGTATTGTGTTTGTATATTCTGTCTCATCTAGTAGAGCCTCATTTGGTCCACTAACTTATATTTAAGTAAATAGCAATACAATTACATGCTAATTTAATAGCTATTTAGTTAAATAGTAAACAGTGACAATCTATGTGGACGGTTTTATGCATGTTTTGTGAATACATCATTTTGAATGATGAGTCAATCAGTGGTTCCGAATATAGACACATGAATTGCTATCGTATCACTTGGAAAATGTGATTCACTGATATATCGGCATCAAAAGGGACTCGTGAGCCAAGAGTTGCAGACGACAACAGCTCAACAGTGAAAATGGGTGGAGCAGTGGTGCAGTGGCTAGCGCATTCGGTGACGTGGAAAGGACACTTAAATGGTGCCTGATAAAAAAAAAAACCTCTCAATTCAATTCCACCATCGATTTCCCACTGTTTTATGGAAAATAATGCTTTTCATTATTGCCATTGAAATTCCGTGTCTTTCATTAAATCTACTAAAGACAATCATAATTTTTGGTGAAAACATTTTTTAAGCATTCTCTATTATTGCTTTGACAAATAAAAGCTTCATGACCCCGCTGCGTGGAGGGTGGAGGTGTGAGCTAGCAAGGGCGGGCACAGATCGGATGGCAAGCGGGGAGCTTGAAGGATGGGAAGACTCTCGCCGAGAGAACTGAGAAGAACCCAACTAACATTGTGGAGGACTGTTAATGGAAAAGTCATCCCACTGGCTTTGCTAATTTGGTATTTTCAGGATAATGAATTAAGCTTGTAACTATAATCGTAGGTTTTCAGGGTTCCTGTGGCTATGAGACTCAGGAATTTAAATCCCAGAAGGAATTTAAATATTTTTTGGTATCAAAGGGGGTGGATCGCGCAGCTTGATACTGCTCTATTGATATTACAATAGCCAGATAAGTGAATCAGGCTTGATCCGTTTTTTATGAATATATTTTCTTTAATATTTTTTTATACTTATTTACCTGTTAATCCGGAGCCCCCTTGTGGCCAATTGGGCCCCTATGCGTCGCATAATGCTGTCACATACACCCCCCCCAAAAAAAATGTTTGTTGTGCCCCTGAGTGGAGGAATCAATGAGTAAAGTTGGCAGAGAGTAGCCCGAGAAAGGAGAGACTCACGATCTGCACGATGGTGCTATCGTCCTGGAGGAGGTGGCAATCTGTGGAGAAGAGGTCGGCCTCCTTGAGCACGAGGTGCAGTGCCGTGTTGCCCCCCTCGTCCTCAACGTCCAGCTTGCAGGCCTCGCGCACGAGCAGGAACACAACGTCCACGTGGCCGCGGCCCGCCGCCAGCATGAGGGCCGTCTGGCCCCCGCACGTCCTCGCGTTCACAGCAGAGCGGCCCTGCGCAGGAGATGCCGTAAGGGCCATGGTGTGCATCTTTAACTTGTGGCCATTGCTACAGATTTTAGATTCACCGAGGGAAAGACGATGGTAGTACAAACATTATTGTGTTGATATAGGGTCATTCTACATTTAAAACATCTCTGTTTAATGCTGATTATATTTTGGTTTGGAGTTGGATGCCCTCTGTAAAAAAGAAGCCTGGCTGGGCAAAACTTATCTCACCATTCAATGAGGCCTGTGGTGATGGTTGTTGCTACTTTTTATAATCTTATAACGACCATGCACGGGTCAGCCAGGCAGTCAGCATCCTTTATTTAACCAGGAAATGCAATAAGCTCATTGAGACACGAAAGAGCACTCCGATTGGCACGGTTGGCTCTGTACCACGTTAAATAAATTCAACATACATATAGCGCTGCTTAATTTTGCAGGGTGATCTGGGTTAGGTTAGGTAGTGCATGTTATAACTAATGTTCATTCTTGCTGCTTTCGTTTGTGCTACTGATTTATTGACCTCCCATACTTAAAAAAATAACATTCCTGATCTAATGTCTCGTGATTCTTGGACTATTTTAATATGAAATACAGACAACTGGTGCCCAGATGCGGTAGCAGAAATAAAGCATGCAGTCCATGCAGAGGAGTCACCTGCTTGATCAGGATGTGGACGACGTCAAGGCGACCATTGTAGGCTGCCAGGTGTAGCGGAGCAAACCCATCACTCTTCTGCTCGTCCACCAGCTTTGGAGATTTGGCCAGGATCCGCTGTACTGCCCTAGACGCAGCACAAATGCACGGCTATTTGCAGGACAATTTCCCTTGCCGTGTAGAGATATTCCACAGTAGTTTGGCATTAGGAGAACTGTGCAGGTGCAGAGTGTCCATGCATGCATCATCCATTTTTAAGAAATAATAATTAAGACTCCGTGGTTGTAATTCTGGCAACATATGTATTATATATGTGATGTTTTTATTTTTTACTGAAAAGCCTGAGTGATCTTAAACAGGACCTGACACAAATATTGAAACAATTATCCAAGGTGTTGGCGAACACCTGGAACTCTCTCACATCTCACATCTCGGTACAGGCAAAGATAAAAATCACCCGTATAGCCTAAACAGACTGTAGGGACAAGTGTTGTTCGAAAGCACCTATGAAGGCCGGGCACAAGAGGGGGTATTCCCAGTGCTAATCTTTACACACCACTCATTTGAGGCTTAGTTGACCTAGGGGAGGTCCAGGACTGACCGTCAGCAGGAATCGAACCCGGCTTGCCGGGTTGATAGCGCAGTGCCTTAACCACTGCGCTACTACTCCCCACAATGTCAATTCATATCACATCTCAATATGATGCGTGTCACCAACATCATGGCAAACTCATGCAGGTTTATAGGATGAGACTCAAATGATTATTCATATTACCAAGTCCGTGTACGTGTATTTCAATTAACCTTGCTCATACAGCTGTGTGATTATCAATCATTAATAATGCATTACACCTCGATGGACGTTCTGGACAATAAAAATAAATTTTTAGTAAAAACATCTGTTAAATTTGACTACATATCAAACACGGATTTAATGAGGTGGCCGGTAGGTTCAGAGGTCAGAGATCAGTTCACTCAGCTGGGTTCAAATCCAGGCAGTAGCTTGCGATTAAAGCGAATTGTCAAGTGTAGTGAGGTTATGGTCTCAGACACCACGGATTGTACAGACAAAAATTACTTCACAAAAAAAAACCCATCAGATTAAATTTGGTTAAAATACAGTTCCAACTAATGGTTGTACTGACATGCAACGATCACTACTCTCGCTGGCAGAGTTGGGGGGAGATGGGATGCTGCCCCCTGCTGTGTGGAGCAGAAGTCACTTGGTGGGAGCTCAGAGGTAGCTCTGTGATATCTGCTTCTGTGGACCATTCTCTAGCACAAAGGGTTGCAGTGCTCTGTGAGGAATTTAAATGGATTAACAGTCTCATAATGACACCCATAGCTCAGCTAAAATTGCAGGAAAAGGTGAGAAAAGTCAGATGGATTTTATTGTTATGGTAAAGGACAGTTTGGGAAAAATAGGATTGAGATTACTTCCCTCATGAATAAGACACTGGCCTACATGGAAATGGTTAAATACATTCTACTGATGATAAAAAAAAATCTTAAATCCCGAAATGTTACATTACATTGTATGTAAAGTAGTCTGCATATTACAAAGATGATCATATAAAGACATTGGCATATAATACTAAAGAACCAATAATGTATGATATCACCGACACTTCAGAGATTAGGTGCCAATCATGATGCAGATGATTTAAATCATTAATTTGTTGTATAGTTTCCATGACGTATGCTGTCCAACTCTTGTTTTGATCCTGGTAAATGTTAATACTCGAGCAATACAAGCAGTGATACTGGTCTGTGTGACATGGCCCAGCGGTAACGTGTTGGCCACTTATTGCACAGGTTCACAGTTGGAATGTGGCAGGCCGCCCTCGTTATTACCGCAAATGAATTAATTATAAAATACCACGTACCATTGGTTTCATAGGGGATGTTAGCAATTTCCCATTCCGATGATGTACGCATATGTCATCAGTTTTACATGTACATCATCGCAACAGAATCGTAAGCAAAAGGCCACGCGAGAGGGTGTGTGGTATAGTTTAGCGCCAGCTATCAAAGAGTGCTGTAGTGTCGCTAGAATTCGCTGCAGTGAGTACTATGTCTTTAAAAACAACGGCGCTACGCCTCTCTAAATAAAATTAATGCCGAGCTGCTTGCATGTTCCAAGATTCAGCGGTGAACAGGAACCCACCTTGCGACTGGCAGACGTCTTGGAATGCGAAAGTGTGACCATTGAGGCAGACAAAAAGTGTTGCTTACAGTTTGCTTCCCTTGAAAGCGGCGAGTTGCAGAGGTGTGAATCCACTTTCATTCTGCCGCTCCAGGTCGAGTGTCTTCACAGAGGTGAGAGCCTCAATCACCTCCTCGTAGTTCTCAGCTATGGCATCGTGGATCGGGGAATTTTTTGTAGAATCCTGCCAGGGAAAAAACACAATTATGGAAATCTTACGTTTACAAGTTGACAATGTGCTACAACTACAGATAGTCCCCGCGTTACGATGGTCCAACTTACGATATTTCGATCTTGCGATGGCGATAGCGACACGACGAAATTGTAAAATATTTTAAATTTCGCGCGGCAGGCAAACGCAGCAGCGTACGAGGTATGAATCTTGGTGAGTACAGTAGAATATGATACGTTACGATACGTTCAATGCATGTATGATACATAGCTTTAGCGATTTCATTTTAGGGTTACCACGATATGATACGTTCAATGCATTTTTAAAGTTTTTATAGCAGATAGGATTGTTTCCTGAAAAGACTTTCTATTAAATTGCAGTTCATATAGGTAGGCTAAGAATTTACCTTGTTTTTTACTTTAAATTTTACTGTGCAATACAATATTGTAATTAATAGATACATACAGTATATAGTTTATACAGTACGGTACTGTAAATTGCTCTGTTTTGCTAAATTATCACCATTCTTTAAGACTCCTGGGTAGGCTAGGCCATCTTCGACTTACGATATTTTTGACTTACGATGGGGTCGTTGTAACGTATCTCCATCGTAAGTCGAGGACTACGACTACCTGTACAGGGTTAAAATTAATTCATTATAACACTGAGTTTGGTGGTTCCGTTGTACAATGTCAAAAGCAAATGCCCACCTGCAAAATACTAACCAAAATGTATCAAATATAGAGCAACTGCTTGTACACATGAAATTCCTTAAAATTAACGTTGATTTTCTCTTTTCTGCAGGGTTATATGACTCGGACACTGCATAAATATTCCCTTGCTTTGTTGTTACATTTTTTTTCACTATATATTATTTTATGTTAGAATATGTTATTTGTTTGTCCTTGCACGCCTAGGCTGGAATTCCCTCCCATCGTTCCTCTGCGCAGGTTCTCATAACCTTGCCCAATTCGGGAAATGCATTAACTCGACGTTATCCATGGCAACTTTGCAATCGCTGACTGTCGCTGGCCGTTGGGCCGGCACTCAGCAACCTGGCCAGCACCCAGGCGAGCGAGCCGGCACACGGTGCTACCTGGGTGTTGACATCGCAGGCGTGCTCGCACAGGGTGCGCGCCACCTCCCCGTAGCCCTTGCGGGCCGCCAGGTGTAGCGCCGTGCGGCCCGCGTGGTTGCGGCTGTTCACACGCGCTCTGTGCGACACCAGCAGCCCTGCCATGGCTGCTTCATTCCTAGCGAGCCCACGCACACACACGGACGGCAGCCACGTCACCTTTCAATCGCCAACAGCAAGGCACTGAGAAGTCGGGCAAATTCATACGCCAACGTGACGCGATGTATACGCATGTATGTTGAACTTCTTTCGCACCGTACTTAGCCAACCGTGAAATCACCTCTGCATTTCCCACTGTGATTGAAGTGAATGCGTGCCTTTGTCACTCAAACGTTTTACTTGCAATTTAGGGTAAAGCTGCAGCTTAGCTTATGGTATTGGTAACATTATTGATCCAAATGTTTCCCAAACTTGTGCTTTCATGATACAGGCACCTTATTAAATGCAATAATAAATGGAAGTTGGTAAGGCACAACCTTCAATATGTTCTCAGCCAGGCACACAAATCAGCATCAAGACAGATTATACCCATCTCAAATACCCAATATGCCTCCTTTGCCTCTCTTATGCTTTATTCACTGCTCATTCTAAACATCATCATTGATTTTTGGGTTTTTCCACGTAATGATCCAGCCAAATTTGTGTCGTTAAGACCCTGCACCTAACACAGCCAAACAAATTAAACTGCCACATTTACAAGCATTTAACACCCCAATTATCATCGTTTCAACTCACAGGTAAGGTAAAGACAGTGATGTACATGACAACATGCAGCCAGATGTCATGCCACTTGCAGCGTTCACGTTGCAACAACCATTGTAAACAGTTGATTCGTTCTTTTAAACAGCAAATGTATTTTTCCACGAGTTTTATTTTTAACAGTTACACAATTTTGATTTAAAGCTTTCGTGACAGCAGTAATTCATATTCTTAGCTCTTTCGGTAAAGTCACGTTGAAGGGAAACAATAAAATAATAAAATATATATAAAACAATAAAAATTCTCACGACGTTTCGACCATAACACAAACGGTCGTCATCAGGTGTGAAAAAAAACCAACGGCAAGAAACATTTGAAAGAAGTGTCGGTTTGCATTAATTTACTTATTTTTAAACAGTGTGTTTACTTATTTATAAAAAAACGTCAGCGCCACGTGCAAGCTACCTTTTTTGGATGTCCTAATAAAAAAGAGACCTGATGGTTCAATGAGCCACTCTGTCTACAGGAAAGCTACCCATACGGATGCTTATTTGAAACCGGATTCCCACCACCATCCATCACAGAAGAATTCTCTCATCAAGACTCTGTACCATAGAGCCCAATGCATATCCAACCAGGAACACATAGGCAGTGAACTCAAGCACGTACACCAAGCTCTTAAGGCTAATGGTTACTCCGACTATACAATCCGCAAAGCTATCACTCAAACCATGAAGAAGGACCCTCTTGAGGAGCCTTTCAAAACCATCACTTTACCCTACATTGCGGGGATCACAAAAAAGATCTCCAAAATCTTGAATAAACACAAGATCCAGGTCCGTTTCAACACATTACATAAAATCCGTGATCTGGTTCCGTCTGTAAAAGATGTGATTCTGGACATACAGTACCCTGGTGTCTACAAACTAAGTTGCCTCTGTGGTAGTAGTTACATTGGAGAAACCAAACGCCATGTCTCTGTCCGCATTCGTGAACACAAAGCAGACCTTAAACACGGTAGGACCAACACCTCGGCCGTGGCAGATCATTGTTATAATTCAGTAGGCTCACATGACATTGACTTCTCCAAGACAGAGGTTCTTTGTAAGCCATCTGGCTACCATGAGAGATTCGTTCATGAGGCTATCCACATATACAAGCACAGAGACAATTTCAACCGAGAAGATGGATTCTGGCTTAGCAATCATTGGAAGGATTTGATAAACCATTTCAGGTCTTAATTGATTGTTCACGCTTACGGTGGCTTTCAGACAGCATACATTAATTTTTCGTCTACCCCCTCCTCTTTTCAGAACATAGATGGACTTGTCCTTCTAAATAAACTGCCAAATCGCTGCGCGTGGCGCTGACGTTTTTTAGAAATAAATACAAACACCGTTTCAAAATAAATAAATTAATGCGAAACCGACACTTCTTTCAAATGTTTCTTGCCGTTGGTTTTTTTTCCACACCTGATGACGACCGTTTGTGTTATGGTCGAAACGTCGTGAGAATTTTTATTGTTTCATATATATTTTATTATTTTATTGTTTCCCTTCAACGTGACTTTACCGAAAGAGCTAAGAATATGAGTTACACAATTATGTAATTTACACGGCTGCTTTCTAAACGAAACGTTTGTTTTAACAAACATCGGTAAAATATGAACTATGAAGAATAACCGCCTGCAAGGCGTAAATTGCGAAGTTGGAAAGCGCAAAGGTGCGCTACCCGTGTGCCGCGTAGTGCAGGGCCGTGTTGCCCTTGTCGTCGCCAATCTCAGTAGAGGCCCCCGCTTTGAGCAGGGCCCGCGCCACGTCGATGTGTCCCTGGTGAGCGGCCACGTGCAGGGCAGTGCGTCCCTCCTGTTGCGCGTTGATCTGCAAAGCAACACCGCCACCACAGCTAGGCATGCAATGCAGCACCAGTCAGACACCACTGCCACAAGCACGTGAACGCAGCGCAAGATATGGCACTCAACCGTGAGCCATGAACACACCACCAGTGATTATACAAATACAAAGATCACTCTTTGGTTCTTTCGGTAAAGTCACGTAGAAAATAAAAATAAATAATAATAGAATACGACGTTTCGGTTGCAACACAAGCAACCATCATCAGGTAAGAATGATAAAACACACATGCAGAGAGAGGCACACACCAAGACAAACAGAAGGACAACGACTCTGTGCCAAGGCCTTAAATGGAGAGGGGGGGGAGGGGCCGGGGCAGAGAGAGGACTGGGGAGGCGGGACCAGCGGACAAACGAGGGGACAAAGAGGGAGCAGCGTGGAATTACGGACCACAGTGGCTGGGGGAGAGACAATGGTTTAGAGCAAGAAAATAGAAAGTTTGAGAAAGTAAATTTAGTAAAATTAAGAAGTGTAATGCAATGCAACACAGAGGGTCGGTTAACACAGTTAATGCATAGCCTGGTTGATTAACGTTCTTCCAAAGATTGCTAAATTAGAAGTAAAGTGTGAGTTGTGAGTAAACCCTCCCCATAGAGGTGGTTCATACTATTTTCTACGTGACTTTACCGAAAGAACCAAAGAGTAATTCCTGCAGTCACGAAAGCTTCGAATCTAGTTTAAGTACAAAGATCCCCCCAATAGCCTTAACAGAATGTTGGGGCAAGTGCTGTTATTGAACACATTTGAAGCCCGGCACCGCACACGAGGGGATGGGTGGCCAGCACCACGCTTGGTCGCCTTTGTCTCACTAGTGAAGATGTTTACGCATAGCACCCAGTAATTATTTGAGGCCGATTTGACCTAGGGGAGGCCCAGAACCGATTCAGATAATCGTCACTGGTGTTGGCCGTGAGTGGGAATCGAACTCGGGTGACCAGGTTCGGAGTGCAGTACACTAACTACCCATGAGCCATTATACAACCCCAGTGATTAAAGACCACCCACTGAACACACCAGCAGTGATTATACACCACCCACTGAACATGCACCACCAGTCAGTAAACTTGCTCTTGGCCATTAAATACAGAAAGTCATGAAAAATCAAGAGCCATGAATGCACTCCCAGCCAATAAACCTGCTGATGGATGAAGGCCTCCCCTTGCCATTCCAGTCATGGGTGTCATTTGACTATACTTCACCATACTGGTCAGTGGGGGTTGGTGAAGTTATCTTTGATTAGCACAGTTGGCTACGTACGGTGTGAAAGAAGTTCAACATACATACGTACAAATAACTCACTACATAATTAAGTTTTATTTAGAACATTATTCAATAACTTTTGTTTCATATATTTTCTGAACAGGATTTTAATAATTGCATTCGGATGTTTTGTTTCTGGGGAGAGGACCACAGTCACTCAACTAGAGGCCCCGAGTGATATTGTACTAAATTCAGCAACAACAATAACATAAAAACAAGGATTCTCAATCGGGCTTCTGTTTTTGAAGAGCTGCCGATTGTAACATGCGAAACTTGTGCTGAGGGATAGAATTCCATGGCTTTATGGGTAAAATATCATTAGCACATATGTAGTGAGTCCAACTGAGTCGCAGACGTTATCTTAGGAGCAACACTATTTATTTACACAACGGTACATAACATAACACAATCTACACTCGGGTCTCGAATGCCCATCTAACCACGCTACGGCAGAACTAGACACGGTTCGCTATCCCGGTCCGAACCACAAGCTGGGTCCCGGACCGCGTGGCTAGAGGCTTCTTCTCCCCGATGTAGATCTTCGTAACACCAGCACACGAAGAACCCCGGCTCAACCCTTCGCCCCGCCCACCTTCCAGGTCTCTCGTGCTCCTTCTCGAAGGTCTTTTGGACCACGTGACCGCCCCGCGGCTCCCGTCCACCGGTGGCCCCCCTCCAATATCATCCGGTCACGTGTCAGCAGGTCAACCAGTGTATCATGCCCCAACGTAACCCTGGCTGGCTGACGCTCCCTCTCGCTCCCTCACCGGAAGCCCGCACCGCACACTGCTCGCGGTGCCTCCGTGCTGACCAGCGCTCGCCCAAGCCCCGCTAGGGCTGGTACTACACCTGATAACCGGGCTGCCCATAATGACAACACATTATCCGCCGTGGCTTCGTAAGCCCCGGCACCATACAGTGATAACCACAGTCACTACACATAGATGGGTATCCACAAACGTACAGAGTACATTTACAATATCAGCATGGAGTAGGCTGAACAACATTAACGTGATAATTCGTTACCTGTCCAGGGAATAGCTGCACGAGCTTCTGCACATTTCCCACATTTCCCTGGGCAGCTTCAGAGATGAGCTGTTCTGGCTTCAACTCCTTTGCCGCCACGCTGGGCTGACTATGCCGGGCTGCACTCCTCGCTGCAGCATCCTCTTGCTCCTCTTTGTCATCGTCATCATCATCGTCGTCGTCCCCTTCAATTATATGACTCAGTAGCAATTTCATCAGCAGCCCCGCCAGTGGATCTGTAAGAAACCCAAGTGTTGAATGAAAGCTATTTATTTAAACTTGGGAAAGCTTAAGAATGCTGGATTCAACCATATCTTCAGAGGCTGTACAGACACATTGAACCTCATATATGAGGGGCAGTTCAACTGCTTGAGGAAAGGGCAGGGCATAGAGTTTCAAATTATTACCACTAGATGCCTCAGCCCCTAGCCTCAGTTATTCGCAAGACAAACTGCCTCAACGTTGGATAGGTCGCATGGGACCCCAAGACTTGGCGCTACACTCTTGGCTCTCAAGATCCCCAGACATCACACCCTGCGACTTTTTCTTGTGGGAATACGTCAAAGACCTTGTTTTTGTGCCACCATTAGCGACTAATCAGGATGACCTCAAAAACAGAATTACAGCAGCGGTGACTTCAGTGGAAGAAGACACTTTGAGAGGCGTTTGGGACGAATTCAACTCTCGTCTCGATGTTGTCCGTACAGCAGGTGGAGGGCACATAAAGCATTTATAAAATGGTTAGTAAAACTTGATAACTCATTCAAAGTTTGTAACTTTTTGTGTAATTGTAACATGTTGCCATCGTGAAATATACTGCTTTAAAATTGGGTCCATCATTTTGAAACACCCTGTATTTTACACCGCAGTGCTCATACTGACAATAACACCTTGTATCTGTGAATGCTATCATCAATAGGAAGGGCAAGAGGTTCTGTCGTCTGTGTAATTATCCACTTTCCTAAAGGATGCACTATTAATTTGGATGATAAAAATATAGGAATAGGCATTACCCTGTCCGGGAATAAAACAGGAGTTGTGTTAAGATGTTCAAGCACCAAATAGATACATTTTTCAAGGCATCAAGTCTGCATGAACCACACATAATTGTGGCAAAAACTGCAAACAAACATGCTATGATAATATAATGCATTGTCCTTTAAACTGATTGCCCTGCCGATGGATGGGTCTCGCCAGGTGGCCCAGTGAGCCCAATCAAGCATCAATTTATAGCCCGTCATTTCTCCAGAATTGATCCATTGAGTACCACTCTGTGCAAAGTCAAAAGTGGTGGTCCTATGTAGAGAATTGCCCCTTACGAATTTCCAACATTTGCCGAGGACTCACTATCAAAATGGTCACAACTCTTTGACTTGTAGTTGCTGAATAGGTTGCACAGTAAATCATTGCCAGATTCTTAAGTTTACGTACATTATGTCTCGTCTAAACAAGGTTATGTTGTAAAAGCTTGTGCATTAATTGTCACTTTTATTTAAATCTGTATCCCAGACTAAAATTACTCTCTCTTTTAAAATGTATGCATGTAAATATCTAACAATTGAAAAATTATAATTCAATGCAAGGGTCGTAATGATTAATTCCATCGATTATTCAAATTAAGCTTTACGTTTCAAGGACAATAGAATTTTATATTCAATTATTTTTCATTTGTGAGACGTGAAATTTATAGCGGTGTGTGTATATAAATAATCAGAAGCATACCTAAATTTTGATTTAAAGCTTTCGTGACTGCAGTAATTAATATTCTTAGTTCTTTCGGTAAAGTCACGTTGAAGGGAAACAATAAAATAATATTGTTTTATATATTTTTTATTATTTAATTGTTTCCCTTCAACGTGACTTTACCGAAAGAACTAAGAACAGAAGCATACCTGTCAACCCCCTATCAGTGCCTACCTTATTACAGACCAATTCAGACCTTATTGGTCATCCCATGCCCTTATACATTTCAACGTTCATCCTACGAAGATCCACAATAAGGGAGAAACCCAGACAAACATACAAAACATTTTTTTTACTGAATTTCCCTATACAAGAATACGGGTACCATATGGGTTGCCAGGTATGCAGTAGTGTTAATAAAAACTATAAAGACAAATTAATAACAAAAACAGATCCTAGAGTTGAAAATCAATGCTCCCACACGGTGTGTGTAAGAAGTGATTAAAATCAGACCTAACAAATACCCTGTATGAAGATCAATCTTTGTATATTTACATTTATCCCCATTGTCATTCCTTGCAGCTGGCTTCGGGGTAAAGGTGGGGGGGCAGCGGTGGTCCAGAGAAACGAAAATACTGAACGGTTCATTCGTGACTACAACGGGGGAATCGAGTTAATTACCCTCGACGAGTGAGGCGCAGCCTGGTCTGTTAAAAAAGTGCGCGTGTACGAGCAAGCTCAATCAACAACCCGGAAAAATCTACCCGAGACTGAACTGTATGCGCGTGCAGACAGTGTCGCCCCTCGGAGTGGCAACGGCTCCAATTTCTCTGCAGAGCGCAGCTCTCGTCCTACCCGCGGCGCTGTCCTCGGACGTCTCGGCCAGATCAAGCGACTTCGGGTCGGCAGTGCTGACGCAGGCCGGGTTAAAATTCCAAATGTGGCCTCCCAGAGCCACGCGAAGGTCACCACTCGGAAGCACCTTTACCACCCGGCCCACCCGACCCAGCGTCTGCCAAGAGCACAAAGGGACGCCGCTTGAACCACTTGCATACAAAATCGGTGTGCGAATCCCATCCTAGTATGAGGCCACAACTACTCATCGACTATCATTCATGTAATTACACTATTTGTTGTTTGTTAAGGACGCTTCAAATTGCCGTGACTATGTAAGACTATAGAGCAGCGGTGGGCAACCTGCGGCCCGCGGGCTGCATGTGTTCTGTCGAGCCCTCGTGGTGGCCTGGTCTCAGAGTGTCCCTAGGGTGATGCGTGGGATCATGGTTAGTGCACAAGAACGATGTCAAGCTTGTGGCCCACTGAAGTGGAGGAGGGCCGCTCATGTTGCCCACTAACTCGTTTGGGTTGCCCATTACTGCTATAGAGCGTTCATTACTTTTATACAGTAATGTACAGTCCTTTACAGTCGACTGATGGATGAAGGCATCCCCACACCATGTCAGTCATGGTTGTTGCTGTAGATGGGAATTGAACTCAGGTTCACGTGCTCCACCGAGGCTATATGATTATCACAAAAAAATAATCTAAAAATAATCCCAAAACAATTATTTTATATATTTACATTGAAGGTTCAAATAATATAATTAAATGTGTTCCTTGCCGTATAGATGAGAGCTGTTGTTATCACAGTATTGATCCGTATTTTTATTTGGTTAGCCCTTGTGGTGGTAGTTTTACACCAAAATCCTTATCAGTAACCCTCCACCACCTGACAAGGTTGTCACATTTACAAAGATACTATTAACACGTGGCCAATTTGTGGATCAAACTCTTACCGAAAAATGTTCTTCTCAATGGTGGCTTAAGGCTTGTCATGACTGAATTTAACATGGATATATGTGGCATTTCGCTCATGTTGTGAGCTTGTGAAATATGGTGGCGAAATGTTAACTACCTTGCCAGGTATACAGTTCTTCCCGTGGTCACGTGGATTTTTCTCCGGTTCCTTCGGTTTTTCCCTCCACATTAATAAATGTTGATTTAAAGCTTTCGTGACTGCAGGGATTCATATTCTTGGTTCTTTCGGTAAAGTCACGTAGAAGGGAAACAATAAAATAATAAAAATATAAAACAATAAAATTATCACGATATTTCGACTGCAACACAAGCAATCATCATCAGGTGTGAAAACCACAGCAAGAAAATTTGGTTTTCACACCTGATGATGATTGCTTGTGTTGCAGTCGAAACGTCGTGAGAATTTTATTGTTTTATATTTTTATTATTTTATTGTTTCCCTTCTACATGACTTTACCGAAATAACCAAAAATATTAATAAATGTGTTTAGAGTATTTGGCTGCTATACATTTCCATGTGATAAGGCACTTCGTTGAGCTATCATTTGTGGCCAGGTCGCTTCTGAAAAAGAGATATATAGCTCAGTGGGCCTTACCTGGTAAAATACAGTGTTTAATTTTACTGCATACATTGATTCCCGTTAAATGTGAAGGCATTCCACGGCCTCTGGGAGGGTTATCATGAAAGCCATCCTATTAGCTTGTATTCACAGAATACAACGACTGAGGGCTCCGGGTGCACCAGATAGGAAGGGTTGGTTGGCAAAGTGACATCGCGAGGCAGGTGTGGGTGCTCCGTGCGGCTGGTGTATCAAGTAATTTCTCACCTTGGTCATGGGATCTGCCCATCCCCCATGGCCCAACTGCAGCCGCTTCACCTCCGCCTTATTATTGCCGATTCGAACTGTGTCACCCACAGAATACACCTGCAACGGCCGTTTTTTAAAAAAATAAGCACAGATTTGTAAACTGGTATAATTTTACACCCCATTGCCACACTAAACCTTACGAAGCCATCATCGTGCAATGTTCCTTACATCAGCTCATGAGTGACACTGGGGTGAAACCAATGTCTGCCGTGGTTATTTTTCTCTCGCCGGTATCACTGCTTCACTCACTCTCAATCTGTTTCAATCAAGATGCCTAACTCCTGCATCCATCCCCTTGGCTTTTCTGTCTTCCCTTACTCCTGTTCCCATTCACTTCCGCGCATGCAGCGTCGCTAATTGCAGGATCCTGTCTGGCCTCATTCCCGCGATGTGTCTGGACCACTGCATCTTCTCTCCTTGACTTCACTCATGACCACTCTTGACTTCCCTCCTGACCACTGTCTTACATCGTCATTTTCAGTCTCTCTGCAAACCTGCTACTTCATTGTGATAGATTTAATTTACCAGTTATCAAAAATATACACAACCGTCAGCATCAACGCCACCATCCGCAATTATCATCGTCATCTTTGGCATCATCAACGCACATTTTTATGAGGCTGAGAAAAGTGAATAACGGCGATAAATGATTGCTTTGTATTAGAATGCACTTGCTTTCATGTAAAAACACGAAGAAAAAAATCAAATGTATATCTAAATAAACTTTAATACTAGTTGAGGCACTATATTTGATTTGTGTATATTTATTTCGTAAATAGGTCTGATCAAATTTCGATTTAAAGCTTTCGTGACTGCAATGATTCATCTTCTTTGGTTCTTTCGGTAAAGTCACGTAGAATGAGAATAAAATAATAAATTGATAAAATAAAATAACACAATAATATTCTCACGACGTTTCGGCCACAACACAAGCGGCCTTCATCAGGTGAAGGGACGAGACTGTCTGGTAGGACACCGCTGAAACGTCGTGAGAATATTATTGTGTTATTTTATTTTATCAATTTATTATTTTATTCTCATTCTACGTGACTTTACCGAAAGAACCAAAGAAGATAGGTCTGATCATTTTCATCCACTAAACTTAAAATTTTCTATATTTTCAGTTATTCACATTTATAGAATCATCGTTTATTAATGCTATACAGGAAGGGCTAAAGATCAGAGCTATTACAATCCAAAATGACTGTCGTAATTGCAAATGTGATATGCATTGTGCCATCTTTACCTTGATGAGACACTTGGGGTTGTAAATATACTTTCCACCATTGCTGTACACCACCAACACATCACCATTGTCAATCAAACCAGCCACTTTTCCAGGACGTGCTGCAATCTACACAATACAATATGAGACAAGGATGACAATATTTTAAAACGCATCGCTGAACTTCCAAATTTGCAGGAAACAATGTTATACAAATGTGACTTTGCAGCAAGTATACTACAAGCCTGTTGCCTGCTTGTTGCACACATTGTTAATTGTATAGCAAAATAACGTTTGTAATTTGAGGCAATGCAGGAGCAGTAGTGTATCTAGTTTATAAAGAGACCTGGATCAGGACCGCCAGAGGTTCCTGGGAGCCTGTAGCTAAAGGCCTGGGAGAGACTGCCACATGAGGTCCCATTATTGAATAAGGCGCTGTGGTGGCAAGATATTAACTCCCTCACCTGGTATGCAGGATACCGTGGGTTAGATCCCGACCCTGATGCCTGCTGTATATTTTGGGTTTGCATGTTTCTCTCCCCGTGGTCGTGTAGATTTTTCTCTGGGTCCTCTGATTTTTCCCCTCCACATTTAGATACATGCGCTTTAGAGTATTTGGCTGCTATGAATTTCCACACGATAAGCCACTTTGTTGAGCTATCATTTGTGGCCAGGTCGCTTCTGAAAAAGAGTTATATAGCTGTGGGACTTACCTGGTCAAATAAAACATAGTTTAGCTTTTAGTTGAGTTCAGTAGAATTGTGACAAAAAATCCAAGCCCGTTGTGGGACCCTCATCTGTGTGAGGCCTGGGAAAAAATTGTCCCTTTGTCCCACCCACCCTTCCCCTCTGGGCAGCCCTGAGCGAGATGTCTTCCCATACGCTTACCAATGCCATTGCGACTGAGAATCCACCATGGTCCTGCTGCAGTACCATGAGAGTCTGTCCGTCCACTCCGCACCTCACGGTGTCGCCCAGACAGAAGCCCTGCTCAATGATGTCCACCTCACCTGAGCACGCACACATGCACGCACAGGCCACAGGATGCTCTGGTAAAAACGTGCCTGCTGATGAAAGCAGTGAGCATGGCACTTAAAGGCCTCTAAAATAAGGGGTAATGGGGTTCAGTCTGTTACCATCGCCGGGCATTGTGAAAGCTGCCACATCAGTGTCTTAAGTTGAAAAAATCCCGCAGAAGTCTGCACATCATTTTATATTTTTAGCAACACGAGATTGTGACCGAACAAGCATATGCCGAGGACCCCAAGCTCGCCAAGTATATACCACCAGACACCAGGTGCCATCAGGTTTAGCACCAATCAACATGGATCAGGGACAGTATAATTTACATTAAACCCAGATATCCACCCGAATGTGGACTGGATTCACATAATGCACACCTCTACAGCGCAGGATAAAGTGTGGTATCTTATAATACGGTACACACAAATAATCTGGCGATCTAAGTTCGATTCCCAGCCACGGCTAACAACAGTGTCACATGATATCTGAACTGGTCCTGGTCTCTCCTTCTACAAAACCCACACTGACAAGTGTGGTCAAGTATGATCAACCAGCCCCCAAGACCACCTTAGCAGCCCCCACGACCAACAGGCTGTGGAGAGGTCTTAATATAGCAGTGGACTGATGAATGACAACTGTAAGTTATTATTCTATTGGAAATGATTACACAAATGTTACCTACTTGCATGCAATATTCTTCAATACATAAGGTAGGCTGGGGTAAGAGGCCTGTGTGGGGTAAAATGCCTTTCTTGTCCTGGTGCTAACAGGACAAGAAAGGCTAACAACAATTACGTCATCAGCCATGGTCAGGTTGAGGTGCAGCTCAACAGACAAGCCACATGTGAACACCAGGAAAAAAAGGCCTTTTCCCCGAGGTAGGCCTATTATATTATGTTACTATACCTTTTCTTTTAGCCATGTGTTCCGATTCTATTTGTCACAGAACATGTGCTTGATCACTGGGTCAAGCACGGCAAACCCACGGTAGTTTAATGCACACCTCTAATTACACTCTTATATTTTTTTATTTAAAGTAGCTTATGATAAATTAAGGAACACGTGGATAATCGCATCACTTGAAGGTTTGCATCATGATATTACGGAATATAAAATGAACCCTTCTATGATTTCAATGGCATATGGTTTGGCAATAGATTCATACTTAAATGATATAAAAAAACACACAAAACCTAATGACACATAGCATAAGGGGATAAAATATGCATTAGCTATTGAACATAAGTGTCTTCTGAAGCATGTTAAGTAATGTATTGAAATTGCGTATGGGACTATGGCGTGAGCTGGTTTCAGCAGTTTTGGGACGAGTGCCGCATCCGTACAGAGCAGCGGGCTGGCCCTGTCAATCAGAAAGTCGGCAGCCATGACAGGACCACAATTAAAGACGTGACAACTGCGGCAGGAGGCTCTGCCTTACCAGGATCGGCCGATCGCAGGAAATGTGCAAATCATTGAAATCCTCTCACAAATTGAAAAATGAAAACTCATCGTCTTCTGCTGACGAAAGGATGCCGTGGAGATGGTAAGTTCTCCAGGCCATGGTGGATGTCCGATTAGAGGAGTCACCTAGGCAGGACAAGTGGTCTGGGTAGTAGTGGCGTCCACTGGAAGTTGGGCTCGCAAGCTGCAGGTCCATTTTTCCAGAAGCGCCCAGTCGGTACGAGTTGATCTCGCCTCTCCAGCGAACTTGGGCGGCGTTCCTCTGACTGGTGCTATCCCAACCTTTAATGGTCAACACCAGGCCCTTTCCGCCTTCTCCGCCTGGAACAAAGTAAGAGAGGGTTCAGCTGTCAATTAATCATGGGGTGACGGCAACGCTCACAGGGACAACAAAGTTCAAGTGCATTCCCAGTTTAAATGCTACATTCACTGCTCTCACAGGATAAAATGGCAGAAAATAAATAAGTAAACTTCCATCTGTACCTTAACATAAAAAGTACATCTTCTCTAATCCATGAATATGCTTATTGACTTTCTATGTTTTTTTTTTAAATAGCATTTGTTTAAGTACACTAATTTCACTCTTATAGAAAGGATCGGGCATGCAGACAAATACCGTTAGTTTAACAGATACTATTGGAGAGTGACAGTAATATGGTCAATAACATATGCTAAACCAGCAGATAATAATCTGATGCGATTACTCGCAACTGATGTTAGCCTTGGCAGGGAATCATACGCAAGGTCACGGTGTTTTGGTGCTGTGAACTAACCACAACGCCACCGCACCACATATCTGAGCATAATGCTTGATACACTGTATCTTGTTATATATTACATGCGCCATGTGTTTCTGTATTATGGGAATAAATGTGTCAGTTACCGTCCTGGTTGCCCCACTTCCAGTCAGGCCCTCGTATGACCACAGCCTCTGGGAAGATGCCCTTCAGAGGCACCTTCCTGGCCATATACCGCACTGGCACCTGCACACTGAGAACAACGGGCGGACAAAGGGATCAGCCCAGCACAGCCCAGGCTCCCGCACTGTGGAGCTGCACTAGGCGAGGCGCGGACATAGACCAGTGGTAGCGCTTTCGCCACGTTGTTGCAGAGGTCCATGGTCTGAATTTTCGCCAGACCAACCCGGTTATTACTGCCAGTGTATTGACCATAAAATAGCTCCGCGCCGCCTTTTTCGCAATGTATCCCGAACGCAATGAGTCGGCCACTGTGTGCCGGTGTCAGCGTCCAAGTATTCCAAATTTGAAAAATTATCCGTAAATTACTGAATTGGGATTACCCATGGCAATCATCCACCCCCTACTAGCAGACAATTCCCGATTTCAGACCACGTGCTGAGTCAACTTGTGCCTAAAGGAACAACTGCCAAATGAATTCTGCAATATAAATGTTTTTGATTTTTTTCCGGATACGTGAAGGAAGATTTGTATTGCCGTCTGTGATAGATGCCAGTTAATAGAGCATTCCAAATGGCAAGGTGTTAGTTAACAGAGCTTTTGCCATATTGTAGTTACTGCAATGTCTTATATGTAAAGAGGGGGACAAGCTTACCTTGGCGAGCCTGGTGAGGTGATGCGGTTGAAGGCGTGGCTCAAGCTGTGCTTGTCACCCATGTAGCACGACGTGCACAAGTCAAAGTCGGGGCACCCCCTGCACTTCCAGCGGATGCCCCAGATCCACTTTTCTCCGCAGCCATCGCATATCACCCCGAGGTGCTGAGTGCCTAGTGTGGAAATGCGTACACATCTGCAGTTGCAACGATCATGGACAGTGTGGTTTATGTTTGGATCAAGCACCAGATGAAATTGCAATTACGTGGACGCAATGATCAGGGGCTATTCATAGTCAACACACAAAGTAAGGATGATGCAATTCATTTGTTTGTGAGTACCCACCTGGAGTGGATACCCAGATCTTGGTATCCAAGAAGAATACCTTTGGTCCTTTAGTAGGAAACTGTACGAGGTGACCGTGTGGGTTCTGTGTCTACTACATTGGTACCCAACTACTGCCATCTTACGTGTGAATTATCAGAGCTTAGGAAGGGATGGTGAGGTGTGGTGGCATTCAACGTCAAAGGCTAAGATGATTTCCCGATCTTTAGTTCTGGCATTCAGTGGAGGTTACACTGTTTTGGTGATTTCAGATGGGTTTTTATTACTGACCATATACAAATAATTAATTTCATTTGAAAGAGCATCTGATTCAGTAAAAACGAATGCAGTCATCCAGCTTTTCATACATCAAGGTCGAAGTAATATATATGATGCATATTCCACATTCCTAAGGTCAGAACTGGTTTCTTTATTGCAGAACCATGGATGACTTCCTACTATGTGATTCTCATTTTATCAGTCATGTAGGGAGGATAGGTCTGAGTTCACTCTCAATGAGTATTGTTGTGTGGCTATCAAAGCATCACCTGAGCATACATTCATAATAATAAATACATATTTCTTAGATAATTTTCAAACCGCTGTCAGTGTATCTGGAAGCAATGGCTTTCAGAGAAAATACAACTGAATACAAACACACAAAACTATCTTGCAAGTTTTTGCTATGTGCGACAGGGCCTTAAGCTGGGCTGGCTGCCACGAGGCTGACCTGTCTGTGCGTTGTCATACAGACGTAGGTCGTAGTGCCCGTTAACCCCAAGCCTGTACTTGTAGCGGCCACCGCAATCCCACTGCACAACGGCGCCACAGCTGCGCTCTGTGCCCCAGTTGCCTTCGGCCACCAGCGTCCCCAGGCCTCCCTCTCCTCCATCCTGCTGCGGCCAGCTCCAGCCGGGGCCCCGCACCACACGCACACCGGCCTGCATGGCGCTCCTCCTGCAGCAACACGCAACTGGCAATACGCAACCAGCAGGACACAACCAGCAACACGCAACCGACAACCAGTAACACGCGACCAGCAACACACGGCCAGCAATATTCCACCAGCAACATGCACCTAACGTAACCAGCGATAAACTATTAATACGCAACCAGCAACGTGTAACCAGCAATGTCACCAGCAACACACGGCCAGCAATACACGAGTAATATGCAATCGGCAACACGTCACCAGCATTATGCAACCAGGCACAACCAGCAAACATGCAACCAACTGTAATTAAAGCTCACCCTGCATATACTGTAGAGGAAATTGACAGTCCTTTCTACGATTGTATGAAGACCTCCCCATGCCATATTGGTTGTGGGCGTTGCTTGACCATACTTCACCACATCGGTCAGTACAAATTGGTAAAGGAATTAAGGACTGGTTCTGATATCACTCGCCACGAATACTAGCTGTGGTCGTGAATTAAATTTAGGCAGCCAGGTTCGTAGCACGGTACACGACTACAGCACCACCGCTCCGCCACAATAAATGAAATATTTATTTTGAAAAAAATTTGTTTTTAAATCTAAGGTTTATAAACAAGCCATGGAGATTATATATCGATGCATAGGTTGTTCTGGTTCAATAAAACAGTACCATTTTTTTTATCTTGTTGCTTAAATAACTAATTTCCATTTTTAACTATGTCATTATCAGACAAAAGTCACCAGGATAATGTACTAATATAATTTTGGTTTCAATTAAAGTTAAATTACATTGTGTGGCTAAACATAGAATGGTAAATTCAGATATTACTTCCATTCTCTCACAATCTTTTTTTCAATAATTCAAGTGGTAAGAACGGTGTTACTCTTTGGTTATTTCGGTAAAGTCAAATAAAATCAAATATCGATTTAAAGCTTTCGTGACTGCAGGGATTCATCTTCTTGGTTCTTTCGGTAAAGTCACGTAGAATGGAAATAATAAAATAATACAAATAAAACGTTATCAAATACAATAATTATTATTATTTTATTTCCATTCTTCGTGACTTTACCGAAAGAACCAAGAAGATAAAATCAACTAGTAATAGAATACGACGTTTCGGTTGCAACACAAGCAACCATTATCAGGTAAGAATGAATGATAAAACACAGGCACGGAAACAACACAGGCAGGCACACATGCAGAGAGAGGCACACACAAAGATAAAACATAGACACGGCAACAATATAGACACACATGCATGTGTGTCTCCCTCTGCATGTGTCTCTCTCTGCATGTCTGCCTATGTTGTTTCCGTGCCTGTGTTGTATCATTCATTCTTACCTGATGATGGTTGCTTGTGTTGCAACCAAAACGTCGTATTCTATTATTTGATTTGATTTTCTACGTGACTTTACCGAAAGAACCAAAGAGTAATTCCTGCAGTCACGAAAGCTTCGAATCAAGTAAGAACGGTGTTCTTTGTTTATCCACGAAAGCCTGAGACTTCTTCAGTCGGTTTATGTTATCCATTATTGCTTTCTTTGATAGTTTGGTCTTTTTTGTTCAATTTATGCAACTAAGCTATAGATTAATGTCATGAGATGAAAAATCAATTTGGAAATCTCCCTGAGTGGTGCACGCCATGCCATAAAATTGCTGTAAAAGAGATGTTCCAAGGGACTTTTCCTGAAAAATCCTTAAAATTGCATTTTAATCCTATACATACGGAGGGATTGCACTTCCATACGCACTGATATATTGTTGCGTGACAGTAAAACGATACTCTATTACATTCTGAGAATTGTAGTTTTGCCAAATTAAGTGCGAAAACAAAAACGTTACGTTTTTTTTATGTGCAGTGATGTGTGAATGGGTTAAGGCCATGAACTCACTAAAATTGAGAACCAAATTTAAACACAGATGGCCGAACACCAAAATCTGCACTCTGACTTTGGCGTAATCTGTCCATCTTACTTGAGTGTTTTAAATGTGGGAATAAATGACAATTCCCATTTGCAACCAAACCCACGTGTACCGAGGGATTACTGCACTACGAGAAAACACAGGGAAATCAGTAGCCTACTTCTATTTTTTTTAGCTACTTCAGTTTCAATGTGGTGTGCTCATTGTACAGGACGTTTCTAAATGGATGTAAATTTCAGTCATGGCAGAGTGTAAAAATACAAACTTTGAAAATATAAGCTAAATAAAATCACCATGCAAAGGAATACAACAAAGCAGCCACAAAGGCCAAGTCGTTGCTTTGTGGATGAAATGGGGATTTGGTGACGCGATAACAATCCACAAAAGGGCATTGTGGACATCAGCTTGACATCATACGTGGGTCGCGAGCAACAAGATGTAGTGACTGTGTATGTCACTGTGTGGTGCCGGGCTTACGAAGCCACGGCGGATAATGTGTTGACACAATGTGTAGCCCGCTTACTGGGCGTAGTACCAGCTCTAGCGGGGCTTGGGTGAGCGCTGGTCAGCGTGGAGGCACCACGTACAGTGTGCGGTGCGGGCTCCCGGTGAGGAATGAGAGGGAGTGTCAGCCAGCCAGGGTTACATTGGAGTATGATACGCTGGTTGACCTGCCGACACGTGACCGGATGACATTGGAGGGGGGCCACCGGTAGACGGGGGCCGCTGGGCTGTCACGTGGTATAAAAGAGCTCTCGGGAGCCTTCGGGAAGGAGCTCGAGAGATTCAGAAGGTGGGCGGGGCGAGGGGCGGAGCCAGCCCCAGCCCAGGCCGATATAACGGGGGCCCCGTGAGGGGCTCGGGGTTCTTCATGTTGCTGGTGAAGAAGATCCTCGTCGGGTTAAAGAAGCCTCTAGCCACACGGTCCGAGACCCAGCTTGTGGTCCGGCCCGGGATAGCGAACCGTGTCTAGTTCTGTCGTAGCATGGCTAGATGGGCATTCAACACCCAATCGTAGGTTGTGTTATGTTATGTTGAATTACTGAATATATAGTGTTGCTCCCTAGATAACGTCTGTGACTCAGTTAGACTCACTACAAAAATAAAAGGTGAAGCTGGAGATGGCACCGCTGGAGGTAGGTAGGTTGTGGGAGGGTCCAAGTGCATTCGAGTGGGGGGCATAGGAAGCACCGCCTTTCCTGTGTGGTCCGAGATACAGGGGGCGTGCGGCACGCACTGACGCAAGGGGCATTTGACATTTGGGTTGCACAAAAGGCTCAAGTGGATGAAGCAATGGGGGCACAGGGCAATGAGTGCCCCCCCCCCACCCGCGCTACACAACTGAAGTAAATAATTAATTCGGAGTTGACGAATGTGAACAAACTAGACCGTTCACACGCGAGGCATGGGGTTCCCAAAGGCTGACACAACCCCTGATGTCAATATTTGTGCAGTTATGCAATGTTTACTGATAGAACATATGAAATGTTCACTCTGGCTTTGTTTGATTTCTCAGGACTATATCCAACGTTGGAAAGTGGCCCTACAGCAATGGAAAGGAATTGAATTTGAAAAAGGCCAAGGAAGAAAAAATTATTCTTCAAAAATATATTAAGCTGCCGCCCATAGCAGCAGGATACTCATAAGATTACTTTCAACGGGGGGGTATATGCTTTTCCAATGAATTGACTCAACCCTGGTACAACGTCGTCTCACTTTTGCATGCCACTACTTCCAACATATGTGGGTGCATTTTCTCTCTCCCGCGCAAACTTGCAAGACAACATTTCAAGCTGCTATTTTAAAAGGAGTCATTCCGATACTGTACACTTGAAACACCCGATAATGTGTATGTCGTGTTCGATTTCACTCGGACAACTTTTGTCTTTATTCGAACACCGCTTTATTTACAACTCTCCGCATGTCCTCAATATTCCACAGTATCCATGTCGCCACGGCTCGCTCGCCGTGCTTCACTCGACTCTACTACTTCGTCTCTGCTCTCCGCTATCACCGTCACTATGCTCTCTCCACTGCTAACCACTTCGTCTCTGCTCTCCGCTGTCACCGTCATTATGCTCTCTCCACTGCTAACTACTTCGTCTCTGCTCTCCACTGTCACCGTCACTATGCTCTCTCCACTGCGAGCTACTTCGTCTCTGCTCTCCGCTATCACCGACGCTATGCTCTCTCCACTGCTAACTGCTTCGTCTCTGTTCTCCGCTATCACCGTCACAATGCTCTCTCCATTGTGAGCTACTTCTTCTCTTCTTCAGCTCCGCTCCACACTCTGTTTCCAATCTCCGTCTCCAACTCTGTCTCCAAACTCTGTCCCCAATTCTGTCTCCAAACTCTCCTCCAATCTCCACGTCTTGCCTCATCCAGCTCCCAACTCCCCCACTCTAATTCCCGACTCCCCAATTTATCCACGCTCTCATCACCCCCAATTAATCAACCCGCGTCCCAACGGCGCTTCGCGTGCCCTCTGCACCTGCCCTCTGCACCTGTTACCTCGCCAGACTGCAAGACGCCACTCCAGCCTTGACAACAACACCAACCAATCACAGCCGTCCTTGGCTCGCCCAGCTTAATTGCCCTGACATAACCTGTACTGTATTTGCCTTCGCTACAGGCTGACCCAACATGACCCGTACTGTCTTTGTTACCATGCAATTGCACTGTTAGCACTACGCACCTTCCTTCTCCACTACATGTATACCGTTCCTAACAGCTTAATGCGAATACGTGGGTTACGAGAGTGTAATCGTGGCCAAATTAAGGAGGCAAAATCTGCCATCAGGGAAATGGCTCAATGTTTACCGGTAGGCCATTTGTGTAAAAGTGTGCTGCAAAACATGATGTGTATGCAGTGGATAAAATTGCCTTTGACTGGACTAGAATGCGATATAATCCAAATGAGTAATAGCAAAGACATTTAATGCACCAACTTTGAATAAAAACATATACAGTATACTTAACGCTTCCCAAATAAAGTTAGTAAGCGTGACTGTCCTTCTATCTCTAAAATGGGTTCACGATAAACTCTCGTAAAGATGAGCTAAGATGAACGAGAATTGAGTGTTCAGTTGAGCTATTGTTCTTCTTCGGGACGTTACCCTATTGACACCCGGTCAACTTTAATAAAGGGTTGCCCAATACAAAAACACTGTACCAGGAACGTATTTTGGAAGGGCAGCTGCCCACACTCATCTGCACGAGATGGAGACACGGGGAGCACAGAAGTGAAACCGCAGAGGGGTAACAAACCTAATACTTCACATCATCAGAATATGTATTTATCCTGGAGGGATCCGATGAGCTATGAAGCTCTTTTTTTCACAGATGTCCAGTGGGGGTACGGGGTAAGAACGTTACAACAAACAATACAAAATCACGATGGTAGTGCAAAGCACCATAAACGTAAACAAATCATCAAAAAAAACAGAAATGAAAATAAACCACCCCCATCCTACCTGGCAAAGCCCACTGAGGTATTCACTTAGCTGCACCGTCCCTCTGTCACACACACCCACCACATATGACCCCGCAGCCGATAACACCTGTTCCACATGATGGTCGCTCATCCAAACACAAACTCGAACCCGATTCACTTCCGAGATCTTCAGAGTCAGATCGGGCTTAGTCGACGGCGATTAACGGGCGTTGATGTCTGTTTATCCCATCATCCACTCAACTTCAACAGAGAACACCGCCACCAAAATAACTCACCACTCACACGACTCACCACTCACATGACTCACCACTCACACCACTCACCAGACTCACCACTCACACCACTCACCAGACCCACCACTCACACCACTCACCAGACTCACCACTCACACCAATCACCAGACTCACCACTCACACGACTCACCACTCACACGACTCATCACCCACGACTTACTACTCACACGACTCACCACTCACACCACTCACCACTCACACGACTCACCACTCACGACTCATCACTCACACCACTCACACGACTCACCACTCACACGACTCACCAGACTCACCACTCACACGACTCACCACTCACACGACTCACCACTCACACGACTCATCACCCACGACTCACCACCCACGACTCACCACTCACGACTCACCACTCACACCACTCACCACTCACACGACTCACCACTCACACGACTCACCACTCACACGACTCACCACTCACACGACTCACCACGACCAGAAATTCCCTCACCACTCGCCAGACTCACCACTCTTCGACGCTGCTTTCTTGTTGTTGTAAAAGCCTCACGACTGGAAAGTGAAACTTGGACGAACAGCCGCGCTCGCTGCCACTTCCTCATGCAAGTGCCAGCGATTGATGCAGCGGCACTGTACGACGTTACGTGCACTGCCCATTTTAACTTCTTTCGCACCATACGTAGCCGGCCGTGCTAATCGGAGGGGCGTTGGGAGAAAGGGGTACACGACAAGTAGCTCTCACTGAAACGAGTTTGTCAATCTCGACGACGATTTCAGAGTGCACAGCTCCCAGTGGGCTTCCGAATATCGGAAGGAAGAGGAGAGCGTTCCAGACGGCCGCAGGAGCGCATCTGGAAGCTCGCAGACGCAGCTGACCGCAATCTTTGTTGGTGGGGGGGGGGGGTCAGCTCGTGTGAGACACGGGGGGGGGGCTCGTGTGAGACACGGGGGGGGGCTCGTGTGAGACACGGGGGGGGGCTCGTGTGAGACACGGGGGGGGGGGCTCGTGTGAGACACGGGGGGGGGCTCGTGTGAGACACGGGGGGAGGGGGCTCGTGTGAGACACGGGGGGGGGGCTCGTGTGAGACGGGGGGGGGCTCGTGTGAGACACGGGGAGGGGGGTTGTGTGAGACGGGGGGGGGGGGGCTCGTGTGAGACACGGGGGGGGGGCTCGTGTGAGACGGGGGGGGCTCGTGTGAGACACGGGGGGGCTCGTGTGAGACACGGGGGGGCAGCTCGTGTGAGACACGGGGGGGGGGGCTCGTGTGAGACGGGGGGGGCTCGCGTGAGACACGGGGGGGGCAGCTCGTGTGAGACACGGGGGGGGGGCTCGTGTGAGACACGGGGGGGGCAGCTCGTGTGAGACACGGGGGGGGGGGGCTCGTGTGAGACGGGGGGGGGGGCTCGTGTGAGACACGGGGGGGCTCGTGTGAGACACGGGGGGGGCAGCTCGTGTGAGACACGGGGGGGGGCTCGTGTGAGACGGGGGGGGCTCGCGTGAGACACGGGGGGGGCAGCTCGTGTGAGACACGGGGGGGGGCTCGTGTGAGACACGGGGGGGGCAGCTCGTGTGAGACACGGGGGGGGGGGCTCGTGTGAGACGGGGGGGGGGGCTCGTGTGAGACACGGAGGGGCTCGTGTGAGACACGGGGGGGGCAGCTCGTGTGAGACACGGGGGGGGGCTCGTGTGAGACGGGGGGGGCTCGCGTGAGACACGGGGGGGGCAGCTCGTGTGAGACACGGGGGGGGGGCTCGTGTGAGACACGGGGGGGGCAGCTCGTGTGAGACACGGGGGGGGCTCGTGTGAGACGGGGGGGCTCGTGTGAGACACGGGGGGGGGCTCGTGTGAGACGGGGGGGGCTCGTGTGAGACACGGGGGGGGCAGCTCGTGTGAGACACGGGGGGGGGCTCGTGTGAGACACGGGGGGGGGGCTCGTGTGAGACGGGGGGGCTCGTGTGAGACAAGGGGGGGCTCGTGTGAGACGGGGGGGGCTCGTGTGAGACACGGGGGGGGGCAGCTCGTGTGAGACACGGGGGGGGGCTCGTGTGAGACACGGGGGGGGCTCGTGTGAGACGGGGGGGCTCGTGTGAGACACGGGGGGGGCTCGTGTGAGACGGGGGGGGGCTCGTGTGAGACGGGGGGGGGGGGCAGCTCGTGTGAGACGAAGCCTTCCTCAGTCTCTTCCCTGGAAACTCCACGCCCTGACTCGGGAGTCAGTCAACTTATAAAGCATTTGGCGCTCAGCCCCGCAGCCCTTGAAACCAGGGAATTTGTATATTTAAAAAATATATATTTACCAGAGAAAATACTATACATTAAATGTTTGTGTTACAATTGGTGGTGGTAGGTGTGTTAGCGTGATGCAAGTGTGTCCCTTGACCTCATTCCTGCTCGCTTGCAACCACTCCACGCACCTTGTAACAGAGAACTCGAGACAAAGAGTGAGCGGTCGGCTACCCGAGTTCGATTCCCGCTCACGGCCAACACCGGAGACGATTGTCTGAACCGGTTCTGGGCCTCCCCTAGGTCGGCTCAGTCTCAAATGAGTACCTGGTGCGGTGTGTAAAAACATCGCCACTGGGGAGACAAAGGCGGTCGGGCGAGGTGCTGGCCAACCACCCCCTCGTGTGCCGTGTCGGCCTTCATAGGTGCTCGCGAACAGCACTTGCCCCTACAGCCTGTTACAGGCTACACGGGGGATCTTTGCCTTTGTTGTTCGTGTGATACCAGTCTGTCCCTTGACACAATTTCTGCTGGAGGGCTTGCAACCACTCCACGCACCTTATATCCACAGAAAACTCGAGTTGGTAGGGGGGAAATAAAATAGGGTGGCATTGCCACTTTACTCGCGCTATCACGGGTGCTGGGGCAGGAAATAAGCAGAATCCTGTACACCTGTTTGGTGATACAGGATATTTCTCAGGTCCGCAAATGACGAGAAAAAACCACAACGAACAAGCGCAGACCAGCAAATCTTGTTTTAAACAGGATGCATATGCACAAAGCACAAAGGCTTTGTGCTTATACAAAACACCATCAACAATGACTGAAGTACATTGCATTCCTTTTGTCTTGAGTGACCATATTTTTAGCAAACGTGACGAACTGCAGAGGTGGTGTACTTTATAGACATTTGGTTGCGGCTAAAAAATGGCAGCAAACTCGTTTCGGGAAAAACCAGGGGTGTTAAAATAGTGAATTTGCATTGTACGGTGTGGCGACCATGCACAATCCCGAGCGATGATGATGATGATGGTTCCGCGGGAAGTTGCGATGTCACTGGCGATAGTTGTGATGATTGCGACGGCTGGATGGCCCAGCCTGAAGGAGTCACTGATCAGACAGAATGAGTGGGGATGTGAAGGAGCGGCTGCCCCTACAGAAGCCTGGACACGGCTTCACAGTGACGCGAGATCTTGGAGAAGGGGGGGGTGTTGCTCCTTGCCACCTTCCCCACACATGCAGCGCCCACGCTCACGGTATTCTCCAGGATCATACAATCCTGTGTTTCAACGTTGGCACGTCAGTGTTATTCAATATGTAAACCACGTGTCAATGTCAAAACAGCATTTCGAGAAAACTCTGGTCGTACATACTCTTTGGTTTTTTCGGTAAAGTCACGTAGGTTAAAATAAATGAAAACTAAATTAAATCACGACGTTTCGGAGGCAACACAAAATTCCGTCTTCAGGTGTGATACAGCAATTTTGCTGCAATTTGGTAAACACACGTCGTGATTTAATTTAGTTGTTTTCATTTATTTTATTTTACCTCCGTGACTTTACCGAAAAGAACAAAGAGTATGAATCCTTGCAGTCACGAAAGCTTCAAATCTAGAATCTGGTCGTACACCCATGGATTGTCAGTCTCATTGTATGGCCATTGTCTAAATCACAATAAGTTGCTCGGGAAGACACTGGCAGGAACAATCGAGAATGCATTTGGTCAACAACCCGACAAGCCATGCTGCAGTTTTTCAGCCACATTAAAAGGGGCCTTGGATTTAAAGAAGTTTGAGAAATCGGTCCCAGTTTACACTTTATTCAAATACAGAAGCCATGACATTACATACATTAGGTCTGTGTGATTATACAATAGCCTCAGGACATATACCATTAAAATTAGTCGAAGACAATTATTTCACGAACATCCATGAAATGACAACTTTTTAAGGAGTTACATAACGTAATGAATGAGGGGTTCTTGTAGTAACTATATACATGGTTGACCTGAGTTTTATTCCTAGCCACAGTTTACATCAGTGGCAGGCGATATGTGAACCCATCCGGGACCTCTTTCATCAACGGGCACTCACTGAGTAGCGTTGTAAAGTTTGTTTTTAAAAAAATTACCTCTCCAATCACTCCGAAGGCATCATGAGGCTTTCAGTCAGCAGTGGATTTACCAAGGCCTCTAAGTTATCATTGGTGATTATCCACAATTATGCATGCTTAATTAAGTTTTTTTTCTGGATGGCCTTCATCTTCATGACTCTCAAGTGGATCGATGCAAGTGGGCTGGTTCTGGACTGCCCTGGATCCCTTTAGCAAGGGGCAGAGGATGTAAGCACTGGTTGCCGTTGTTCACCGCTAGTTTTAAATTATGATGATGTTGGCAGTGACGATCTCTTGTTTTTCACGCAGCCAGTCCCTTGTAGGTTTAATGGAGACGCTAGCCGAGCAATGAGCACATGTTGAAGTTGCTCACTTCTTGGAAGATGAAAATATGTACGTGCCGTTATGTAAAATTAGACCCAAGATAGACCTTTTCCCCAAGATAACAAGACCAATATATCTAATTCATGCACAGAATGAGACCAGTCGTAGTCTGTAATACAAAAAAAACAAGATGGTTATTCACAATTATTACCTTAGCGTATTCATAATAATAGCTTGGCAATTAAAGTAATCATGCATCATCTCTCGTAGTTGAATATAAACATAAATACTCTAAATGTACTATCTTGGTGGCTTACTTACAAAACATGCAGTGTTACAGTCATGTATGAGGGAGTAGTGGCACTGTGGGTTTGGCACTGCACTATGAACTTAGGAAAACTAAATTAGATTCCTGGTTATGACTGCTATCAATCCACACTGACCAGTATGAAGTATGGTCAAACAATATAACGACTGACAAAGTGAGAGTGGGCATTCATATAGCATGGATTGATAACTGGCTGTAAATTATTACTTTATATTATGCGAAATGAAAGTTGTCATGCAGATAGGATTTATCCCTACCTGAGAATATTTCCCATGCATGCCTCGGTCAGTCACAGCTGGAGGTATGCTGTGGAGAGACAGGGTGTCAAGTTGCACTTGGTTCATGCGTTTAACCAGTATACACAGACACAATTTGATGTAATTTAATTACAGAGGATTGTTTACCATTTCAAAAAAACACGTACCAATTTTAATTTAATATAACCAGGAACGCCCCGTTTCAATAGAGATCGATACAATTGTGCTTAAATACGTTGTACAATTTTTTTACATTGATTTGTGATAAATATATTCTATTTTTGTTACCACAGCAAAAACAGGGTAGCTACAGTGACTTGCTAGACTCTCAGACAATCCAGATGTTGCTATGCATTTATCCCAGTTACTCTCAATCGGGTGCAGTTGTGTTGAACAATAATGTCCTTTTAATAGCGGTGATGGAGCCCAGCGGAAGCACGTTCACCTCTTGTTGCAGAGGTTCACGGTTCGAATTCAGCGGCTGCCATTATTATTACTGTGGGCATAACTGTAATAATACTGCACACCATTTGTTTCACAGTTGATGTTAAAGATACCCCCTGATGTTATTTGGCAAGTCTCGGGGTCATACCTGCAAATTACTCAATTGGCACTGAACATATCAATCATTGCCCCCCTGGGATTTTTGCACACAGCGTTGGTGTACGGTGCTATTTCAGGAATATTTTGATGTTTTTTTCCTGGATTTTCTGTTTGCACAGTCACATAGTCACTTTAAGATGTTTTCTTGTTCATGTTTTTTTGTTTGTTGTGGTTGCACCCGATTCAAGAGCCGAATGGCTCACAGGGCTATACCAAATAAATGGAACTATGGAATTACTGGAAGACTAATACCAAAGATCACTGTTGCGTATGAGACCATCCTGGTCTCGAGTTCTCACCTGGTTAATTTTTTTTACTTCAGTGGCCGTGCCCGTGCCCGTGGTGGCCGTGGCCGTGCCCGTGGTGGCCGTGCCCGTGGTGGCCATGCCCGTGGTGGCCGTGCCCGTGGTGGCCGTGCCCATGGTGGACTTCATGCACATGGTGGACTTCATGGCCATGGTGGACGACTTCGTGCCCATGGTGGACGACTTCGTGGCCATGGTGCCCGTGGTTGACCCCAAGCCCATGGGCGACCGTGTGAAGGAGCCCAGAAAGCCCTCCACTATGGGCCCCGTGGTGATGGTGGCCAACGGCTGGCACATGTTGATGCACATGGTATACTGGGGCTTGTGTGTGGTGGTTTGCATGGGCTTGTGGGTAACAAACCGCGTTGCTTTGACCTGGATGCCCAAACATTTGCACTTGGGAATGTGCTCCCGGAGCGGGTGCTGTGCCAACATAGGTATTTGGGGAATATGCATGGTTGGCAGGGTATCCTGGCTGGGGATAACCCTGCACGTATGTAGGGTATGGGGAGTTGTGTGCATTTGTTGGGGGGTATCCTGGCATCGAAGGAGCACTTTGATTACCTGCAAAGATACATTAATTGATTAAATCAAGCCAGACTGCAGATGATGAGAACATTTATGAAACCAGTCCTGAGTTTGCTTGTTCAGAATCAATGTTGGCATTACGCACTCCCAGAAGGCCGTGGGGCTGATGAGTTGTGCAAAGACAAATTGTCTACTTATATATTTGGTTACTTATATTCTCCACCGATTATTAATTTGATTTCTAATTCTGCTTTTATGACTACTCAAAACAAAACTTTTGCGACTATATACGAAACATTTACATGCAAAGGACATCAGAATATTACTGTTAACGTTCTAATATAGATTAGTTTTTCTGCAAATTTGCATTGCTAATCTATGACAAGCTCCTATTTTCATTACACAAATTCAGCTTGATATAATAGCAAGTATCTATATGAATAAAGACCTTAACCTGAATGTGTCAAAAACCTCTAGGGTACCCCCCGACAAGGGTAAAAGCTGAAATTTGGTACATAGGTATCTTTTAGGACACAAACAGGAAAAATCAGAAAATACGAGATTTTCATTTTAAGGCACCCAAATCTCAATTTTAAGTCCCCCATAAACCGTTTAAAATAAAATAATTTTTTTTCGTTTGATAGAGCATTGTATGATGTTCAAATCTGAATAATTCGAAAACAGTAAAAGATAGGAGCTGCCCCTCATAGTATTAAGTTCATTACTTTGTGTTATTTCTAATAAAAAAAGAATGGAATCTTTAAATTGAGGGGTTTCCGATGGGTACATCTTTAAATAAAAAAAAGTTGAATCAAGTCATCAACAAATATTTTTTTGTGGAAAAATACACATTTTTGGAGTAGATGTTAGTATCTGGTCATAGATCAAAATTGTCCAAAATCATATCAGGTTACTTATTATATGTATTGAAAGCTTTTGCCTGGCGAAGACAGGCTTCATGAGAACTAGTTTAAATAATTCAAATAAAATAATGTTACAGAATTTTTACAATATATCTAAACATGGAATTTTTTCTTAATGAATATACTGGCAAGAACATCTTATATAATAGTCAGGTTTGTGTTGTGCTGTCCAAAGGCCAAATGCCAGCATTAATGACTTGGCCTAACGGGTATAGAAATCCCATTCATCTAACCATAACCCTCACCATAAATCAATTTAGACATTTCAGCTGTGCAGTCTCCTCAAATAATGTCAGTGTATATTGTTGGATCCATTGCCACATTTGAAAATTAGTTACCCGCTAACAATCACGTACTTGCCAACAAAACGCCCGATTCAGTGCCATCATGTGTTCAATAATACAGTTAGTTTCTTACAGTTGCTCATGATGCTTGACAAACGCTGTAATCATGCGAGTGAGCAATGTGAACACACCACCAAAATGTCACGGTGGCGAGATGTTAACTACCTCGCCTGGTATACAGGAGGTCGTGGGTTTGATCCCGACCCTGACACCTGCTGTATATTTGGAGTTTGCGTGTCTCTCCTCGTGGTTGCATGGATTTTTCTCCCTCCACATTTAGAAACGTGCGTTTGGCTGCCACTTCGTTGAGCCATAATTTGTGGCCAGGTCGCTTCTGAAAAAGCTATATAGCTCAGTGGGCTTTACCAGGTGAAATAAAACGTTCAATTTAGTTTGCTGCACATAAACCAAGGCAGAGCCCCCCACCTCTTATTGCCAGGGAGACAGCACAAATCTTCCTCCCACCAGGAATTCTTGTGATAAGTCACTGGCAAGTTCCAAGAGTGAGATTTGGTCTATCACACAGGATGACCCCCAAAATACATCGCTAACCATGAACAGTCATCTAGAGGGCATTAACTTTAACGTGTTTTCTCCCAGAACTCTATAGTTGATTAAAAACTCGATTTTGAAAATAAGAGTGGCATTACCGTGGAGGATTTTCCAAAAATACTTGCGGGTTAAAATTTCAAGACTAACAAAAAAAATTAAAAAGATTAATTAAAAATGTTCCCAACGCATACATGTTTTGATTGATATGTTCGGTGATATTATTTCCCAAGTTCTGACTTGGGAAATTTGGCCCACCCCCTGAAATAAAATTGGCCCCGAAAATTCAGTCTCCATTACCAAATATATTCAGTCTCCGTTTCTCGAGTTGTGTCTCACAGAAACAGGACATTCGTTTATATTGTCAATGATTATTTACATCTTTGACATTCTCGTGGTAACAGACAAATCGTGAAGATTTTGCCGGTTATTAAAAGTAAAGTTTTTAAACCAACTGAAGAAAAATGTACTACAAATTTAATCTGGGTAATACAGTACATAACCTTGAGCATAACAAGCGTCGTACAACTGAGTCAGCATGAGGAAGCCTCACATGCAAGTTTCGCGACGTTATTTCAGGTAAAAAAATAGCATGCAGGTAAAAACGGCACAGGTCAAAATGGCACAAGTTAAAACTATTATCAAAAATGGCACAACTAAACGGGTTAGAGTTAATCATCTCTTTCAGTCAGATCTGTACGTTTAGTTTGTTGCGGTTGCACCCGACTTAAGAGCCGCATGGCTCACAGGGCTATACCTAATAAATGAAACTTGAAATGAAACTAGTACAGCACTTCTGTTAACACAGTACTTGTAACTGTTAATGGCAGTCCCGTTTGACGGTGCTATTTACCCCATACCCCCCCGACCAAGTTCACTTGTGCCATGTTTACTCCAAGATCGTTATTTTAGTCCAGTGAACGCTTAAGGAAGCCTGCAGAACTCGCTGGAGACCACCGACTCTCGTAGTCAAATCAGCACCGTGTTCTACTGATCTCCACCAACTCATCAGCCGGGTCACCGCAGTACTGTATACAACAAAGCCACCCCATAGCCACACAGCACACGACTCAACAGTGAGCTACACACAACTCTTTGTCCATCTGTATTAACAGTACTGACCACTCGTTTTGAATATAGTTTTATTTGTATATTTTGTTAAAGTTGTATTTCCTATACTTTGAACTCCTATCGTGTTGTATCGTTTGTCGTAACGTTCTGGCCCGCCTCTATAACTGGACGTGAAAAAAAGACGCTTTATAGCTCATCGGATTCCTCCAGTATAAATATTCTGATTGTGAATAACGGTAATTTCGAGTACACAAACACCAAAAACAATACGCAAAATCAGCTATCATTTCAGGCGGTAATCATACGATCTGCTCGCTAAATGCGAATCCAAAGTTAACGTGTACATTCTGGATAAGTAGAATCCAAAGGACCGGCACCGCTCGATGTCACCGTCGTTCTAAGCCACCCGCGTGCGCTAAACCTTGCGGCTCCGTACCTGCGGGTGGGTTCCACATGGCCGCAGGCGAAATGTCAACACCGGAGAGGCGATGGGGGAGAGCCTTGGGGGAGAGTCCTTGGGGAAGAGCCTTGGGGAAGAGTCCTTGGGGGAGAGCCTTGGGGGAGAGTCCTTGGGGGAGAGCCTTGGGGGAGAGTCCTTGGGGGAGAGCCTTGGGGGAGAGTCCTTGGGGAAGAGTCCTTGGGGGAGAGCCTTGGGGGAAGAGTCCTTGGGGAAGAGTCCTTGGGGAAGAGCCTTGGGGAAGAGCCCTTGGGGAAGAGTCCTTCCCGTCCTGCGTCTTCTCTTAAGCCGCACTGGCGGAAGTGTGGACCGTGCTCATCACGGCGCGTCAGGAGGAACAACGCCGCGTCAATTGTCCCCTCCCTTTAACAACCCGTTTCACCTGTTCGAACATCGCCCGCATTTTTAGAGTTCCTTCTGTGTCGTGAGTCAAGGCAACGAGACAAATATCCCCCGTGTAGACTGTAAAAAACCAGACTGTCGGGGCCAAGTGCTGTTCGCGAGGAGCACCTACGAAGGTCGGCACTGTGGCGCACGAGGGGGTTGGGTGGCCAGCACCACGCCCGGCCGCCTTTGTCTCCCCAGTGGCGATGTTTACTGCACACCGCACCAGGTACTCATTTGAGGCTGAGTCAATCTGGGGGAGGCCCAAGACCGGTTCAGACAATCGTCACTGGTGTTGGCCGTGAGCGGGGTCGTATCGCAAGCCACACATATTGACACACACCCCCATGAATAAAGTGACATTGGCAAAAAAAAACCCAGCATTGTCCACGTCCCCGTTTTCAGCTGCTGCTGTTGACTCATGCAACAGCGAACTGTATTATACACTTGCACATGATCCAGTGGTTCACAAGCACAACTCACAATGGTTGACAGTTACTGCCTTAAAATACAATACCTCTCTCAACACATTCGGTTTTATCCGTATTCTTGTACAGGGAAATTGAGTTTTCAGGTCTATATAGCGTACAGCCGTTTAAATACGGGCAAAAAAATGTCTATTTCTTTGTTTCTCACCATTTGAATGTGACTTTGTAGGATGAACGTTGATATTTATACGGGCACGGGGTGACCAATAAGGTCTGAATTGGTCTGTAATAAGGTAGGGCACTGATAAGGGGTTGACAGATATGAAATACTATACAAATTATAACCTGTGGCCGTTTCTTGGCAATGTCCCTTCTACGGTATCCTGCCCAACTCGATCACCATGAAAACGGAGATGTTGGGGAAGGATAACGAATGAGAGATCATGGGGGTAAGAGGCATACGAAAGGGTCATTAGCTAAAATGTCACCGAACATATTTGTTTACTTTGAAGGCGGTGTTTTTTTACGAGTGGTGCGTTTTGTTGTTTTGATAAGGTTTTTGGTGGCCCACAAACCACACTATCCACACCCCAAGCGGCCCTCACCCAGAGTAGTACAGTAGAATATCGTCCGACTACGTTTGCATTTGATATTTGCAGTAAAGCCTACCACTTGTTACAGACAGGTGTAAAGGTCGCATCTAACGAGACCACGAGTCTGCTTGTTGCTGAACCAATAGACTGATAAAAACATGACGAAGGTGAGTTACGCCTGCTCGGGGCACCAGAACAATAGCAATGACTCATAACCTGGAAGCTACTGTAACTCGCTCACCGTGACTTCACAATTATTCTTTCATACATAGGAATATCAGCAGATTCAAGATTTTATTTTAAGCTAGCTTCACTACCCGGCTTCGCCCGAGACTTGGATTCTTGTCTTGGATTAATACACGGTGGGTGGGTGGGGGGTGCGTGACGTCAGCAGGCACACTACGTCACGCTTCCACACACGGGTCACATGACACAATGTGACGTCACAGCTGACTTGCCGTGTAAAATATGTATGCATTATTGTGCCCCCCCCCCCCAAAAAAAAATATACAAAAGTCACTTTTTATAATTTTTGCATAGTGTACAGTCTGGAAAGTACTCACATGGCAAATTTCAAGTTTGTTTGCATGTCGCGAAGTACGCTAAACATTTTGAACAGATACATTCACAAATTTCCCTTTTATATATGTAGAAGATGTGTCATCCACCCAATTGCCTGTTCTGGCACAGAGTGGATCTCATCCACTCCTCCTTTGAATGAGTCAAGGCAGCAAGCTGTTTACAATGTGGTCGATGGTTTGGGATTGGTGGCCGCACTCGCATCACTTGTGCATCACTTCCCAGTTTGGGAACGTTGTCGTGTCCTTTATGCTGGAACGAGCCAGGCCGCGGCGGGGCGCTGGGTGCCCAACGGAGGCAGCGGTCGTCAGCTGAGGACAAACAAACAGGGGCGGGAGCGCCTGAGGTCACGGTAGGGGTCACGGTAGGGGGTCACGGTAGGGGGCCCAGAGGGGAACTGTCAGAAGTTGTCGTGGCAATGGGCCGTGAGTGACAAGGGGATTTAGAATGGGTGGGATGCCCAGGGGATGTTATGGCACAATGGGGCATGGATACCAGGTGATATCATAGAGCAGTTGGTTCTGAATTTTTCTTGGCTATTGTGTATCCCCACTTGTTGAATTTTGTTTCAATCGAGTATCCTGCCTCCCACCTTGTCTGACTTGACATGGTTCTGAGAAATAAATGTATGAACATCAATAGCTCAACCAATTGTCCATTTTGCGTGGTATATCCTAACTAGCTGGTAACTGCAAGTGAATTTTAAAAAATCAACGGACGCTCTGCATGCATGACATAATTTGTTTGCGCTCGCTGGTTACACTTGGAAACCACATTTTTACAATGATTTTAGAAAGGTATTTTATATCGTTGTAGGTTACCATATGGATTTAAATTGTATCGTAGTTATTTTATATTGGCCGATTCATACATGATTATTCACCAATGACTCATGGATGATATTTCACACATTTGTGAATAACCTCACGTACCTCCTGGAACATTGCCACATACCCCCAAGGGGTCAGCATACCGCCTGATTGAGAACCACTTGACATAGGAGGGGCGAGGATGAGAGAATAAACGCCGCAGGGACAAGAGGGGTCCCAGAGCGGTGTGGAGAAGGGAGGAGCGGTGTTGAGGGCAGAGACAGAGATTGTGTGTCAGGGCCAGGGCAAGACGAGAGAGTGACCAGGGTGGGAGAATTTGGTAGAATGCTGTTCCTTGTGATATTAGGAATCCACTGGAACCATGCACTTTTAAATCAAGATTGAAAACTCATTTCTTTAGAACTGCTTTTTGTGTTTAGTTTTGTTGTCCTTCCCCTGCACCTCTGATCAGCACGGGTGGCTACATAATATACCTGGGCGAACGGCAGATTGAGAGTCAGGCAGGAGATTAATGTCACTGTGTGGAAAGTGGATGTGGAGAACCCGAGTGCCGGACGATTCAAATGACCTAGAGGCCAGGTGGACAACGTGTGGGGTTGAGTAGTATCCAAGTGTGAACCGTGAGGTATATTTCGAGAATTATGCTGTATTATTTTTCCTACATCGTTCATGGAGCTCGCACGACATAGACGACCGAGTTGTCCCTATCCATTGCAGAGTTGCTTGTGTCACTATGATACCTACTACTGCCACATGTTATGAAGATTTGAGGTGTTCAGATTGAGTCCGAGTGATTTGACGTGAAATAACCAACAGGCGTATTGCCAGCAACACCAAGGGTAATAAAGTGACTTTTGTAAGGGTTACCTTTTAAAATTAATCATGTACAAAGCTTACATTAATACGTGAAAGAATAATGATGCTCGAATTCAGTTAAAACTGAGTGTGTAAATCGCATTTTTTTCTTAAGATAGTTTTTTATGGAAAAAAACACCAAGTGAGACCTTGCGCACCTAGGTCAGTGTAAGGCTGCATTCCATCGTGATTGAAAATGCAACCAGACTCAATGCGTTCGACATTGCACCTTGTAAATGTCATAATATAAGTACGCATGCGTAATGTCGTCTGTGCGTGTGGGTGGCGTGCGTCGCACACAGTCGGAGACGAGGTGGTCGCAGGGGGTACCGCTCTGCCCTCTTTATTTGTTGTTGCCGAGCTCACACCACCACTCGGGCCCCCTCTCTTTCCCACACTCGACCCCGCTGCCGCGCGCCCCGTCTCCGACACGACCCTGCCCGCGTTGCACTGACGGTGTTGACCGGGACAGCCAACCACTGTCCGGCCGCGCAATGCTCGGGCGAAGGCACCAGCGACGAGGGCAGCGACGATGAGACGAGTCCAATCCCAGAACCGGCAGCTTAGAGCTCTCGCACTCCGCTGCTTTAGATTTGCAAATATTTGGCACAATAGTATAATTGTTGAGGTGGAGGGGGGGGATATACAATTCCAGAGGCATCAAGGTCTCAGATCTTATCAAGTAGAATATAGAAAACTTTTATTTTTGCCACCTAGCCAATTCTGAAAAGAAGAGAATCAGGAGCAAATGTGGTGAACCAAAGATGACTCACCTAATCTGAAAGTATTAAAAGTAAGGCGTTTCATAACGTTTGAGACAGAGTAGTCTCAAATCCCCCCCCACCCCAGCAATAACAGCGTGGATTACAAACTTCGTCCACAAAGGAATTTCAGAGATAAATTTCAACGGAAAAATAGGAATTGGTGAGCTTTGGGCCATCATATGCATGTAATAAGTGTGCCATTATGGGGATTTTAATAATTGAAGATCAATAGCATGATCTTAAATGATATACATTTTCACAAAGGCGGTGGGCTACGACTGGTATACCACAAAAATGCCCCAGTATTCCGCAATATTTTAGGAGTCGTTGGTAAGCTAGGACAGATGGACTCTGTGCCACATTAGCAGATCCAGCCACCAGCCATGGCAACTGCATTTGGGCCAACACATATATATAATACACAAAGAGAAACACAGAAACATGGACTTGGACACGAATGCACTCACACAGTAGGGCGTTTTCTCTTCACGGATTTTTGGCACCACTTTATTTCCTTGTTCATGTATAAACAAGGCATTGTCAATCTCTCGGCTACAATACATTCCCCACCAACCCAGGCCAACGGTGATGTTTCGGTTCAGTATGCCATGAAGATCGAGAAAGCTTGAAAGTGTGCTATGGACTGAAAATAGTTGAGAAGCACTGTTCTAACGTTTCAGGGTTTGTTTGCTTTCTCCAAGTCATGCAAAAATGTCCATATAATTAAATCAACAATCTGTCTCTTGTCACAGCCACCAATAAATATTCATAGCCAGTAATGCCAATTCCCCACGAATTTTATGTTGATTGATGACTTGACACAAATTTATCATAAGGAGCATAAACCTTTACATGAACTCCGGTCAGCCTCACAGTTGCTTTTAGTTAGCCATCAAACAAAGACAGTCACTACATCGCGTGCTTTTAGATGCTCTTCTGCGGCCGTCTGGAACTCTCTTCCTTCTGATATTAATTTTCAATCTAGATTCATTTTCAATCTAGATTGAAAATTAATTTCTTTTGAACTGGTTTGTGTTTGGTTTGTTGTCCTTCCCCTGCACCTCCGAGCAAGGTTGGCCACATATGGTGTGAAAGACGATCAATATACGTATGTAATGGGTTCGATTGAGGCACACTATTTATTAACGCATTACCAAAGGGAACGTTATACACAAAGTGGTGACCACCGTTCCTAATCTCACTAACACTCGGGGAGGGAATACTACATAACGTGACCAGTGCAGGTTAACGGGCTGCCTGGTGACGAACGAAGGTCAGAGCCTGGAGGAGCGTTGATGGCGTCTTCATCCCGGGTCAAACAACCCACCTCTCTGTTCACACCCCGCTTATAACTCCCGTGGTGTGGCCGACTCCGCCCCAGGCCACGCCCCCCTTTCTCGATCCTTCGGGAAGGTACGGGCCCCCAACCACGTGACCCCTAAGCTCCCCCTAGGGCCCCTAGCCCCCCCTTTGTTTGGTCACGTGTCCTGTTTGGTTCACGCAGAGTGTCACGGCCTGACACGACCCCCTGTGATACCCGCCTACAGTACCCATATCGAGCCAACACAGTAGTGACGTCATATGTCCCTACGCTCGTACAGTCCCGACACAGTAGTGACGTCGTACATCACTACACGTACATACAAAAGCTCGTGCATATTTGCGTGGATAAAAGGTTATTCTCAAAACAAGTTTCCTATAATAGGTTACGGCCTCATGAGTATGGTAAGTCAAAAGACAATGCATTATGGGGTTGTTAATACCCCTGCGATGTTCAGTTAAATGATGTGAAAGCTCTTCCACGGTCTTCCCAACATCAATTACATTGATGACCTGATGTACATGGATACGTGGGTGGAATATTTTGATTTGCCAACTCAAGTACTGGAGCGGTTGAGACTGTACCATATTTTATTATTATTTTATCTCAGCACATCCTACAACACATGTATGCATGTATGTTGAACTTCTTTCACACCGTACGTAGCCAACCGTGATCATCAGAGGTGTGGGGGAAGGACAAACTAAATGCCAAGTAGGCTTCACAAAAACAGCCTTCTTGGGGTACGGAGTTGGTGAAGGGTAGATCAAACCAATATAAGGTGACCCGAATTTGGCAGGCTCATCTACCGAAGGAAAGTTTGTTGGACGTTTTATACACGCAACGAAAGAACATAGCCACATCATTCCAATGGTAATATGAAGGCAATTGTAAAAGCGTGGGATCATTGGTTTCACTGTCAATATTAACAAACGTGTGGAAACATAAATACATCCTATAAGATACACTATGGTGCGATCGTGTTAAAACTTTAGTTGCGAATCCTAAACAAATTTGTGTAATGTTAATTATACTGGTAGGAACGAAGTTAAATTTCGATTTTATTTTATCAATTTATTATTTTATTCTCATTCTACGTGACTTTACCGAAAGAACCAAAGAAGAGGAACGAAGTTGTAAACTGAGTGTACCAGCCTGCAATAGATTAATGTGTCCGTCCGTCCGTCCCCTTTCAATACTTTAACGAAGTGAAATCTCGTGCTGTTGGGTGTAAAATCAGCAATAGACAGCGCAGAGACTTGTCCTACCAGCCCACCCTGCAGGGACCTGTTACAATGCTCATATTTGAGAATAAATATGCGCCTTAATTATCACACCATTTATCTAGAACTAGACATCAGCATAAAAACAAGAGTAAACTCTTTCAAACACATGCATAATGTTCCTCATGGCTGGCGGCATTTATCATAAGGTCGTGGGCCTCAAGCTGCAATGACCGGGTTATTGCCACTGGGTGGCGTATACGCACAAATGTTATAAACAGGTCCCTGCAGGGTGGGCTGGTAGGAACATTGGCAAAGTAACGTCACGGTGCCTTCGAACGTCGCCTCGCAAATGGTATTCGGCTGTGGGCTGTGTGTGAATTTGCCACATCCCCAAAAGCGAAGTTCGCAAATGAGATAATGTGACTTCCAAATGTTGGGTGCAATAAGACATATCAAGTCTCTGCGCCGTCTATTGCTGATTTTACACCCAACAGCACGTGATTTTCGTTAAAGTATTGAAAGGGGACGGACGGACATTAATCTATTGCAGGCTAGTACACTCAGTTTACAACTTCGTTCCTACCAGTATAATTTACACCTAGAATTCTCACGTCGCTAGTGTGATCGCAAGCGAGCAGGCGTGGTGGATTATATATCAGCACGCTCAATTAAAAAGATCTGCACAAATACATGCTTGCCACCACTTTGAACGCTGAAAGTGTCAAAGCCAAAACGAAACAAAGCGTGCCTACAATGTTAAAAATAACACGACTTCAAGTTTTGATACGATGGTACAGTATACAGTTCAGTGTTCCCTCGGATACGTTCCTGATGTGCTCGTGATTGGCGCATTTCGCGGATGATATTGGCCTATGAAAACCTATATTTATAAGGAATTACCTTAAATGATTACATAAATAATCGATTAAATACACCATTTACACTCTGCCCTCTGCCAATGGGCGAGCGCTTTCATACCCTGAGTTGGTATGGCTTTCACTCTCTGCCAATGAGCGCTTTCCTCTACTGTTCAGTTTGATTGGCGCTCGCAAGGTGTTTTGTTTACAACTCCGTGGTCTCATTCTTACTGCTACTTTCCTGTTTTGGTCAACAATTGTACCCCTAATAGCTGACAAGAGGCATGCAAATGACAGTTCTGGAGGTGCTGCAAAAGTCCCAAAATAAAGTATCATGCTGGAGATTAATATTCAAGTGTTACGGCGGCTTGAGGCGGGTGAGCATCAGGTGGATGTCAGCCGTGCTCTAGACCTAGCGAGGTCGACCATCAGAACAATTATCAAGAATTATGAGAAGATAAAGATATATGAAGTCCACCACTCCATTAACAGCAACAATGTTAACATGTACACTAATTTGTTGGAAAGATGGAAAGACTGTTCAGCATTTGAGTAAAATATCTTAATCAGCGTCCAAGAGAAGGCAAAGACTCGCTTTACCCATCTGCAAGAACAAGGCAAAGGATCACTGAACAGTTTATTTGAACAGTTTGAACAGTTTTTTTTAGAATTGCCCTGTGAGCTAAGAAGCTCTTGAATCGGGTTTCATCAACAAAACAGAACAACTGTAACATAAAAAATACAACTTTTGCAACAGGTCGCATTAAAAATATAAATACAATAAATACAGCAATGAAAAAAGTCAACTAAATATATTACTTAATTATTATTTAAATATTTAACTAAATTAAACATTAAGATTAGAGAAACATATTGCAAAATAGTGCATCGAGAGTGGGGAATAAGATTCGATAAAATATTGGAAAATGAGGACTAGAAACGCCTTTGGTAAAATAGTTTCCCTTTGTGAGAGGCCACGGATAACGAGAAAGGACGGGGCGATGCTGTCAGCGACGTGAGTGTGCGGGTTGAGGCGACGCAGATCGAGTGGTGGTGTCAGTAATGAAGTTACGACGTATCCGCTTAGGTCGCCGGGTCCGCAGCACGGCACGCCGACTTACTGTGCCGCTGCTCCACCCTGATCGTGAAATAAAATAGAAAATCGGTGCCGTCTCATCGCCGCCACCATCATCGTCATCATCCTCAATCTAATCTTAGATGAAGGCCTCTGTGAGCCATCACTCTTTTTCACATTTCTGCAATGCAATACCGAGGAGCTGCACGTGGGCATGATTTCATCACTCTGTCTCCGCGGTGGGTCACTTCTTGGGCGTGTTTCTCCTGCTTTGGGTGCCATTCCATCGTTAGTCTCGACCAGTGTCCATCAAACCCTCCCGGCTCCGTGTCCTGTCCCCTCTTAAACCCTGCGTATGTTCTCTAATCCTCTTTTACTCTCTCTCTCTCGATGTAAATCGCACCCAAGTGGGATCACACGTAAAAGCGATCCCGCGCCGTCAGCACTTGGGGTTATGTTTCCCGTAAAAGGTCGCGGTTGACCAGAGATTTCTGCACCAGCATCTATCCTGACAGCGTTACAGCCTGGCAGGACCCCTGCTGAAAAATTATGAGTCTTGAGACTCAGCGAGGCTTTGCCGGGTGTAAAAAAAAAGTCAACGTTACTGATTCATACGTTACGGTGGGTAGTTTACCGATTGATGTCTTTTTGCCATCCTCGGGGTCAATACCAAATGTCTTCTACCGCTCGAGGACACTGGTGATCCTCTCCCCCTCAACCGCGTCGTCCAATAGGAATCAGCGGCACTAAGTCTGGCACGTGTGTGCCGGTGCATGTCCACCGCATGCTCCTCTGCTCTGCTGGTAAAGCGAGACGTCCCCCCCCCCACTCCCACACCTCAACGCAGTTCGCGCTTCGTGGTAATGTATTTATAACCGCCCTCAATAAATATAGCGCGAGCAGACGTGACAAAGGGCCAGGGTGAGGGTTGGCAAGGTAATGGCTGCCCACGCCCCACGGTGCCCACATTTCTCTCTCTCTAGCTCGGGGCCCCCCGGACCGCACGTGGGCTGGCGCCAAACTGCTGAGTGCAGCTTCCTTGTAAGGGGAGGTGGGGGTGAGGTTGGGATTCGTTTGCGTGTTCGCCTCCCCCCCCACCACCTCCATAGGTGGGCAAAAGGTGCAGGCTCTGCCATCGCTCGCTCCACCCACTGGCGTCGTCCTTCTCGGTGAGCATGTAGGGGTCACTGTCCCAGCCGTCGTCCTTGCGCGCCGGCTGCACGTCGAGGTGCCCGTACGCCATCACCGTTGGCTTGGCGGGGTCGTCTCCGAAGGTGCCGAGCACAACGGGCGGCAGCTGCACCACCTCCCCACTGGAGCCAGTTGTGGTTGATTTAACATTTAAGCATCGCAGTAACCTGCATAGCATCAAATCGAGTGGTGAGGCGGTAAGTGGTGACCACGAAGCAGCACATGAATTCCCTGGCCACATGTTCTGCCCCATAGCAGATATGGGGGGGGTGTTTCCACAGGAACTTCCTGATATGATGGTGTTGAGTTTGGTCACGTGACCAGGAAGTTACGAGTTAAGGGTCTCTAAGTTACAAGATCAGGTGGGGGTGTCAGCCATTACACAGAGTACAACATGGAGCACAATTAGCGTCTCAGTGAAGACGAGTGCATCTGTTCATTGCGGGACTTTAAGAAGCATTATCTGTAAGTTGGTTTATGTTAATATAATACTGGGAATGCTGTTTTAATGTTAGGATTGCCATTATAATGCTGTAAATGCCTTTATAATGCTGTTAAATTGTTATGAATATGGAGCCTAGTTAACAACGAAGCCTGCCACTTGCATTATTGTGAACTAGCCTTTTGCCCGTCCTAGGACGGAAGCTGTAATGTTAAAGATTTACATTTACGTGTTCTTGTGTGATTGTAATTTTTTTTAGGAATTGTTGCACATAAATGCACTTTTCTTAACTTTAAAAAATTAAAATAATGACTTTGCAAGATTTCTTGGTATACGATATTTTGTGTGAATGTCTTATCACTCTTCAAAAGGTTTCCTTGCAGTTGACTATTCTTGATGAACACTTTGATCCACTAGGATTTTTTGATCTATACAGAGCCACATACAACTGTCCATGGGAAAATATGGGTTCATTGAGATAAATGTCCATATTTTCAAAAGTCTGACCAGGCACTTGTTGATTGTCATCACATACGCAGGAATTATAGTACGAAAGAGCTATCTTCTTCCCAGCTTCACGTTCTCCTCCACCATTCCCACGATCTGCTTTTCTCTTACTCCAGTAGTCTATCCACAACCTTGGAATAATCTTCAACTCACCCCTATTTGACCACAGAGCTGGTAGTACTCATTCCTGCCATTTTCACCTTTACAAAATGTGTAAAATTCGCAGTTTCATCACAATCACTGCCACCAAACTCCTCATTACACTCCCTCATCTTCACTCGACTATGGAAATCCTCTCATGAATGGTCTACCATCCTACGCATTCAAACTACTCCAACAAATTAAAAACGCCGCTGCCCGAACGAATAATCCGTAATCTTCCCTTCCATTCTCACACATCGCCTCACCTCATTCAGCAACTCTGGCTATCTGTTTATTATCGTTGCCTCTTTTAATCTCTTACCTTAGTTTATAAATCTCTCCACGGCCTGGCTCCTCTGTACCTCTTCTCTCATCTCACTTTACATTCCTGCCCACTCTGCATTATAAATATTTGCCGTCTCTTTCCATTCCTCCTCCGTGCGCAGTCTCAGTCTCCTTTACGCTCTCATAGGTCCTCTTCACTGGAATATACTGCCCTTGCACATCAAGCAATTACCCTCTCAGTACCTTCCACTCCTCTTAAAATCCACTTATTCTCTCGCCCACATTTCCTTCTTCCCTTGTTGTCCTCCCAACTCGTACTAACGCCGCCGTCCTCATCCCCAAAACCCCATGGTCACCCATCATCAATCCACTCATCTTATTTTCATTTATTCCACGCATCATCACCACCACCACCTCATTTTACATACTGTATATCCCATCCACTCATCTCGTTTCATCTCATCAACCATCTTGTACCATATTTAAATATACAGTGCCTTGGTTGAGAGACTATATAAATGTATGATAAGATAAAGCAGAACTCGAAACTTGTATTTTCTGGCCTAATTTTTCCAGTCACCAGCGTTGACGTTTACAATTTTTTATAATTGGCTGAAAACTGGGACGTTGGTAAAGGATGTATACAAAAATAAGCAGGACCCCAGTGCGGCTGATTAGCACAATTGGCTACGCATGGTGCAAAAGAAGTTCATACATATGAAGCAGAGTCAACGATTCCTGGGTGCAGCAATGCAAATACTGGAATGCAGGAGTCATTTACAAACTGGGAAATGCGCAAGAGCACGAAAAAGTAAAGGCATAAAAATAGCACAGGTATGTTGAAAGGGTCAGTAATCCCACCCCCCTCTCCCCCACATACACCGACACACGTATTCTACTTTGTTGATGCGTTTCACCTTACCTCATGACCAAAAATGCCCAATGCTCTAAATGTCATAACCTGCTGAAGTCTTCAGTGGTTCAATCTTGATTTGAAGCTTTCGTGACTGCAGGAATCCATACTCTTTGGTTCTTTTGGTAAAGTCACGTAAGTATAAAATAAAATATATCACGACATTTCAATCGCAACACAAGCGGTCGTCCTCAGGCGGAAAAAAAATAATCCAGCAGTGGAACTGCTGAACCAGCGAGAGAGCTGCTACAACAAGAGGCTATAGATGTGGCGATGGGCAAGCAAGCGGGGTCTGAGCTGGAAAGGAATTCCATCCACGGACTTAAGCATGTCAGTTGTGTTAATGATCGAGATTAGGGAGAGAGAGATTAGGGAGGGAGATTAGCATGAATGAGCTTCTGTCGCCGCATAAGAGTATCATGCCCGCATATGCGCACAACAGCAGTGTTAATGAGAGATTAGCACCATGAGAGTGTGATCCAAAGGACATGTGAGCATGAGAGTGCAATCCAAAGGGCATGTGAGCCTGAGAGGTGCAATCCAAAGGCTGTTAATTTTAAGTGTGATTGTAAGAGTCTTGTATAAATTATCAAGTTCAAATCGGAGCAATCTTATTCTCTCTGAGATTAGCGATAGGCTAGCTTTGAACAAAAAAAGTGTCACCAATCCCACCCCTCTGAATCCTGCCAATTACAAAAAGAACAAATTCACCCATCTACTTCGGATATCCAAAAATACATACTTTACTAGCAAATTACAAGAATCAAACAATAGAAAGTCAACAAGAAAAAGGCTTCCACAGCACTCTCATCTCAAACCTATAGCGATGCTTATGTTATTTCTTGTGAATTTAATAACTATTTTTCGTCTGTGAGGGCTCCTCTCTTTAAAGAAAATCTGCAAGACTGACCGTTTTGATTAAATTCAGGGACATTTCCCTTGACTATTATAGTTTGATTTACCAGATGTAAATGGAGGTCATGGAGGTAATTGGTAACTTAAACATATAAGTATCAGGGGATGATGAGATCAGGTGCCTCTTTGGTGAAATCAGTGTGTTCCTCGATTATTGAACCTCTTAAGTATATCTTCAAATCTATGAAATCTGGTATTCCAAAAGATCTGATAGTTGTCAAAGTTATTGCTCTATTTAATTAATGCCCAATATCTGTACTGCCATGTTTTTCTAAAATTCTAGAGAAACTGTTGTATGAAATAAAAATATATCACGACGTTTCGAACGCAACACAAGTGGTTGTCCTCAGGCGGAATAAATTATCTAGCAGTAGAACAGTCACAGCTATTTTGCTGTTCCACCTGTGTTGCCTCCGAAACGTTGTGATTTAATTTAGTTGTTTTCATTTATTTTATTTTACCTACGTGACTTTACCGAAAAAACTAAAGAGTATGAATCCTTGCAGTCACGTAAGCTTCAAATCTAGAATTAATGCCCTCTACGGAGAGGAATTTCACTTATCTGTTAGAGCTTTTAACAGACAACGAGACTAGAAGTCACAGCTCATCGAGACACTAACCTTCCTCAAGAGATGCCGCGATAACAAGGTAATACTCATCGCTTTCACACTCACCACCGCTTCCCCCAAACCCCCTGCAGCATAACAAAAGGCGGCTTAACTTAGCCCTCCCCCCCACCCACGACCCTTCCTGGCTCCCCCCCCCCTTAACCTGTATATAATCTCGGGTGTCTCAGAGCTCTTCACTTAATACAGATATTTTGAGGTGACTGTTCCACCTGAAGACGGAAGCTTGTGTCGCCTCCAAAACGTCGTGATTTAAATTATTGGTTCTTTCGGTAAAGTCACGTAGAAGGGAAACAATAAAATACTATTCTTTGACCACATCAATTCCATACACCCAGCCATGGAAGTCGAAAAAGATGGCAAGCTACGTTTTTTGGATGTCCTAATAAAAAAGAGACCTGATGGTTCAATGAGCCACTCTGTCTACAGGAAAGCTACCCATACGGATGCTTACCTGAAACTGGATTCCCACCACTATCCATCCCAGAAGAATTCCCTCATCAAGACTCTGCACCATCGAGCCCAATGCATATCTGACCAGGAACACATAGCCAGTGAACTCAAGCACGTACACCAAGCTCTTAAGGCTAATGGTTATTCCGACTACACAATCTGCAAAGCTATCACTACAACCATGAAGAAGGACCATCTTGAGGGGCCTTTCAAAACCATCACTTTACCCTACATTACGGGAATCACAAAAAGATCTCGAAACTCTTGAATAAACACAAGATCCAGGTCCGATTCAGCACATTACATAAAATCCGTGATCTGGTTCCTTCTGTAAAATATGTGATTCAGGACATACAGTACCCTGGCGTCTACAAACTAAGTTGCCTCTGTAGTAGTAGTTACATTGGAGAAACCAAACTATATGTCTCGGACCGCATTCGTGAACACAAAGCAGACCTGAAACACGGTAGGACCAACACTTCGGCTGTGGCAGATCACTATTATAATTCTGTAAGTTCACATGACATTGACTTCTCCAAGACAGAGGTTATTTGCAAGCCATCTGGCTACCATGAGAGATTCGTTCATGAGGCTATCCACATATACTAACACAGAGACAATTTTAACCGAGAAGATGGGTTCTGGCTTAGCAATCATTGGAAGGATTTGATAAACAATTTCGGGTCTTAATTGATTGATCACGCTTAAGGTGGCTTTCAGACTGCATCCATTATTTTTCGTCTCCCCCCTCCTCTTTTCCGAACATAGATGGACTCGTCCATCTGAACAAACTGTCAAATCGCTATCTGTGGTGCTAACGTTAAAAAAACGCCACTTAAAAAAAATATTGTTGTGGTTTTCACACCTGATGATGATTGCTTGTGTTGCAGTCGAAACGTCGTAAGAATTTTATTGTTTTATATTTTTATTATTTTATTGTTTCCCTTCAAAATTTAAAGTCGTGATTTAATTTAGTTGTTTTCATTTATTTTATTTTACCTACGTAACTTTACCGAAAAAAACAAAGAGTATGAATCCTTGCAGTCACGAAAGCTTCACATCTAGAACCTATTCTTGTATTTGGTTACTGGCAATAAAGGTCCCATGATGATGGAGAAGAGTTGTTTTACTGCTTGATCACCTCATGAGCGAGAATAAAATTAACTGGGTCGCCATGTGGGAATTTGTACAGGCAGACCCCGGGTTACGGTAGGGTTAGGTTCCCGAGGACGATCCATCACCTAAATTTTCCATATGTTGGAAACTAAACAAATTTCCCCCAAAATCAAGATAAGATCCCATGGTCGTAAATAGTTGTCGCTCCCCTACGAGATTACTAAGTCCATTTTATATCGCATTGCTGTACTTATGCTCTGCACTTCCGATGATTATTTCATGTCATCCAATATCTACCCTAACAATACCCATAATTATTAAACTAAGGGAAACACTCTATCCATTTTTTTATTTAAAGCTTTCGTGACTGCAGGGATTCATATTCTTGGTTCTTTCGGTAAAGTCACGTAGAAGGGAAACAATAAAATAAAAATATTTAAAATATTATTTATTGTTTCCCTTCTACGTGACTTTACCGAAAGAACCAAGAATATATACTCTATCCATTTGTTTATGAATAATGTCACATGGCACCAATAAGTGTCAAGGCAGAACACAATGGAGGGTGGGGTCCACCTGTAATAGGGAAAGCGGGTGATGAAAATTAGAGACACCTGCAACAAACAAGGTGTCAATCACCATTAGCGCGGCTTCCTATAGATTAGGGACCACCCACCCCCACCAGATAGCAAAGTGTGAATGTAAGAAGACCGTAGCTATATCTGCTCGCGAGTTCCAGCCAGCAGGGATCAGGAGAGGTCCCCAAAAACCTCCAAGCATCCAGCTGTATGTAGCAGCTTGACCAGACTGTGGGTTAGTGGGAATATTAAGATAACTATGTTTTTGTAATGCACCAAGGTCTAATTAACAGTCCCTGTAATTTTCAGTGGACACCCGGTGAGGGAGCAGGGATGGGCAGAGGAGCGCAGGGAGGATACCTTTAACGCTACCCTGTTGTGGAGAGGAGCCAGCAGGTGTCGGCTTTCTTCCTCCGAGGACGACAGTGGCAGGCTGGGGTTGGCCCACGGCGAGCGACGTCGAGTGTCACCTTGAAGTGGGCTTTCTTGTGAATTTAGCCCAAAAGTGGGTGGTAACCACCATCTGAGGTTAACCGTGCCTGAAGGGTGTGTTTGGGAACCTTTTTTTAACCGCGCTGTAAGCCTCCATTCCCCCCCCAACTCTCCCCCCACAACCCCTTGATGTATTTTTGTTTGGAAGATACTGCCTGGCTCCAGCAATTACACCACCTAGTGGACATGTATTCTTCCATAAATTAACATATTTTAGGACTCTAGAGATAAGCACCACTTTTTAAGAGACAAAGTTTAATCATTGATAAAGCATATGCTTTCCAACATTGTAAGAAATGCTTGTGTAGGGACGTAAGTAGCTTCCCTGTGGGTGCTGTCAGCACCCACGATTCACGTGAGTGAGGGCACGTACCTCTGCAGGGAGTCAACGTTGTGGGAAGCGGGCCCTGCTTGGCGGGGCCCCGTCACTGGAAGAGAGAGGGGATGTGCCGGCTCAGGGGAGTTAAGGGGGCACAGATGTGAGGGCCCGAGGACATGTGACGCTGGCACCTGTTCCTCTCGAGAGACCGAGCAGAAGGCGTGGCCGGGGTGGGCACGAGGCCAGGCTCGGTGGAGGAAAGAGGAACAGGGGCGGAGCGGAAGACTCAGTCCAGCGTGGGAAGCGATCAGTGCAGTGGTGCGGGGAGCCCGGGGAATCGGCTATAGGGGGCTGAGTGATAAGGACCCCTTCCAAGGGGTCTAGCGTAATTCCCCCAAGTGTTGTGTTCAAGTGTTCTGTTATCACTAGCCTAGAAGTTATAATAAATTGTGATACCTCCAGATCTCTGCGTGTGCCTCGTCCGACACACTACACTTGCAACACTACATGCATTAGGATAAGAGCGTTAAAACGAACATCATGGAGAATTTGCCACAAGTCGGCCAGCAACTTCTAAACTATTTTACCCAAAAATGGACAATACAAACATCTGGATATGAAATTGATGAGGTATTTCTTCTAATTCCTGATCAGTCGGTTTGTGAGCAGAAGAATATTGTAGATCTTTAAGTTTTCAAGTTTCAATTATTAGGTATAGCCCTGTGAGCCATGCGGCTCTTCAGTCGGGTGCAACCGCAACAAACGAAATATGAACATTTTTCGATTTAAAGCTTTCGGGACTGCAATGATTCATCTTCTTTGGTTCTTTCGGTAAAGTCACGTAGAATTAGAATAAAATAATAAATTGATAAAATAAAATAACACAATAATATTCTCACGACGTTTCGGCCACAACACAAGCGGCCTTCATCAGGTGAAGGGGCGAGACTGTCTGGTAGGACAGCGCTGGAGTGAAAGAGCCACGTTCAGATCACGGCTTTTAAGCTGTGTGAGAGGAACAAAGAGCCTTGACAAAGGAATTAGCATATAATTTAGCATTGAAATGGCTAATTCCATTGTCAAGGGGTGCCTCTGCGGATGTGTATGCCTTAACTTAGCTATTTTAATGCTAAATTCTATGCTAATTCCTTTTAACAATGGGTGCCTCTGCGGATGTGTATACTTTAACTTTTAACATAGCTATTTCTGTGACCAGTCACAAGCTAATCATTCAGCCATTTCAATGCTAAATTATATGCTAATTCCTTTGTCAAGGCTCTTTGTTCCTCTCACACAGCTTAAAAGCCGTGATCTCCAGCGCTGTCCTACCAGACAGTCTCGCCCCTTCACCTGATGAAGGCCGCTTGTGTTGTGGCCGAAACGTCGTGAGAATATTATTGTGTTATTTTATTTTATCAATTTATTATTTTATTCTCATTCTACGTGACTTTACCGAAAGAACCAAAGAAGATGAATCATTGCAGTCACGAAAGCTTTAAATCGAAATTTAACCGCCTCTACGGGGAGGGATTCCACACATCCTTAAGATCATTCAACAGACTTCGGGATAAGAAGGCTCAACTAATCGAGTCTCTCACCTTTCTGAAGTGATGCCGCGACTCTAAGGTAATACCAACCGCATTTACACTAACCTCTGCTGTTGCAACTTCTCTCAATGCAAAACGAATTCTAGCTAGAACTAGCTTCGCTCTTATCTCGGAAAAAATCAGACTTACACGCACCGAACTCGATCAGTTAGACAAGACACTCTACAAATCACACTTAAAATTGACAGCAACAATGTCTACATCGGATTGGGAACATGTAGACAATATGACTACCTCTTCGGCTGCCACTATGTCGAACAAATGTAGGGACAATTTGATTTCCAAATTCAATCACCTCTCCAGCAAAAAATCGGATCCACACACCGAAAAGATAGACGTCAACAAAGTCGTAATTAATCGCAGTAACAGTTCCATTTCTGATGGTCTGAAATCCGTTTTAGCTAAAGGTCTAAACTTTGCTGTCACACCGAGACACTTACCGGTTAATGATATCATTGCCCATGTCGACGTTGCACTCAAGGGCTTGAGTCACATCTCTGCAGACGTAGCAAGATCTGAAATCGCTGCAACCCTCAAAAACGCTAAGTTGCCACCCAGCAACATCAGCAAAGACGAACGTTTTGAATTATCTCAATTAAAAAAGAGGGATGATATTGTCGTCCTCTCAGCCGACAAAGGCAATGCCACTGTCATCATGGACAAAACAGAATATAACAACAAAATTCAAGAACTACTCAACGATGGCAGCTATACAAAAATAAAAAGAGATCCCACCAACAGCCTGGTCACCAAAACGAACAAAATCATCTCTGATTCAACAGCATTAATTGATGAGATCAAACAGTTCTCGTTGAAACCCTCTGCTGCCAGACCACCAAGATTATATGGCCTTCCAAAGATACACAAAGAAGATACACCCCTTCGTCCCATCGTCTCTACTATCAGCTCCCCCACCTACAAACTGGCACGTTTTCTGGCTGATATACTGCGACCTTTCACTGGAAAAAACACCTCTGCGGTACTAAATTCTACTCACCTGGTATCGACAATCAAAGACATTTCCCTGTCCCCAAACGACCTGCTTGTCAGTTTTGATGTGGTGTCCTTGTTCACCAAAGTCCCGGTACCTGACACCATCGCTATCATTGAAGACCTGGTTCATCAAGGACTGCATACTGATGTACCCCCCCTGGTGAGACATTGCTTAACCAACACATACTTCACCTGGAATGGAACTTTCTACAAACAAACTGAGGGCACCCCGATGGGCTCCCCCCTATCTCCGGTTGTAGCCAACGTATTCATGGAAAAATTTGAAACTGACGCCATCCAGACTGCCACTCTACGCCCGACCTTATGGAAGAGGTACGTTGATGACACCTTTGTCATCTGGCCACATGGCCAGCCTGCTCTAGACCAATTCCGCGACCACATCAATTCCATACACCCAGCCATCAGATTTACCATGGAGGTCGAAAAAGATGGCAAACTACCCTTTTTGGATGTCTTAATTAAAAGGAGACATGATGGTTCAATGAGCCGCTCTGTCTACAGGAAAGCTACCCATACAGATGCTTACTTGAAACCGGATTCCCACCACCATCCATCCCAGAAGAACTCCCTCATCAAGACTCTATACCATAGAGCCCAATGCATTTCCGACCAGGAACACATTACCAGTGAACTCAAGCACGTACACCAGGCTCTCAGGGCTAATGGCTACTCCGACTACACAATCCGCAAAGCCATCACTCCAGTCATGAAGAAGGATCCTCTTGTGGAGCCACTCAAAACCATCACCTTACCCTACATTGCAGGGGTCACTAAAAAGATTTCCAAAATCCTGAATAAACACAAGATCCAGGTCCGATTCAACACAGTACAAAAAATCCGTGATTTAGTTCCATCTGTAAAAGATGCTGTTCCAGACCTACAGTACCCGGGCGTTTACAAACTAAAGTGCCTCTGTGGTAGTAGCTACATTGGAGAAACTAAAAGACATATCTCGGACCGCATCCGCGAACATAAAGCAGACTTGAAACACGGTAGGACGAACTCCTCTGCCGTGGCAGATCACTGTTACAATTCAGTGGGCTCACATGACATTGACTTCTCCAAGACGGAGGTTCTTTGCAAACCAACCGGCTACCATGAGAGATTCGTTCATGAGGCCATTCACATATACAAGCACAGAGACAATTTCAACCGAGAAGATGGATTCAGGCTTAGTAACCACTGGAAAGATGTTTTAAATCATTTTTGTTCTTAATTAATTGTATTTTTACGATGACCTTCAGACCGCAGCTCTTTCGCCAGCATTGCCTCTTAATACCTCTCACACCACGGTTAATGGTATAGTTTTACAACATGGAGTATACTAGGGCCTCGCAGCTGTCTCTCTCCCCCTCCTCTGTTCCGACCATGGACGAACTCGTCCATCTGAACGGGGCCCGTAGCTATCCGTGGTGCTGAAATTTGAGGGTAAGAATCCACCCATTTTTTCGCCATATAGCATTGTGATATATAACGACTTATTGTTGGTAGCTTAGCTGATTGGAGAATATAGAGTTTATTGATAACATGAAGGTAATTTATATTTTAGTTTTTATTGGTTCACTATATAGTACTGTGAATAGCTCAGATGTGAAGTCATTTCT